CTCCTGCGATAAGCTTTGAATGCGAATCCGGAAGCCCCCGATGACCCGCGATAGATGGGGATGCTTACTTTCAACCTATGCGCACTAAAACTGTGCTCGCGACTTTTTCTTCGGGCCGCAGTTGTGCTCGCGGCCCTTTAGGGCCGCGACCGCAAACTGCGGCCCGCGGCTCAAGAAGAAGAAGTGGGATTCTAATTAAAAAAAATGGCGGTGGCAGCCGCGCGGCGAAAGCGCGGCTGGTTTGGCTTTCGCGCTGGTTAGATTTTCGCGCACGCATTTGGTTACCAATATCGCCCTCCGGGCGCGATCTTCATAGTATTGTCCGCAGCTGTGCTTTGTTTTGTTTTTCATCAATCTGCTGCCGGTGACGAGCGTTGGCATTTTGCGTTGGCATTTTGGTTTATGTTGAACCTCTAATTAACCGACGCAACAGCCGTCCACTGCGCCGAATGGTAAGCGGCCGCAAGGAATCCCGAGACCAAGCCAACCTCGGCCCTTCAATGCTCACGTCGGCCGAGCGACTTCCAGCCGGGGCATCGGTACGGTCATCGAAAATTATGTGCGAAAGACGCCAGGACCTTCTGCAACAGAGCACGAGTTTCGAGACGCAAAAAATACAGGCGGTATCTGTTCAATTCTTTTTTTTTTGTGCACCTCCACCCGAAAACCTTTTTCTTCTTTCCGGGCGAGTCTCCATAGAGAGAGGTCCGGACTACTGTCGCAGTTGCTTCGCAGCCTTGCAGATATTGGTACAAAGGAACGATTGTTACGGATGATCTTGCCATCATTAGTGTGCTCGATAATTGTTGTTGTCAGGCCCGCATCCGGATTTTCTACCGGTATCGCTCTTTTCCGGTGGTTGGGAGAAGACTCCCTTGGGGGGCATACCCTCCTCGCACAAGCAGCAGGTAGAAAACGAGAAAAATTTTGGGATGCGAAATTTTCTCGACAACTTAAAGAACAAGTAGTGTAGAAGTTTCTGAATGTGGAATAGATGAAGGTGGCGCAGCTTCTACTACGTTGTTCGAGAGGCGCCTCTTTAGCATGTTGATGGCTTCACATCTGAGAATACAGGTACAGATAAAAAGCAATAGTGTCACACTGGTATAATCTATTATTTCATCGGTCTTGGTCAAAAGAGTCTAAAGTCAATAAACACCAGCTATTAAGCGGAAGGAGTTTCTGGATGCGTGAGTAGCTCCTTACTTTTGAGCTGCGTATCATTATGTCAGATGAACTACAGTAGCACCACGAGAAAAACTAGTGGTCAAAGTGAAAAATTAGAATGTTTCGCTGGTCGTTAACTGGAGTTGGTTGCGATTGAATAATGTACACTTTGTAATGATCAGGGTCAATGACAATGCAACAAGATAACCACCTCCACCTGCTGAGCTGCAACGAGTTTGGAATTGTACTAATCTACCAACATGGCCCCCAGAGGCTTACATTGAAATAAAGACCGAGTCTTGCGAACTCGGAGGAGGCACAGCCGATTTCCCGCCTATCTCGGGAAGTTTTTCCAGCTGGAGATGGTTAGTGTTCTATGTATGCAGAGCGTGCTGTACAGAGCGAAACCGAAACCGAGGAACCCGAAATCCCACAATGTACGTGGCTGCCAGTAGCCTGTCGCTTTCTTGCAAGCATTTGCGAGTGCAAGAAAAAATTCCACCCTAGAGCGTGCGCGCTAACCAACGAAATCGAAATTCCAAGAGTTTAACTTCGTGCACTAATTTCTATGCACTAATAATGACGATCAGAAGTAAGTAACTGTAGTAGGGCTGTGTCCCTCAGGGTCAGGTTCAGGCTTCGCTTTGTTTTAATTTGCATTCTCTCTCTCTATTTTGCGACAGTCAAAGCGGACGAAAGCAACATGTATGCAGACGATGATGACGTCGGCCCGCATCCGGGCTGTACCTCAAAGACCGTAGAGATTCTGGTGAAAGCGCGGCCGTCTACATTATCCGAAATCGAGGAGGGCGTGCACATGTGCGTAGGGCGTACGACACTTGAAGAAAGGACTGCTTCTTGCGACCACGGATCTTCCTCTTTATGCTCCTGTGGCATTTTCGATCCGGAGGGAAATCTACACTTTGAAGTCGGACCCTTTGATGGGTTGTACCTGCAACCCGGCAACACCAATAAAGGGGCCGTCGATGTTGAAACAAGATCCGAAGCCGGGAAGCGGGATGAAGACGCGAGCCCGACAAAATGCAGTGGCGTGGCACTCGCGGAAAAGGTGCTCGCTCGAATTCTTCACTCTGACGCGGCTCCAGTACGATCCCGAGGACGTCGCACACCGTGCGTCGAACATTTTTTAGGTGGCACAAACGACCCTGCTTTTCGGGACGAGAATAGCGGGGTACCTCAGCGCGAGCATGTGCTGTTGGCTTACGGGCAAACCGGTAGCGGGAAGAGCCATACGCTGTTCGGTGCACAGGCTGTAGGCCTATCTGGCCTCGTAGCAGCGCTCGCCGACCAATCGCCGGCGCGAGACAATTTCGTTTCAGCACGGCCGGTGTCCCCACGCTCTGCAACTTTTCGGAAAGACTCGCAAAAGGCCGCAGAAGCGCTTGCGGATAAATTGGATCACTTCATGAAGCGCGTGATTTCGCTAGCACGGACACGAAGCGCAGCTGAAAGAAATCACGACCTGCGGCGGTCTTCGTCTTTGGCGCATGGTCCGCCCAGCATCCCGTCTTTGGGCGATGTGCTCGGCGCACAGGAGGCCGCCCAGTTTTCCATTCCAAGTTCCGCATCGGCTGATGCCCAAGGCTTGCTGCAGCACATCGCGGCCAGTTTGCTCAACCCCGAAACGAGCAATAAAGTCCCCGATCGAGGAGGAGACCGTTCGGCAAGCGACCCTACTCGTGCAATCGGTGCGAGCAACGGGTGGTCGCCGACTGGTGCATGTTTATCCTTTGAGTTTTTGGAACTGTACCTGGACAATCTGCACATTCTGATTCCCCCCTGCCGGGCTTTTGACCTGACCGAGGTGGAGTCTCTTGCCATTGCTGGATTTTGCCAGCGCGTACTGCGCCCGACCGCGGACAACGAGAACTCTTCTCGCTCTCACGCAATCGTTACGCTCAGGCGCGAGGAAGATCCAGCTGGAGGGCAGAAAGGAGCAACGAAAGTGACTTTGATTGATCTCGCCGGATCGGAACGGGTGGTAAGTACAAATCGGAGTCGCAAGCAGATGATTGAAACGCAATTTATCAACCGCAGTCTGCAGAGTCTGCGTCGCGTCATCACCGCTCTGGGCGATCGGGATGTTGGAGCCGGTTCGAGAACAGGCGTCGGCTTGGGGGCGCATGTATCCATTTAATATTGTCGTCGTGGATATTAAATTCTTTTTGATTTTGAACCCTTTGGCTATGACAATGACATCTGCGGTAGAACCCTTTGGCTTTGAACCCTTTGGCTTTGACAATGGCAGTAGTAAGTTTCTCGCCAGTGATGTAGGTACCACGCATTCAGGTCCAGGTGTTTTTTTTTGCTGCGTGCCTTACTCGTGTAGGTTCGACACGATGGTTTTTTGTTATGCGGCAACGTATGTCAACAAGAAAATGAAAAACCATAACCAGCATTCGGCATGACCAATCGAGCTCCGTTAAGGAAAAAAATCAGGTTCCCTGGCGCGATAGCAAATTGACGCAGCTGCTAAGGCCGAGGAGGGGTTCGTGTCCGCTCTTCACCATTTTAGTCACGTTGTCACCGCACTGTCCTCGGGAAAGTATCGAGAGCTTGCGGTTCGCCGAATCTTGCCGACAGATTCGCTTCTTGGACCAGCACAGTCGTAGCACAATGGGAGAAGTGCCTGGCACGCCACTCGCGAGCTCAAGCCGAGCGAGGTATTCTTCAAGCTTCAACAGGTTCGGCACTTTGCATCGCACACCTACATGTGGCAGCAGCGCAACCGCTGGTACCGGGACGCATACGAGTTGTTCGGAGAGCGCGAGGACATCCTTTATTTCTCGTCCGTCTGGTCGTTTGGGATTCGGACAGTCCGAAATCGGGGCACATGGATCTCCCCAGCGGCCTAGATCACCCGCAGCAAGAAAGTGCACGCGTGATTTTTACCCCTCGACCTCGAGCGGTCGTGTCGAATCGGAAATTCGACTCTTGAGGCAGCGTCTGGCCTCTACCTCTCGCAAAGTGATGCAACTCGAATTGGCAAATGAGGCGCTACGGTCTCAGCTGGACGGAAAAAAGAACGACGAGCCTTCCCTTACTAGTACGATTGCTCGCGATGGGGCCGGAAAAGGAAGACAAGACCAACCTTCACCGTCACCACCAGTAGTTTCAGAGGCCATGCCTCCCGTGCGTTCGCAGAAAGAAGGACAGGCACTTACTATGCTAAGCGTCGATCTTCCGTTGATAATAATAAATACTCAAGTTTGAAGATGGTGTTCTTTCTGTGCCCTACTTGTTATCAGTTTCTGCACCTCTTGCCGTGCCCGTTTCATTAATTTTCAATGCTACGCACAGTAGTGATGTTGAAAGAAAATAAACCGATAATTGCACAGATCGCCGTTGCCGAGCCTTTACTAGAAGGCAACGTAGCGACCTCTTACAGCATCTGGAGCGGTGAGCAGGTTTTGCGCCCAGGGAGCAGCCCCGACAATCGCCCGCTGCTTTCGCCAGCGGCCCCCCCGATGCCTCCCCGACCCGGCAGCAGTGCGGGCACCTTCTTCGGGCGTGGCGGTTTCGGTCGTGCGCGCGGGGATGTTTTCAACAAAGTGGATCACTTTCCGCTGCCGAATGAACGGGGACAGCAGCAGTGCGAAAGCGTAGCCTCTACTACCGCGTCATCCACGCGGTCCAGTTCGAAGGAAAGCAGTATCTCTTTTGCCGAACGCGTTCTCGCCACGGATCAAGCGCAGCCTCAGGCAGTGCCGGGCTTCGTTTCGGACACGGTTCCACACGATGCGGAGGCAACATCAGCTGCTGGAAAGCTGTGCGAGGAACGACAAGCGGTCGAGCGAGGGGGAGGACCCAACCACTTTTGCAATGCGCGGCGACCACCAGCATCCGGAGCAGGAACCAAACTTGCTAGTTCCAAGACACCGCGGAAGATGCGCTTTCGCTTTGCTTCGGTCGGACGACCATTATTTGGCGCGGCGGCTGATCACGACGTCGACTTGTTTACTGATACTGGCGCAAGTGCGAAGCAGAGTCAAGGACTGTCTCCCACAACCGGCGCGCCTGCCAGGCACCTCCACCGGGCGTCCTCGTCCCCCCGCGTTCTTTCACACTCGCCGAGAGCTACAGCTACAGGCCGGTCGCCTCTCCAAGACCGACAACAGCGCATGGCGCGCTCTCCCTCGCCCTGCAACCATCAGCGAGTGAAAAAGGGGATAGCTGCTTCGCCATTTGCCTGCACTTCTTCTCCCCGCAAAACACCACCTACCTTTGCCAACAATAAAGGTATCAAGTCTTCTAGGAGCGGATCGAGTGCTGGTCGTAGCAGCAATGACAGAAAGAATCACGACTCCTGCTCCCCGCCGAGTCGTTCAAATAAACGAGTGGATTTCTGGAGCCGGACCAGACGCACTCCGAGCAAGTCGACGTTGCTGAGCCAGCAACTTGCGACAACCTCGGTTGCCGCCGTCCGCACTAACACAAGGTTGCTATGTGAGTTGAACGTCGCTGCGGAGCGTTTTCGCGACACTGGCGTCCTCTGCGGTCCAGGCGCTGTGGGCCAGAGTGTCACTCTGCAACGCGAGAAATCGTCGGACACGGAAATAAAGAAGACATGCATTTTTGCCGCCGCCCCTGCATCGAATTCGAAGAACCCTCTTCATCTTCGAACGACTGTGGAGAATACGCTTCTGGCGTTCAACGTTGATGTGGAAAGCTTTGCAGCAGGGGCAGCCACACCACTTGGAAGCTCCGTTGACGCAGAAAAAAATGAACAGAGACAGGAGGCAGGGATCATCGAGAAGTCGGCCTTGGGAATCGTTGATGAAGAAGATGAGGAAAGAACACAAAATAGCGAAGATACTAGCGGAGACCACGGACTAGTACAGCCAAGACCTGCAATCGGGAATAATTACACCGGAGTTGCTGTTGCAGAACCTCCTCCACTGGCTGCTGTAGACCGAGAAGACGAGCTTCGCGACGCCATGGTCCAGGAGGAACTACACCCGGCCGCGCTGGAAATGGTTAGCAAGAACCATAGCGAGCATCGTGGGAATGCGGATCCAAGCGTTTCTTGCAGTGCAGAACAAAGCCGAGTGGAACCAGGTGATGTGAAGAAACCGGTTATTATATCGAATCTGGCAGGTGCGGGCGCCGGCGCCGGGGCGGGCGTAGTACTGAATGCACCAAGAAACTCGTCTCTGTTACAAGCTGGAACTGCCACGACGCGTCCTGGCTCAGCAGTCAAGGTGGTGCGTACGCAATTCTGGAAAAAATTCCTACAACACGACGACAGTGAAGATGCTGTGGGTTCGCTGACGCACTTGCAGAACCTGCAATCACAAGTTGGAAATTCTAAATGAACCAACATAATTGAACATGTAGTATTCATGCCTAGACTTGCACTTGAATTTTACAAGTAATATGTATTTGTATCAGTACAACATCGTGATCTCGCCAGTACTCCGATCTGGACCCGAGCAAGCCTGTCTGTGTATGATTATCTGATATTCGTCACGAAAATGCAAATGCAAAACCAGTTCGAATCATGGAAGTTTCAAGTGCTAAAGTGTACGAATCTCAACATATTGATATTGCGTGAAAGTCAATCTCAGTTTAGAAGTGATTTGGTTTTATCGTCCAGAAAATGGCACCCACGCCCAGGCCAGGCCGATCCATAACACGGTAGAATCTGAAAAAAGCGTCAAGTAGTGTGTTGCGAACACAATGAATGAGCTGGAATTCTTATTCTCCTGTAGACACTTAGTGGTCAGTGTCAGAAGGCTAGCGCTGGCCGTACAACTACGGCTGTGTAAGAGTAGGTTCGCATATATACTCACTTGCCACGAGGCCCCTCCGTCGGCGCGAGGCGATTCGCTGCACGGCGTTCGCACCCGCCAATGCAGACGCAGATCCCCAGAAATTCGATACTTTTCGCAGTGGGTTGAAAATTGCACAGAATCAGAAAGCTTAAAGCTTTTCTGAGCTGATCGCGATTATTCGGTTTTTAAATGCGAATGAATAGATCCTTCATGACAGATTTGCGAATTTGAATTTTACCTGGCAAACTCATCGGGTTTCTCCTCCTCCCAGGACTCGGTAGTTCATTGGTTCTCGAAGCTACAGCCACGGATTTGTGACATCGGTCTTCAGTTGTTAAGCGGGCGCCAGCTATGGCCAAGCGCTTGTTGCCGCCCCTCGATTGATTTATATCTCTTTCTGTGCCTTCTACTGCTCGCTCCTCCTGTCGGTACGCAGTTCCGGTAATCGGCCTGATGTGTATTTGTATGAATCTGTGAAGCCGCTAGTCGAGCTCGAGCTCTTTCTGTTGTAGCGTCGGTTGCCCTCGCGATGAATGACGACACCAAGGAACTGGCTGCAAGAATTCACGTACGCTGCATCTTGTTTCGTTATTTCGAATCACCTGTCTGTCTCTGTGCTTCATCCTCTCTCTCTTTTTTACCTGCAACACGGATCATCTATCAGGGCCTTTATTTCTGAGCCACTTCTATTTGTGCCCGTTGAAAGTGAACGCAAACGTGTACGAGCGCGAGCGTGGTACTCTGCGCGACATGTTTTAGCGGTAGGAATAAGGCCAAAATGAAAATGTAGTCCGACCTTTTTTGCTCAGGCTAGCCGCAGCTGTATCTTCCGTCAATTTCTTTACGGTTGCTTTTCACGTTCGAGGCCGTGTGCTAACTCTCAGCATCATGTTCGCGAAGGCACAAACGCATGCGTTTTTGAATGATGAGCACGAGAATGGATGGGCGCCCGCTGCAGCGGACACGCGTTCGGAGCAATTATTATCAGCCTCCGGGGTGGTAACAACGCAGCAACAGGCCGAACAAATTACGGCGCAACAAGATGCAGAGGGGATATTATTGCAGTGCTGTGCCTGTTTCATCTGCTTGGTCTTTTTTCTGGCGCTGTGCGTGATGGGCCTCTTGTACCACAAATCCGACCTGGGCATCCTGGACTCCACTGGCGAGCGACGATTCGTAGATCGGATCATGTGTTTGCGCAGAAAGGAAACACCGCGGCCCCGTGCCAGCTGGGAACAAGATGCCATCGAATTCTAAGTCAGCACCTCCTTGTAATTTTGGAGCTGGAATAATTCCATCACTTGCGAACTCATCTTGTTACTTATGTCAGATTCATTTTGGAATTCCATCCTTCAAACTCCTTGCATTCCAGTTCTTCAGCATCCTTGGACGAGCGTGTCAGTTTGCGCAGAATTGTTATGTGAGACAGGGTGGAAAAAGGATTCGCGCGCGTATTTGGACGCATGTCGCTAACAGCTGGGAACGAAGTTTTCTTTTCGTCATGTCTCATCAATCTCTCAAATGGTTGTCATCATGAGCATGCCCTGTTTTGCAAATCAATGCTACAGTGACAGGAGAAGACTCAATGAATAAGTATCATGGTTTTACGTTTCATGTCTTGTCTATTCACGCTAATGTATGATGTGTACTTTTAAGGAGCAATGACTGACTCTGAATTAAGTACTTATTTGAGAGCTACTTCGTCCTCCGTTGTTTTCTCTGTAGGAACCCAAGCGATGAAATCATATGTGAGCCGCGGCTCCTGTGCTGGTGTTTGTTGTGTGTCTGTGTTCCTCTTGATGTTCAGCGAAAGTTGCATGCCGAGAAGAAGATGAACATAAAAAGCAAAAGGATGCAGCAAGAGTGGAAACGCCAATGTCAGGTCCTCTTAAGTCCATGCTGCTTCGGAAGATACAAAAGACTTTTTGGTTTTGGTCTTTACCGTAGTCAAGTTTTCCTGTCGTTTTGTCGTTCCGTGCTGCTGAATTTTTACCGTATGCGCAAAGTGCGTCTCGTACTTGTTCGATGTTTCTTCATGGAAGTGGCGTATTTTTGGCATTTAAAAAGACAAACACAAGCACCAGCAATTCTTCGCTGAGCCAAAGCTTGGCATACTATGCATGGTAGTCTGTTTAGCAGGCTTCTGTTACTTTTTGTGCCACAAGTTAGTTCTTGCTTTCATCGTGCCCACCAGACAGAAAACAGATTCGCTGGTCGCTTGCGGACTGTGGAATCGTGAAGGTTCGTATCGTACTGTTTATTCGTGCTGATGTCGTTCTCCAATCTTTCTTGCAAGTGTGGTCCGTGTTGCCTTCAGACTCGTCGCGGCTGGACCGGTTCGTTCATTCAGTGCATTGATTTCGAGTAAAGTATTAATCAACACCAAGTCGAAAGAAAATTTCATGATGGATTGCCTGAAAAAGTAAACGCAGTAATATTCTGTACCCTTACCTCAGGAAATTCTCGCCTCTGCGTCCTGAACGCTAGTATTAGTTTTACATCGGCAATGTGTGCAATAGGTAGCAAGTACGTTTGGATGCGCTGTGTGTCCGCGTCCATTTTCGTGTTGTAGTTTTAGCTTTTCGGCTGTCCTCGTTGTGTCGCGACATATTCCCCGCCTGTCGCAAACGCAATCATCAGTACTACTTAGTCTCTTACGCTTCAATATCAAACGACGAACGGTTTCTTGCGCGTAACTACGCTAAAATATGGTGCGTTCTATTGTGCTAAGGTTTTATTCGCGGAGATTCATCTGTACGTGCTCTTGGATTTGGTCATTGTGCTCGCCTTGCACTTTTGATTCACTCCTTCGTGGTGATGTTGCTGTAGTGAGCGTCGAAGCAGGATCCAGAGGCAAATGTTTTGTCTCGGGTCTCGTGCTGCCGAACAGCCAAAGAACAAGCACCACGAGCAAGAAGAGCAACAGTGTTGTGTCCTTGTTGCAAGAAAGCCGGGAGCAGGTCCATCGGCGCGACCGTGAAAATTCGGGGAAAGAATCCCGAAAAAGCGAGCCCCCGAGGACACTCAGTGTCACGCAGCCACGTCAGCGCGGGCGTACCAAGTTGTACCCGAGCTACTACGAGAGGAGCGGCGGGCCAGATGTTTTCACCTCCTCTGTGTCGTCTCCGCGCAGCTTGGCGTTACCATCTCTACTTCATCGAAAGACGCTTGCGGACTCAGAACTGGTGACTGACACGAAAAGAAGTTCCTGGTCTAGCTTCGCCTTGACCAAGGATACAGACACAGCTTCTGAGGAGCAGCAGTCGGATCCTGAAGAGTGCTTGAGGAAGCATGGCCAGTGGAAGCCCGCGGTGAGAGTAAATCTTCTAAACCCTAGTTCGTTTGATGAGCAGCGCGGCGTCGCACACGATGGCGGATATTTTCGTGCGCGAACGTGCACCGTTGGCGGATATCGTCGTTTTGGGGATGCCTACATCGGCGGCTTCTGCCACGACGACAGCGATGCTGACCACTGCCGCGAATTTTGCCAAGAAAGCGTGTTGGCAAGCGATCAGTGGCGATTTCTGTCACGGCAGAGGTGTTGCTATTGCGAGTCCAGCGAGTTGAGCGCACCAAGCAGTGGTCTACGCCCCGATGAAACGGGCGGTCTTTGTTCTTTTAACGGAGGCGAGGGACTGCGTGCCCCGTTGTCGGAAGACAATTTCCTCCCCGCCTGCTGCGACGGCTGGAGGCTTGAAAGGCTCCTGGATGACCCTTTCTTCGATGCTAGTACCGACGCGAGCAGCACAACTTCAGAGGGGCAAAACCAAGGAACCGGCGACGAGGTTCGCGAAGAGAGACATCAGTGCCAACTCATGTTTGATACTTGGAAAAGCGAGACTGTGCAGCAAAAAGCCCTCGTCCGTTGGAGGCCATGTCACGACCCTTCTGGTGCTGATGACCAAGCGCTTTGCCCCCGGGAAGCCCGCGTGAAGTCGGAAACTCTTTTGGCAAGGTTTCCGAACCCATCCGCGTGCTGTGCGGTGACCTTGCTCAAGCACAGACCCGACAGCGTCGCCCTAAACTCCGATATTGCCTTCGAAATTCCGGCTGCCTACCTACCGCTAGAGACTGTCACCGTGAGACTGAAGGGTAAGGAAAGCCTCGGCAACAGACTTCGAATCGACCCGAGCATAAACGTCTGGGGTTCTCGCAACCTAACGGTCGCGGATATGCTAGGAAAAAGTCTCGCGGCGGGGACGGACGGCGCAGACTGCTGGTACGCGTGCCACATGTACAACGGACGGCAGGCCGGGTGCGCCACCGACTTTTGTCGGAAGAAGTTCGGCGGCAATTCGGACTGCTGCCGCAATCTGCTGCCGCAATCTGGCAATCTGCAGCCCGACGGCCCGCGGTGCCCCTCTGTTACAAATGCGAGGGACCCCCGAGCCGTGGGGCAATTCGGGGAGGGTTTTCCTAGATGGGGCACGGGCCCCGACGAGCCGTGGGGCAGCCACACCTGGGGCTCGCCTTTCCAGCACATGTGTATCGACTTACCCTTAACGAACTGGAGCGCCGTCGAGCAAACGTCGTTCCGAACAACGCCGGCGAAGTGGGTTAGCACCTCAAGCACGACAGGAGGTGGGCGCAGCGATATACTCGCCGCGGATGAACATGCGACAGTAGAGGCCACCCAGGCGACGGAGCTGGAAAGAATTGGCGGAGCTCTTCACGAGAGCTGGCAAGTGGGTGAAGAAAAGCCGGCATCGAACGCGACGAACACGAACTACACGAACATGCCCAATAACGAACCAGCGCAAGACGTATCTGCGAAGAATGTAGCCGAGCCGTCGGAGGACACGGACATCCTCGCAGCATCACTCCCAGGCGGGGAGAGCAACGAGGACGCGCAAGAAGTACACCTGCAGCGAGCCGGTAGGACGACCGAACAATGTGAAGATACCACCCCCGCTGCGCGGCACCAGAACAAGACCGCGCAGAGCCAGGAGAACGAGGGTCTTCATCAGCATGTAATGTGCCTGAGGACCACACTTCTCAGCGTGGTTATTGGTGTGACAGTCGTGGCTTGCTTCCTCTTGTTTACGTGCAGCCAGCAGATGGGCCTCGCCTGCTGCGAGCTGGAGGACCAGGACCGGACCGACTCAGAATATTTAGCAGACGAGATGAAACACGCACAGCCTGCACCGAAAAAGGCAAGCCCGGATCCACCCAAAAGTAAATTCCAGAATCAAATTCCGTACTCCGTGGGAAGCTCCGCGGTGCGGTCGAACATAGATTCCTCCTTCGTGCCATTAACGGGGGAAATAGAGAGCCCCTCTATCAAGAACACGCCAGAATTCGGCTCGATCTAAGTAAATATTGCCGCCCAGCAAAAGTATGCTTATGCGCGTGCGCCTCGCACATGTCGTACCCGTATCTATCAGTAGCTTCGCATTCATGCCCGCACTGTTGTATTAGTAAGTCGTGAATGGAAATGCATTCCGAAAAGACCAAAAGAGAAAATCTACGACGAACTGCCCATCTTAATGGTAGTGTATGCTCTGAAACCGTGGACGAGAAGGAGATGAGAGCGCGCCGCTGGGAACAAAGAATGCCGAAATGGATCGCTTGTGGTGGGTGTTCACGAGAACAATTATTTCCGATGGACAAATAAAACTTAAACTTTCGTGCTGTCGTTCAAAAAAGAGTTCTGGAAATCGGTGCCTGTCGTTAACACATGCTTTTTTTTCGTCCTCTGTTGTTTGTCTTTTTTTTTCGTGCTTGGATTTTTGTTTTTAGTACGCTAGCTGCATTTTCGACGTGCAACTGGGATTGCAAAAGCAGTCATATCCCTCGTTCCATCAACCTCTCCATCGTGCAATATCGAACGTGACCTCGTAGCAGCGAGCGCTGTAGACATTCATGGTAAATTTGTTGTCGAGTGTGTCTCTGTCGACAATATTGACGTACCTCCTCTAAGTACTTCAAATCGTTGCTGCTGCAGGACGCATCTGTATTCACCCCATAGTGACAAAGGAAGAAAGTACTTACTTGCTGAAATAAACAGAAACAAGAATAGAAATAAATTTCCGTCCTGCTTCCTTGGTTTGGCTGTGGAGAATTTCCGCAGCCACGAGCGCACCCTTACCACCTAGAGTTCCGCATTTGTTGCCGTTTACTCGGTCACTGCATGTCGCCTTATTTGTGTATTTTACATACAAGTTGTCTAACTCTAAGTTGGCGGAAAGTTCCTCAATACAAATTCGAAATTCAAACTTGATTTAGCTCCGCATCAAAGCGGCTGGCATTGGATCATGTCAGTGCAGGTGTCCGGCAATGCGCTGCTCGCCGCGAAGCGGATGGGAGTGTTGGGTGGCAGTACGCGAAGCAGCAAGGCGGCGACCGGAGCCGCGTCGGCACCGAGTGCTCAGCCAGAGCATGCCGAAGTAGTAGGAGAGGAACACCACGAGCCGGAGGTGCACGCCGAGATGTACGTGGACGAAGCTTTTCGGTTCGCAGGCCCCAGTATCACACAGAAAAGAGGTAGCCAATTACGGTCGCATTGTTGATGCGCAATAAAACCTGAGAGTAAAGACAAACAGATAAGGTTCGTTCTGTAAGAAAGTAGAACTAGAAGTACATCGAAGTAGAGTGCTGTGCAGCATTTCAAGTCGAAGATGTTTTTCAACGCATCGGCATCCGAATCCGTGTCGTGCTACTGTTTATTTTCTGTGTGATACCCGGCACCAAGAAGCTTGCCAACGCGAAAAACATGTTTCGGCAACGGTGCTGGTTGCTGGCCTTCAAGTGCATGAAGCAAAAGTGGAAACTCGAGAAGGACGAGTTTCGCATCTCGGAGCAGTACGACACGATCAAGGAGCTGAAGCGGCAGAATTTTCTGACGAAGACGGAGGCGGATGCGCGGGTCGCGGACTACAAGAGCCAGATGCTGGTGGTTCGGGAGAACGAGAAGAAGGTGAACGAGGAGATGGCGCGGTTGCAGGAGCGCACGCTGCAGCTGGAGCAGATGCTGCAGGCGACCAACGACGCGCGGAACGCGCGCGAGACCGAGCTGGGCATGATGCAGTCGTCCATGGACTCCCTGCTAAAGGACGCGAAGGAGGCGGTGCGGTTCGAGTTCCGGGAGCGGGAGAAGCAGATCGCGGAGGAGAACATGCACCAGCAGGAGATTCTGCGCAAGGAGGCGCTGGGCTACAAAAACAAGATCGTGGAGGTCGAGCGGGTCATGCGCAGCCGGCTGCAGGAAGAGCGGCTCAAGCTGGCGGAACAACTGCTGCAGGAACGCAAACTGAAGATCAAGGAGCGCATGCAGCGGATGACCATGGCTTTCCACATGGAGGGAAAGGATGCCGCGCACGATAAAGCTATGGCAGACGCGAAGGCGGAGAAGGATAAGGAGGTAGCTGCCGCGAAGGCGGCTGGCGGGGGCGGAAAGAAGGAGAAGAAAAAGCTGCAGAAGCAGGAACTCAAGGAGAGTCAAGTCAACCAAAATCCGGAGAAAAAAGAGGAAATTAAAGCTGCACCAGCGCCGAAGGGTACTAAGTCATTTTTTTTCGGATACCTTTTTGTTTGAGGACCAAAGAAAGCAATGCCGGATATCGTTGATATGCTTTGTATAGTAAAGTCAGTGCGAATTTGATTCAGCATGACGACACGGCAGATCATCATGCTGGGGCAGATTCAAATCTACCTAGCTAAGTAGTGATGTACCCCAAGAAGTAGAAGAGAGGCACGTCGCGCCACCCAAAATTGCTATTTCTTTTTTTGGTTCTACTTGTTCTGTGTGCATAATTTGAAATACGAACAACAAGAAAAAACAAAAACAAATCCCACACCTACAGCTGCTCCCTCCGTGGACCAGGTGCCAGCGCCGGCTGCGACACTGGCCGAAGAGATTGCGCCACGGTTGACCGAGGAGGACATCCGCCACGCGATCGACGCGTGCGAGGAGCGTTTCGAGCTGGAACGGCAGAAGTGGCAGGACGAGCGCGCGGAGCTGCGGCTGATGTACGAGCAAAAGGCGCTGCTGCACGCGCAGCAGCAGTGCGACAAGGTGGCCCGCTACAACGAGCTGGCGGAGCGCAACCGGGAGCTGGAACGGTTGGTGGTGCGGTTCAAGGAAATCGAGCGGCTGCACATCATATGCATTGCAAAAATGTCTGGGTCTGGAAGAATGCATGATTTGTCATGCATATTTCTCATGACCTTGACCCATGATGCCTGTAATGCTTGGTCTAGCATCGCAGACTTTTAGAGGGCTTCCTGATGCACCTTCCGCATGAGAAATGCCCTGTCCGTGTAGCAAAAACTGTGCCCGTCTTGCTGGTCACGCAATACAAATTTTTTTCGAGTCCAAAAACAGCATGACAAGTTGCAATCTTCCAGACCCAGACATTTTTGCAATCCATACATCAAGCAGACCCAGAGCGAGAAAAACCAGCGGCTGCACACCCTGCACCGCGTCACGCGGATGGCGCAACTGGCGCGCGAGGAGAACCTCGGCCCACTGGAGGAAATCAAGGACGTGAAGGACCTCCGGGCGCGGGCGGAGGCGGTGGTGAAGCTAAAGGCCCTGGAGGACCCGACCCACCGCATCGCCCGGTTGATCGCCGGCGAGAAACGGATGCGGCATCCCACGCTGAACCCCACGCTCCTGGAGGCCCCGAAGACTATCAAATGCAAAAATGTCTGGGTCTGGAACATTCTAAACTTGTGATGCTGTCTGTGGATTCTGAAAAAATTTGTATTGCATGAACAGCAAGAGGACTCCAGTTTGTGCTACGCGGAGAGGGCGTTTCTCATGCGGTAGAGGTATCAGAGAGCGCTCTAAAAATCTGTGATGCTACGGCATGCATCACAGACGTCATGGGTCATGGAAAATATGCATGACAAGTCTAGAAATCTTCCAGACCCAGACATTTTTACATTTGATAAAGACGGAGACGGAGCAACTGTGGGAGCTGTTCGGGTCGCTCCGCGAACTCGACCAATCGGCCGCGGACCTGCAGCACACGCCGCAGCGGGGCGCGTTTTTGGAGCCGGACCCGCCGGTGTACACCCCGGACTACGCCTTCGAAAAGCTCTACACCAAGTTCCCCCACAACCTGCCCGACATCGACGAATACAACACCGCGGTCAGCAAGCTCCGTCGCGCCAAAGACAAAATCGCCACCATGAACCTGTTCGGCGGGGGCTCCTCGAGCCTGGCGGCAGGCGCCGGGGGCGAACAGGATAGTAGTACAACCGGGGCAGGCCCGAACGAAGTCGCCGCTCCTCCGACCGCAGGAACTTCCCTTCCTGCACTCCCGGAGCTTGTCAGTGAGGCCGCAGGAGAAGTTGTAGCGCCACCAGTAGACTCGGTTCCGCCCGCGGAGGCGGAGTAAGTAGCAGCTGTGGTCATGATCCTTCATCTGGATGGATTGAAAATCAAAAATTCGAACCGGAGGTGGAAATGAACGGGCACTAGGTCACATTTTTTACCATAATGTACAATAATGCTTTGCAGCAGCAGTGGGCTTCTTGAAGATAGCGTTCAAATGTATGGTGTCAAGGCGAGTAATTTGCCGTAAAGTTGTGTACAAAATGGAAATTCTCTCGCTCGTTTCGATCGATTTACCAATAGTAATAGGCGCTTCATTTTTCCGATACAATCTCCGGCAAAGGCGAAAATAATCAAAGTGCTCTTTGTATCATGCGAAAAGTACTGGTGCTAATCCTAGTTTTTGTTCTCCTTGATGTTGATGTATTTTAGCGTTGTACACGACCACGCTAGTTGTTGGTGGCCATCGGGGGATTTACCGAATGGCATGCAACTTTTTGTAAAATCTATTATTGCCCTTTTTGAAGAAGTTGCACTAGCAGCGCGCGAAATGAATCAAACGTTTGCAGTGAGCCTTTTTTTTTTCGACAAATGACAGAAACTGTCCTGTGTTCGTGATGCCTGAAATGGAAGAAGGACGACAAATCGCAAGGATACAGGAAAATGATCAACATGCGCAAGCTCTTCCGAAAATAGATGATGGCCATGGTCTTGTCGTGCAGCCGTATGTAAAAGTCGAAGGGATCGGTTTTAGAGGTGCTTGATTTAGTTTTTTTGATCACCACAGCGCAAAAAAGCCGTTCTTCTTTCCGATATATCGACGAGTGACAAAAAGAGGGAAAGATTTTATTGTTTTGCCGTTCCTGTATAAATGGTTTTGTGAGGTAGCTGAGTCTCTCCGCACTACTGAAACGACCCATCCCGACTCCAAAAGATCCTGAAAAAACAAACACGGGGAACCAGCACCATGGCCGACGCTTCAGAAAAATTGAGCACCACGTTGCCCGCGTCCCGGTTCTACAGCAGCGTCGACCTCGCGGGGAAAACCGTTTTGGTCACGGGCGCGACTGCAGGCATCGGGGAGGCGATTGCCTGCCGCTTTGCCGAGCTCGATGTGCGGCTCGTGCTCGTGGGCCGCCGCGCCGAGCGGCTGGAGAGTCTGAAGGCGCGACTGTTGCCTTTCTACAAGCAGACTGTGATTGCCGAGGAAGCGGACCGAGTAATCTGCTACCCCCTTGACGTGACCGACAAGTCGGGTGTGGAAAAGTTAGCGGAAACCATCGGGTTTGTGGACGTTTTGGTGAACAACGCTGGCCTCGCGCTCGGGACCGCGACCGCAGATGAAACGCCTTACGAAGACACCGCGCAGATGTTCGCGACCAACGTGCTCGCGTGCGCACACTTGACCCAGGTTTTCGGCTCCAAAATGAGGAAGCAGCAGACGGGGCACCTGGTCTTCATCTCCTCCGTCGCGGCAAAGGACTACTACGAGGGAGGCGCAGTGTAAAAATTTGAATGACACAGGAAAAGGGATTGTGATTTTAGTATATTTAAGTAGGTCAATGCCTGCTCCTCCAGAAAGCACAAAAGACAGGCTAGCTCCTAGATACCAATCATAACGCTCCATCTCCAAGCTCCAAATCGTTTTGTTTCCTGAGAAACAGGGCTGGACGACACGAACACGATAGTGCCGGTAAAGAAAAATTTACAGCTGCTCTCCACTTTCTTATCGGTACTATCACAGGTATTGTGCCACCAAGGCTGCGATCCGGCAGTACGCCGATGCGTTGCGCTGCGACGTGGTGGGCACACCGCTGCGCGTGACCACTATCTCGCCTGGGTTGTGCGAGACGGAATTCTCTCAGGTGCGGTTCAAGGGGGACACTGGTAAGGCGGGGACGGTTTACGCGAACATTTTACCATTGCTCCCCGCGGACATCGCGGATAACGTGGTGTATGCGTGCACACGACCCAGCCACGTCCAGATCTCGGATCTGACAGCTTACTGTACCAACCAGGGACACGCGAAATATGTCGTCTCCCGGTGTGGTGACAGCTTGGGGGCGAAGTAGTGTTGAAACTATGAAAGAATCGACGCTGCTGAGAAGGGCCAGCCTCGGGGTCGGGTCGCCTTTGCTACGCGAAACGACCACCGCCGGTATCGGTGTTGACGGATTTTGAAGGCTGGAGTTGCCAATGCGCAATCTATTTTTCTCACTTTGTCTCCACTGCTTCGGCAGACATTTTCCACATTTTCCTTTCCAAGAAATCTGTGCGGGCCAGCACATAGAGATCGATGCGGAAAACCATTTTTAGTCTCGGCTGTCTTGTTTAGCTGCCGTATGTAAGTGCCAATAGATTGTACTGTCCATAAATTGAACTACGGGCGCGAGGCTTGTGAGACCGACGACGCGTAGCGCGAGCATGACAAGTGGCCAATGCACGACGCAAGCTCGTACACTCACAACTCTTTTGTCACGCGCACTCTAATTTGCGCACGTGTTCTTCATCTTCAGGAATACAAGGAGGCGAAACTCAGGTGACGAGAGGTAGACGAGATAGTGCGGTTATTTGCTACAGAACCGGAAGCGCGCACGAGTGTAAGATCATCAAGCAGGAGGCCGAATTTGTCAAGAGGCTGTAGCAGTTTTCTTCCTCTCGTGCTTAGTGGTTTTGCTGAGTAAAAATTGAAGTTTATCTGCCGTCCTCGCACCCGCACGGAGCATGCGAGAAGCTGAGCCCCCCCCTCCCGTTCCGTTGGTTTTTGTCTTTGACTCACCTAATGGATGATGCTTTGTGTTTGTATGTTCTAGTTTCTCGGACTCCACTTGTACTGACGTTTTTGTTTTTCATTCTTTAGTTGTTTTTGGCTCTGTCTTTGGCAGTAGCTTCGACCTCGGAAATATAATAATGAATCGTAACCAGCAGGACCAGCCCATCCCCATCATATCTATTACCGGGACGCCTCTACTAGCTGCATCAGCGCTTCACGCTGCGCATTTCCGACACTGTGCGTGTTTTTCTGGGTGCTTCGCCTGTTAACTTGCTTTGTGCCCTACACGGTATACCTGCGAAACCTCTACTGCAGATAAGTACCACCTTCACCCTGAGCTGCCATGATGCAAGCCTTGTACGTAGGGGCGCTCGAGGTGCGCGCGCAGCTGAGGCATCGGCTCATGGCACCTATGTACGCAAGTTTTCAGGCTGCTTCGACTTTGAGCCCCTCGCCCGGCAAATCGCCGTCCTGGAGCAGCGGGAGTTCCGCTCCTCAGGCAGGCCAAGATCATCTTCACGCCAGTAGTCGAGGTACCGCCTCTTCTACGTCGCTGCAGAACAAAATTCCCAACTTGGACGAATTTCTTGCGGGGGCCCGGCAGGCGTTCATCCACGTCAACACGAACTTGGTGCAACTACAAGGGGGGGAAATCGCAACGCTTGAACCCTGCTTCACGCCCTCTTTCTGGGAACAAATCAAACACGTCGGTACTTCTCGTTTTACGGCCTTCGTCAGGTGATCTCGTCCAGCAACGAACGAGCTGGAGAATCAATATAAAGCACTCGTCATTTTTAAGTTTACAGTAGGCCGGCGCCGGAAAGTGGTGATTTGCATTTTTGCTGGCCACCCACCGTACTATCGAATAAATAGGTGACCACCTCGATCAAGACCGGGCCGAGCATGGGGAGTCTTACCGGCTTCAGTTCAAGCAGGTGACGCCGTACCTGAATGAAGTTATCTACAACGAGGAAGAGAAGAAGCTGTTCGTGGAAGTGGAGTACTTTTCGCGGTATTCGTTTCAATTTGAAGGTCCAGACAGTGCCGACGAGACGCGGTTTAACACCGTGCTGTTCGAGATGGTATCAAATGCAAAAATGCCTGGGTCTGGAAAATTCTGAGACTTGTCATGCACGGTTTGCATGACCCATGATGTCTGTGATGCATGCCCTAGCATCACAGGTTTTTTGAGGGATTCTTGATGCGTATTCCGCATGACAAATGCCCTCTCCGCGTAGCAAAAATTAAAATCCTTTTGCTGCTCATGCAACACAAATTTTTTAGACATCCAAATGCAGCATCACAAGTTGCATTCTTCCAGACCCAGACATTTTTGCATTTGATAGATGGAGCTCAGCGACAATCCGACTGACGGCAACGCGGAAGGCCCGGCATTCCGCATAGCAAGGAGCGAATAGAAGCTTCTGCGACTGCTACGCATGCAGTAATATTTTTAAAAGTCGAACAGGCTGTTCATCTTTTTCCTGTAAGATAAGTACGTACTTTGTACGTCGACGTCGTTGCAATTTGTGCGTATCTCACGTCGGTCAATGTTGCGCGCTAAGCGTCTCCGTTGCAGCAGTTTGTTTCGCCGCATCTGAACAATGGTACTTGAAGTAGGCTTTCGGGTGAGTACTATTCGTCTCCATGATGATCGAGGATCTTCATCTTTAGGTGTACAATACCATTATGGCCCTGCTCATCATGATGATGAAGCGCTTTGTCGCTCCATCAAAACTCCTGCTGGGGGAGAAGAAATATCGCTGTACCACCAGTTACAGTTTCAACGACATCTGCGCACGCGGCGAGAAGAGCGCGTCTCCCGCAATTTACGGAGACGCCTGCTCTGGTCGTGGAGGTCTCGCTGATTCCAATTTTTTTCTTTGTAAGATTTGCATTTTCTGATGCATTCGCATTTGTTTTCTCGAGGTCGTCGTCATGCTCGACCAGACCCAGAGAGTGCCAGATCAAAGAGAACCAGGTAAATGGTGGTATTCGTTGAAAGACCAAAATGCTATCAAGTTGTTTTGTACCTCTATCAAAAAATCATGTTGTGTCAATGAATGATGTTTCGACAACACAGTGAACAAACGCCTGATGAATGATAAGCATCCCAAAATTTTGATGTCTTCCTTTCTCCCGAAGCATTCTCTCCCGGTACAGATGCACGGGGGATCATGCTCGGGGTAAAGAACGCAAATATGACCTTACAATATGCTTGTACAACTTGTCATAGTGCGCACAGTTATATTTGAATGTGAATGATAATCTATCTCTGCGCACCAGAGTGCGCAGATTAGCATGCAAGTATGCACCGTCGTGCATGAAGAGATCTGTGTCAACCGTTCATCCGTGAACGTTTTTCAGTTGCGGTAGCTAGCTGGTCAACTTTAGCGATCACAGCAGTTGCCCCTCTTGTATGTGTACGCTGCGTTGTTCTACTGCGTAAGTACGCCATCGACGGCCACGGCTGTCGTTGTACGTCTTTTGCATTTTACTTTTCGTGGTCATTTGACTTTTTCTTTTTCACAGCCGCAGCACCAGCAGCTTCTTTCAGCTCCGCCTTTTTATATACTACGAGCAGTGATGGATCGTGTTTCCACAGCTTTGGTCGTGCGTTCCAGTAACAGCAGGAGATCATTTTGATTTTTCTTCTTGATGGTCATTTTATTTTTTTCGAACTTTTTGTCGCGCTCCTAGAGTTTTTTTGGTTCTTCCGAGCCAGGAGCCGTCTATTCGATCGATTGAGGAGCAAAATTTTTGTGCATGAAAACAATTATTGAAATGTGAGGACGACGACGACGCCTTCCTCGGTGCATGTTATTCAGCACGTCTCAGGCAAGATTTTTTTAGTTTTCGAACATAAAAAGTAAAAGTAGTCGATTATATTCCAAGGTCTACAAGGAGGTGATGTTGCCGTATTGACAAAGACTTCGTGTTTCTGTGTTTCCGAAAATAAACATGCAGCGCAACGGTGCAGTCATTGCGTCCTTGCAGACTTCCGCAGATCGGGGGCATTTGTCTACCGGTATGGTGCCGCAAGCGACAGCGAGAAGTCTACCAGTGTTTCGCTTTGCTTTTACCACAGTGCTGCTTGGTCTGAGCTGCTCTTTTTTGCAACTCTGCGCAGGGGCACCTCTGATCCAGCACCCGCAAAGCCGGAAAAACACTGACGGTTTGGTTCGTTTGCTGCTTTAGTACTTGATTTAGGCTACACGTACAACTTACATAATATTGGCGCAGTGACTCTGTTATATATATGAAAATGAATGAGTCTGTGTGCAGTTTCTGAGTATGAGCATGAGATTACTCCTCGTCACCACGCTGGAGCGAGCCACAATGAAGATCGGTTATGTCGAAAAACGTGCACACGACGCACACAGTGTGGAAAAGAGGCCGAAAAATGTATGAAACAATACTTGCAGGAGACACGGATTCGCTATTTGACGACCGGAGCGATAGCGATTCCGAGTATATCAAGCCACCGTGCCGCGTGGCCCGAAATGGTGCGGCCTCTATGGAGCTGGATCCGCCGTTTGTATATTTTCTTATTTGAATGTTAGCATTTTTCTTCACGTTTGCAGGTAGGATTTCGTAGCGGGTAGACACCGACTTTGTTCGTGTTTTTCGTTTGAACGGTTTCCGCGTGCATCTCTCGCAGGCGTGGCGGTTTTACACGATGTCGCCGGGCTACAACGTTCTGGAGGATGCGAAAAGCCAGCACCTGTACTATATGGCCCGCTCAGGTGATGTTACAGGATCCGGAGCCTCTTTTTCTCCCCTTCAACGAACCCAGTCATTCGCAGGACGTGCATGACGATTTTTCTCACTTCGCTCACCTACAAGTAGTGCTCAGGTTCGACTCCCCTCTGGGATTTTACAGAGCAATATACAAGGCAAGCGGAGAAGATTTGTGACGCCAAACTGGCCACATCAGGATAGGCCAAGCTCTCCGTCTAGCATGACAGGTTTGGTAGACTGGAGTCTGGTCCTGTACAGTGTTGGCCCCAAACCTTGTCAAGCGTGTGAGTACGAGGATATCATTTTATGCCACACAAATCTCTGAAGTATTGCACCTGGAAGATGAACAGTTGTGATTGTGACACCTGAGCAGGCCATATACTATCTGAGCGAGTTTCCCTCGGCCTACCGCGTCTTCACCAAGCTGCTGCACGGGGTCTCCACCTATGCATTGCAAATATGGCAGCGTCTAGAGGAGTCAAAGTGCAGATGTTTGTCATGCAGGTGCTGTCACATGGACATGGTCCAAGGCAGAGCCTACAGCACAGAGAGCTGTGCAATGCCTGTTACTCTGCATGAGAAATCCTCTCTCGCCGTGGCGAAAAATAGACCGCTCTTGCCACTCATGGATGACAGATTTTTGTGTGACGGACGGAGAGCAGCACAAATTTGCTCACTTCCAGAGGACCCGGACATATTTGCGTTTGATACCACCGGGGTGTTCGTGCTGGATAAAAATCGCCTCAACCAGCTGCACTTGGACGACGCCATGCAGAGCATGGCGGATCTGAGGATCGTGGATCGCGACCTTCCGGCAGCGCCATCTGGTACAACATCCGCACAACTGATTGAAACGCACGAAGAGCAGCAGGGCGAACAACGCCAGGATGAAAAGGTTGACAGTACAACTAGCCAGCCAGCTCCAGAGCCGGAGGCGAACGACGGCCGACAAAAGTCTACTCTGTCGTCCTTGCTTTCCCGCAATATTAAAAGTACTGCCAGCACGACGACCACGCCAAATTCTACTACGCGGGCAGCTTCAGCACACCACCGGCGCGATGATGAGGAAGATGTGCTCGGGTACTTGCGCGAGAATTTCATCGCCATTGAGCACTGGCTCCCCGGGTCCGCAAACATCGAGCAAAAAGTGGAAATGTGGCGCATGTTCCTGAATGCCGCGGTCGGAGCGGACAACAAGTTATCCGCAGCACTCGAACACAACGCGCTCGCGGAGATGCAACAGCCGAACCATCCGGCTATCCTCGGCTGCTCGGTGGAACAAGTCGAGGAGGCGTCGACCAAAGCCGCCGGCGTTTTTGCGGGCAGATCTACGGCTGTGGCGGCCGCCACACCACCCGAAGAACAAGAAGAAGCAGAACCAGAAGCGCAGCGCAAGACGGAGAAGGAAGCAGAAGGTAACGAACGGCAGCAAAATGTTGAAACAGGAGGCACGACCGACGAGGCCGCTGGTCACGTATTCAAGTACACACTTTGGATTGATCCGCGCCGCATGTCTATCCAAGAAAAAAACTGTGTTAGTGTAAGTCTTTTGGGAAAACAGCATCACAAGTTTGTCTGCCATGACAGGACAAACTTGTTATGCGCAGATACAAAGGGAAAACACGTAGGAAGCGAGCCGGTCATGCATGTCGAGCATGACAAGTGTAACTGTTTGGCATTTTCTGCATCACAGATTTACACTTACACAGTTTTTTTTTGCATAATGTCCGACGACGGGTCCGGCTGCACGACCCGGACGCCCTCCATGCCCAGCCAGGAAAGTTGCGAAGACAATTACGTATGCATCGCAAATGTAAGTGTGATGTCTGCATGCATTGAAAAAATACAAAGGTTTTGTGATGAAGCGGATTTCTGCATGATGAATGCAATTGCAAAGGGTTCAAACCCAGCCACGCTCATGCACGAGCATTGCTTCGGTGCGACTGCTCCGCTTCGGGCCCTGAGGAAATCTGTTTTAGCCCCCGAAATCGAGTTTGGCACCGCAGTCTGGAAAATCCACATGATAGACGATGATGATGATGACAAATTTGTGGTCGAAGGACCATCCCGAGGCTTTTTAAGGCGCAAGCGCAATGAAAATATTAATCGTATGCCCGTGCTTGGATAAGAACACTGGTGCACACTCATGCAATTAGAGCCTCAAGGTCAACGTCAAGCCATGCTCACTTTTCAGATGCAGACCCAGAGATACACATTTAGGCATTGCATAGTGCGATGACGACAATGACGGCGGATCTAGCAAGCTCTACCTCGGGATGACACCCGATATGTATTACGACGACGACAATTCCACGGCCTGTCAAGTGCCGTCTCGGCAGCAGTCGGCCACGGACGAGCGGAGCGAGGGTACTAGTACTACATTTGGAACGGCAGCGTGTGCCGCAGCACGACAAGATACGATCATGGACTCGGAAACTGTGGAGGACGCGGCTGCGAATAACAGTATAATAAATTCATAAATTATCCCACTTTTCTTCCCTGACTTCTCGTAGCAAGGTCGTTTTACTTTATTACCTATCTTACTTGATTTGATGAAGCTGCAGGAGTGCAGTGTTACTCCTTGGAGCTCCTGGCTGTCTTGGCTCTAAACGTGTAGCCGGAGCATGGAAGAGCCTGCCGTGTATCTTCGACCGAGACATCCAGCAATAGCAGTTCGCGCAGGAGGTTCTCTTTTTCCAATCTGTGTAGGTGACACTTCGACTTCGCTGAAGGAGGATCTCGATGATGAATACGAGATTGTCGAACCTGAGAGCGTTCCTGTGGTGCCGCCGTTCCCCGCGCCGCCCGGATTCCGTCTGCCGCCCGGGTTAGAGAAGCCTGAGCACCCCTCGAACCAGCAGATGAGACGTGGCATCGTGAGCCGTTTAGTGGGACGGCGCGAGCAGGACCACCGGACCGCCACGCAAACGGCGAGAACTACCAAGTCGGAATTTTACTCTGACACAGAATCTTCTGCTGCTGCGCACAACGTGATGAACCGTGATCGGGACAACTACTACAACAGCGACGAAGCTGCAAAGCACGACGAACGCACCGCAGAGGACAAGTCCATCGACAGTGGCCGCGCGCTGGTTAGAACAAGCAATCGGGCTCCCCCGCAAAAGGATTCCGCCGCTTCTTGCTCCACCTGTCGGTCCGCTCCTTCGTCCCACGCGGACCTTCCTCCGGCTTTTCGAACCGTGTTTCTCTTCGTCGACGCCGCTGCCCGCGAGCTGTACGCCCCTTTCCCGGACCTCAGCCTAAATGAATTCGACGAGTGCGCGCAACCGCAGGTGACGCTGGGTTCCTCGGTGGTCGAGAACTTTCGCGCCGGGGTTACGCACGGAGAACTGCTGACCATGGAGCAACGCGCCTTTGACTTCCGCGACGTGAAGGGCGTTGTGAACAGTTGGCGGGAGTTCCCCCATTTGGCTGCAATCACGCTCACCAGGGTCGGCGGCGTCGTGGGGACTACCGCCGCAGCCAATCTTGCGCAGGAGCAGGTGTGGAGCGTTCAGTTCTGGGCCTACCGCGGGCCGTTCATCCAAAGTGTCAACTTGCAGTCCAAGATGTTTTATGCACTGCACGAAATATGTCTGGGTCTGGGAGTGTGCAAAGCTGTGACGCGTCCTACGGGTCGAACAAAAATCTGTCCCGCATGATTACCAAAAGTCGTCCATTGTCGACCGAGGTTAGAAGGAACAAAGAAAAGCATGATAAAGACGTAGACTGTACAGAATCTGTCGTGCTGGTTCCTGCATTTCAGACCAAACCTCACGGGGCATGGAAAACCTAAATGACAAACCTTGCCACCCTCCAGACCACGATATTATATTTGCACTTGATATGTTTCTCACGGCCTATCACTGGCCACAGTTCGTGCACCGGGGGCTCACGGCCGGCCGGCGCACGCATCAGTTGCGTATGGACGACTTACTGCACGACTTGTTACACAACGAGCGCCGAATCACGGTCGAGAAACGTCGCGTGCCGACGGAAAAAACGCAATTTCTGCAGACGGCAGTACATCCATATTTGCTTTTTTTATTGATACATAAAACATAAGAACGGCATGTGAATTGTGGGTAGTACTAGTAAATCTAGACTCGAGCAGCAACTTCTCTTGGGGCAAGAAAATATTAGTTGTGCTATTGCTATCAATCCTAGAAAAACCCTGCCTATCGTCGAGGCACATGATGTTATCATGGATCTACTTGCTCGTGCGGGCCCGCGTCCTTTTGCTCCGAGAGTCCACTTGCAATTTCGCTTCAGGTCACCGACCACACAGTTGTCCCTTGGGACCCACAGTCCATCGAGTTTCTCGGTTCGTTTCTGGAGTCTCAAGTTCATCGGCGAGAAGTGTGGAAGGTGAGCGCACAGATCGAGGGGCCTGGCTGGGTGCAGGTGCATGTGGTTTATCGGCTCCCCGACGAAAACTTTCTGAAGCATCGCCCGGGCTACCGCAGCAGTAAGAACAAAGACAGGGTCTACTAGGATTTCGATTTTCACTTAGGTTGAAGACGAGAACGAGTACTTACTGTGGCTGTGACCAGCCGAACAACATCGGCGTCCGATGCAATGAGTGTCGCATAACTCCATCTCGAACTACAAGAGCAGACCAGTCCGTTTTGTTTGGTCGACCTTATAATTTTCCCTTGGAAGAATAAGAAAGAAATCCACTTTACATGTTTGTATGTCTTCCATCAGTTATAATTGTTATACTCAGCTTTCTCTGTTACTGTTTGACATGGACAGGATGTCAAACAGTCGTGCTGGTCCGTCCAGTCGGCAACTTTTGACTTCGCGACATTTTGCTTTTGCCCGATTCTACCCTCCTACTAGCGAATCGACGTCGTCGGCACTTTTTCTATTTTCCGGTCTTGATGGTTTTTTCTTTTTCAGATGTTCATGTTGAGAATAAAGTTGATGTTGATGGCCGCAGAGAGGACCCCCAACATGCTCAGGAAGCCTTCTTATCGCGCCAATTTTGTCAACACCCCCGATTTGTATTTAAGACGGCTTTAGATTTTTTACAAAATGATTCTCATGACGCTAGCGGTAGTACTTCTAACCACGTCTAGGCCCAGAGGCAGGCGCGGCCGAGGATGCTGTCTGCGGAAAATTCATACAACCGACAAATGTACCCCTGCTGGCTTTTGACGATCTAAGCTGCGACGAAAAGACGAATTCTTCGTATCTGATGGATTTTTTACTCATCTTCAGCGGGAGTTTGAGCTGTCGTGGACGAACTTCGTTTAAAAAATTCATAGAAACAGTTGGGATCTACCTGGACCCGAATTCTGTGCTCGAAGGCCTGCAGAATTTCAATGAGAAATCGAATGTCATGCTTTTCTTCATCGTGCAACAGATGGAGCTCCTCAGAAATGTGCTCATGCAAAGAAAGTGCAAAAATGGCCTGCCTCCCGATAGACCGCCCATCAATCCAGAAAGAGAAGTAGTCTTTCGCGCAAAATGGACGCCAGGCCATGCTGATATGTATTTCAATGACACTGCAGATTATTTAGCTGGCGCAGCGCTGCGCCGCTACCAAACAGCGGTAGAACAAGGCCTGGATATGATAGTATATATGAAAGAAATAACGCCAACGATCAACCTAGGCTTGGAGAAGGAGGAGGACGCGAAGCAGGATCGACAAGTGCTGAAAGCGGATATTGCGAGTGGAGTGGACGATCTGGTGCACAGCCAAAATCAAGTCGAGACGACGCAACGGAGAAATACACGGGGAAAGGAGAAAACCAGGGAGAGTGCTGATGCTGGTACTGCTGCGCCAAAACTGGATCCGGTAACTGGACTGCCGCTGCTGTCAGAAAATGATGATCAAGCTCCAGGGACACGAACTACAACTAGGACGCGGAAGTCGAAAACTAAAATGAAAAAGAAACAGGAAGAGAGTCTTATTTGTAATGAAATACAAAACGAAGATGAGAACTCAAACAAGCACTACAAGGTGCAAGCACTATTACACGAAGAAGGCCTCCTGGAAGATGTTGTATTGCAAAAGAAATTAGCTTTGATTGGACCAGGGAAATGGCATTTATGTGGTGGCTTTTTTACTCATCTTCAGGGAATGGCATTCTGATGGATCAGGGAATTACTCATCTTCAGGGAATTACTCATTTATGTGATTGGACCAGGGAATGGCATTCTGATGGATTTTTTTACTCATCTTCAGCGGGAGTTTGAGCTGTCGTGGACGAACTTCGTTTAAAAAATTGTTATTGTTTCGCTTTCGAGCTCCTGACCATCACTAGTTTGAGAATTTCGCGATTGACAACAGTAGAATATTCGAATGCGGTGCGCCATTTGCAAAGTAGTTTGCGGTTGTTCCACCTCCTGATGACCTACAAACATGCATATGCATATCAATCGGCTTGTTTTCAGCGGTCATGTATTTCTGGCTTCAGTACACCGCAGCGCCAACCATCCACGTGAGTTAAACTTAAATCAACGAAGATTGAAATGGCTCGTCGGTTCGTTCAACATTCGGACACTCTTTGAACAATTCAGCGCACGCTTTGTCGTCGGTTCTTCGGCCATTAAGTACAATATTTTAGCACAGCAATTCTTTCGGTTTTGAGATTTCACATCGGCGGCTCGTGCTGATGTGACTTGGCCAGTAATGTGCAAAGATGCGAAGTCGTGACTCAGGCATTATTCGTTCGACACGATTTTCGTTCACAATTCCAGCTCTGTCGTTCACAATTCCTTCTCTAGCTGACGTCCTGCAACCATGCTGCAATAGTGAGGCTGCGTACTAAAAGAAACACATTTGCCGAATATATTTATCATTATCATATCAAACGTGTTTTGTGTAAGATTAAGAACTAAAGGATGTGAGCGGCGGGCCCTTGAACTAAGTTTTTTGCAGCAAGAGTTTTTCTGAACTCAGGCCCGTCTATAGTCCGGGAGCAGCCAACTCCCGTGCACTTTTGATGGCAATATAAGCACGCGTACAATATACTGACTTCTAAACTATAATACGCGCGTATGTACATGATCCGGAAGAAGAATTGAGAACAAGAGAATACTCAAAAACGAAACGGATACACATGTGTTGAATGAATGAAGTCGGGCCCGCACGCCGGCCGCGCTTAAGGCTGGCGCATCGTAGAATGAATGAATGAATGAACACTGTGACGTCTCGTCATGTCATTGTCAAGCAGCCCGTGTGTGTTTCGATTCGCATCCCCACCCTACGCATAAACTTTCCCGCCTACTTCTTTTGCGTTTATATATAGTTTCCGCCGCCCGCGACCACGTCGCGCATGCGGCATCGAAGAATGCCGGCCACTTCGTTGGGACCAGTCGGCTGGCACCGACACCCCATCCGCTTCCTGAGATCATGCCGGGTGTTCCTAGGAGGTTGCCTTTGGTGTCGTAGCACGCTTCTCGAACGACTGCTCGTCGTCTCCCCCGGAGTTGTGCACGCCTCAACCTGTCCGACGCAAACCACACCGAGCTACGTGTCTGCCGCGTGTCCGTCGTCAAGCTACACTGGAACAAACGGCCGCTGCACCGTAGCGCCCACAGTCGCCTCCTCCGGCGCGGCGGTCTTCTTCCGCTGGTTTAACTCAGCCGCGTCACCCTTTGCCCTGTACTATCACATGGGCGATCACGCTTATTCCTACACTACCGGGTGCTGCTACGAGAACCAGCAGGCAGGCCGGGAAGATATGTGCGATAGCGAGGACGTCGGCTGGACTAGCCTGGTGAGCGGAGGGACTTATATTGCGATCCGGCGCGTCGACTGGCTGGATACGGGGGTGACCCTCACTTGCGAGCGAAAGACCGAGCTTCTGAACCAGAAACAGCGCGCAGTGATGGTGGTCCCGCTTTCCGAGGTCCGGTACGCCTGCGGAAAGGACAACCCGTTGCGGAAAGGACAACCTCACCCTATGTGAGGCCCTACTTGCTGTCTGAAGACGGAGCCTATCGCTTGCAGCCCATGATCTCGGAGTATCCCTACGGCAACCTAAACCCGTTCGGCGACCCGTATTCGGAGATACCCCTCGGGGTGTCCACCCCCTGTGACATGTCCAGCACCGCGGACGCGTCCGCCCAGGGCGTGCTCTACATTCCGCAGACCTGCCGGACGCTGCCCAACCCAGCCACGGCGGAAGGGAGCGCGCCCCGCGATACGTGGTTCGCGGCGGAGGCGTTCACGTGCCACGAGACGCTGGCGTGGGCGGATGGGCAAAAGTTTACCACGAGTTTTCAAAAGACCACCGGAACGGGAAGCTTGCAGGTTACTGTGACGTACCGGCTTGTACTGCCCGATGGCGCCACCAGTGTGGCGCCCGCGGACGTCGACCTGGTTTGCGGGACGGACGGTAAGTCGCGGTTTTACCTCCGCGGCTCGCGGGCTGGGGCGGGGGGCGTAGAGGTGACGCTCACGCCACCGGCGCCGGCCGCGAGCACGGCGGCCAACGAGTATTTGTCAAGCCGACCGGACTCCTGCTACCTCGGCGAGCACATTACAAACCGGGCCATGCGAACCGCGCCCGGAAACGTGGGATCTGCCTGTCCAGGTAAAACGACAATGGCCAAAGACGAGATTTGCAACGTGGCGCCGGCCGTTGTTGCGCCCACGCTAGACATACCACTGGATGAACAGACCGTCTTCTACGCACTGGTTGAGAGAAACATGGTGAGATACCAGAAACCGGTGCCCGTCTACCCGGTCGCCACGACTGCGGTAAGGTACCATTGCAAGGCTCCCGTGATCGGGCACGGCCGGCTGCTGCGACCCTTTGCCCCGCACCCGCTAGCTGTATCGTCGGCGGCAGTCGAAATCCGGGCGGGGCGAATCTGCGACATGCGCAGCTTCCTGCACCAGTTCCACGCCCTACTGGACGTCGGGGATTGCCTGTTTGCACCGAAAACCGATCTTGGCGCAGAAGCCTTTCAATGCGTGTCGACAAAAACCTGGAAGACCGCCGCCCGGGAGGCGACGTACAGCCTGAAGCTGGTACTTGCTTACTATTATACTTGATTCGCACGCTTGGCTTTTACCCTTTTTCGTACGTGTTTTGTGTCACAGCCGCGCCCCTATGGTACAAATTGACTGCCCACCCACCCTAAACTGGGCGCGCAGTTTCTTTCGGGCTGGACGAGGGAGGGAGTAGCACGCAGCAGCCTGCCAGAGGGCGCGCTGCCCGCGTCATCATCAACAACATCATCAGCATTGTCATCACGACGTTGCACACGTAGACGGGCATTGAGGCTCCTGACATCATGTTGTAGTGGCTGCAGTGCTAAGACTTGCATATGATCTGGTAACCAAATGCGTGCGCGCGCGCGCGCAGAGCGCGCGCCGGCCCACGAAGCCGGCGCGCGCGCTCTGCGCGCTTGCGATATTGCTTAGCAAACGCAGCGCGAAGGCAGTTGCCGTTACCATATAGGGCAACCGCCGGGAGGCCTGAAGGTCAGGGAAATGGCCAGAAATGAAGCGGGAGAGGGGAAAAAAAGCGGACCAGATGGGAAAATGGCCAGGAGGTCAAAAATGTCGCAAAAATGGCAGAAACCAAGCGGGAGAAGGTGAAAAAAGAGCATTTTTGCGGTTTGGCCCACTTGATATCTGAAAAATAGACGGACTATTTTTTGCTCCGCCCGGTGGCCAGCTGCGTTGGAGAAGCAGGCCCGCGACCTGTCCGGAAGCCTTGGGCCGCTTCGTAACTGGGAAAAGTTGGAAAAAAATGACAAAAAATTGCTTCATAACGTGGGTGGAAGCAATCGTCGGATTTTGTCCAGATCACCCGGGCCACTTGGAAAATGAAAAAAGATGAGAAATTGCGCAAAAGCGCAATCGTTCTGCAGGCTTCAAAACTGCCAGTCAGATGCGGGCGGTAAAAATGTGCAGGTCGCCCGGGCCACTTGAAAAATAGAAAAAGACGAAAAATTGCGCAAAAGCGCAATCCTTCCGCAGGCTTCAAAACTGCCAGCCAGCTGCGGTCGGTGAAAATGTCCGGAGCCCTTCGGCCACCTAAAAACTTGAAAAAAAAGCGAAAATCGCAAAAAATCGAAAACCCTCGGCAGGCTTACAAACTGGCCGCCAAGGGCGGTCCGGTGGGCGCGCGCTTGCGCCATACCATCGCGATTGGTTAAAAAAAGTCGGACTAGAAGCGGGCGGAGGCATGTCCCAAAATCCCGATTTGGCCGGGGTTGTGAGCACCAATTCGGGACCTCCGCCGCGTCTGAAGTGGCCGATTTTGGTTGCCCGGAAGGGTTCGCGGGTTTTCGGCTTTCCACATACCTTCCTGGCCAGGGGGCCAGTTTGTCATGCAGGGGGCTAGAGAGGATGCCCCGTTGCGAAATAGCAGACCGGGTTTCGCCTTCAATGCTTATCGCAGGAGCCTGCGGGCCGCCGCGGGCGACAGTAGTTGTCCGCGGCCCTTTAGGGCCGCGGGGAAGTGGTGGAGCCCGCGGCGGCCCGCAGGCTCCTGCGATAAGCTTTGAATGCGAATCCGGACGCCCCCGATGACCGAGATACCTTCCTGGCCAGGGGGCCAGTTTCTCATGCAGGGGGCTTGAAGAAGAAGGAGTGGGACTCTAATCAAAAATAAATAGCGCCAAAGCGCGGCCCGCAGGGCCGCGCTTTCGCCGCGCGGCTGGTTAGGCTTTCGCGCTGGTTAGAATTTCGCGCACGCATTTGGTTACCAATATCGCCCTCCGGGCGCGACCTTCATACTAAGTGTATAATGTGGCGGCAGGAACAACAACAATACGGATAGTTCGAGGAACCTCGAGGATGGACAATAAATTTGAGAATTCCACCACCGCTCTTTCAGCATCACCTGTGGGGACATGTGCTTGCTTGTGACCTTTTGTAGCCCCTTGCTTGTTTGTTCTACCTGGTGCTATAATTGTCGAGTGATATTAGACTGACTGGTTGCCTTATCGGATTCTGCTTTATTGATATTTCATAACTTTTTTCGTTAGATACCCGCCTTCACCGTCGAGACAACGGTGACTCTGTCCGACGCATTGGTAGCCGTGGCATGCGATGACCATACTGGGCAAGCCGAGCTTCGAAGAGGTTCGCGGCGGATTATTTCGGAGCCCCCTGTGCTCCGGACGTGTGACGTTTTGCTCGACGGGGCGGTCTACGGGCCGAAGGACATGTGCCCGGGTGAAAGTCTCGTTTATCCGTCCGCGACCACGGCCTCGGCGAGCAGCCCGACAGGGGAACGTTGCGGCTCGCCTCCGGACTTTGCCGGCAAGGATGTGGAGGCCCTGTTCTATGAGAGAGAAGCCGCAACTGGTGTCAACGGCAATGGGGCTCAGTCCTGGCAGGTAGGGGTCGTAGCCGCGTCGCAGGTCCGCTACGAGTGCACCGCGACCGGTCCAGCGCCCGGAAAAGCGTCGGATGCCAGCGCGTTTTATGAGATTGCCGCGCCCTGCACTCTAGATCCGACAATCCAGGTCAGCATCTCCGCTGCCCTCATTACGCCACACGCTAGCTGCCTGAACCCGGCGTTGCCGCGCCTGCCCGATGGTGCCGCAGCCGGCAGCCTGCACGTCTGCAAGCACGGCCCGGTCGAAGGAAATTTGATGGACGCCGCGACCGGGGCGGTGCACCGGGTCGAGTACGTGTCGCACAGTGCGGCCGGCCTCCAGCCGCCCTTCTCGATTGCGGCGCCGCGGCTGTTCCTGGCCTGTCAGACCAACAATGTGACGACGCTCGTTGACGCGGAAGGCCGGGAGCTGACCATTTTACCTCCCCTGTCCACCACCACAACTTCGACCACGACCTCGACGCAAACCTCAACGACCACACTGACCACCACAGCGCAGTTCGACGACCCCACAGTGATCACGTTGGAGAGTGGGTTTGCCATCGGCCTAGCGAACGGCATTCCCCCGGTTGCGTGCGGGAAAGACCTCAGCACGTGTGTGCAGTTTCAGAACTCCTTGCGACTAGCCCTAGCCTTCACGGTGGGGCTCGCGGAGTCAGCGGTTGCACTTAAGAGTCTGCAGCTCGACAGGCGACAGAGGAAATTGCAAGACACGTCGACTCGTTCCAGCTTCGCGGAGGTTCATCTTCCGGAGCACCAGATCAGCAGGTCTATGATTATGACCGCTTCCAAAGAAGAAGCTGCAGCAAGACCAGCATCTTCGCCACGTCAGTTGACGACAATTACAAGTGATTGGAAGGCGGTGTTCGATGTTACCACGGTCTTTTCCGCTGCAAGCGCTCTCCGATCCGCGGCAGAACAGCCTGGCGCGTTTCTCGCCCAACTGAGCAGCAATCTCGGGAGCGCCTACTCGGTGGCTGCGGCTACATGTTTGGTTGCAGGCCTCCAGATGACGAACCCGCAAGCCACCAGCGTGGTGACAGTGACACCGTCAACCGCAACGCCCACGACGCCTTCTCCCGCCACGTCGGGAGGTGGTTCCTCGTCTGGCGTCGCGCCGAGTCCGGCACCGACTGTTGGAGGTCCATCAACTACGGATACTTCCACTTCCACAGCGAGCACGGGAACAGGAGCAGGAGCGACGACTCAAGCCGCAACCGACGACGACGGAGTGAAGATCTCCCAACTTTTGTTCCTGCTGATTATCGTCGGGTTTTCTGTACTCGGGTTGATAATCATCGTCCTCATGTATCTGCTTTGTCGCTTCAAGCGGAACTTGAACTGGAAGGAAGCTCTTGTTGATCTTGATGTTGCCGCGCAGCGGAGGTCGAGCAGGGTCGTCACCGTAGCCTCGCGCGGTCCTCTGGGTTCGCGGACGAGTGTCGCATCGCAAAAAATGCACCCCGGCAACACCAGCTTGGAGAACATTGTGCGGAACTCGCGACTCAGCTTGCCTCGAGAGCATTTGGTTGACGAGGAGATTCTTTCCCCCGCCGTCGAGCTCGTCGAACAGACAAAATCAGAAAGAGAGAGCTTTCAGCACGCGCCCCCTGTCTCGCCTTTGGGGCAGGCTTTTACGGAAGAAACAGAGCAAAAACCGAAGCGTCCGAGCACGAGCAGCGGGATGGAGGAGAGTAGATTACGTGCACGACCGCCAAGAAAGAACAAGAAGGCAAAAAAGCGCGTGCCAGACCGCGATCTTTCGTACCAGTGGACTTTTCTGGGACGCGAGTCGGAAAACGCACGAGAGAAATCCGTAAACGAGGCACTGATAAGAATGATTGGCGATGGCGACGGTAAGTTCGGTGCGCAAAAGCAAAACGCGAATCAGAAGGCAGAACTACAGGAAGCGCAGCACGGCGGAAACGAGGAACGCGGCTCGTCCCTGCAAGGGAGTAGCATCAAAACAGGTTCTCAGGGTCAGGAGGACGAGAAACTATTATCGCCCCGCTTATTACAGTATTTGCTTGCAAAGCGTCCTGAGATGAGTATTATCAAGACAGCACCTCCGAAAACAAAGAATGCACCTGCTGCGCCAGCAGCTGACAAGATTCAACCGAAATCCAATCTCCACAAGGCCGACGGGGCAAAAGAAACGAAAAAGCAAGTGGCAGAGAGCGCGGCAGGTGTTGTATCTGCTGCAAAAGAAGAACACATCAGAGGTGCAGCAGGGCAAGTGCAAGACGAGCCAGAGGTGGTTTCGGAAAGCAGCATGGATTTGAAAACGCCACGTGCGTCTACTTCTGGCCAGTCAACGCCACGATCTAACAGGCCGCCAAAGCGTAGCGCGGGCATTGGGCGGAAAGCAGCCATAGCATCTTCAGCTCGCAGTGTTTCCGGTCGCACGAAAGATAAGGCTCGTGCTAGAGGAGCTCCGAAGCATATCACGAATTATAATAGTGAGCCAATTGAATTGGAAAAGGCGACGATAGTCGGCAAGGTTCGAGGAAATCTACCGATACAGAATCCATCCTTAGACGGTGCCTTACCTGCTCCAGATGCAGAGACCGTGAGGCCTGGCGCGACGCCGGAAACGAAAGACACGGTGGAGTCCTCGTCCGAGCACCACTTCGTCTTGTGATTTCGTAGCTCTTTTTTGTCGTTGACGTTGACACATCTTTAGATCCGTTTCCCTCCGCCCCATTCCTGAGAGGTCCACTACCGTTCCTCTTCATTGTCCACATGCACATTTTATGCGGACTTCGCTTACCAGTCTGATGAACGCGAAAAACACACGTCGATAAGAAATGCCGTTTGACCAGAATAAATGCAAAAGGACTCAGTATTTGTGACCAAGAAATGCATGGTATTTCGCGACGTGCTTCCTGTTGTGAGCTTGCGGGAAAGATTGAAAAGATTTAAAAGTTTTGGAACCAACTGCAAGAATTGCAGAGCTTTGGGAAAAAGTATAGAAGACGAGTTCCTCTCGCCGAAAGTGTAACAAGTACCTATCAGAGATCGTTCAGGCATGCAAGACCAAGAAATGAATCCTAATCTCTGCAAGTCGAACGCATGGACTCTTGACCCAAACGACGTGACTTGATACCGACTGTACTATTTGTACTTACGTCCTCTATGATCTGTCAGTCTCAGTGAGAATAATCGACCACCATCATCGCGTGCTGATGATCATCGTTTACCAGCAGCATGTGAATGATTTACGATCTGCCTGATGTTGTATTGTCGACTTGGTTTTTCTCGTTCTAGTGATGTGGAAAACTGAGCTTTCCGCGATCCGAGTCCGACTTTGATGTGATCAACAATTGATTTTCTGCAGCGACATAGTCTTCAAAAATGTAAATGTTAGATCTTGTCTCTGTAGTTGTATGACCTTCCCAAAAACGTGAACGGATTGATAGTGACTCGATGCATTTTCTATTGCTTGTTGTACAACTTTTTTTTTGTGTTTAATGGCACCGCGCCGAGCTTCTCAACACTAGCTGCTCAGACTTACTCGAAAGGCAGACTGTCATATTTTTCAAATAAACAAAGCAACTGAGTAGAAATTCCGCTAAAGTCTCTTCTTGATGAACGAATAGTGTGTGTCTTTAAGGATTTCGGAATACGATTTTTTTTTGCTATGGGCGACAATCAAATTAATTGAAATATTCTAGATCAATTCCGAGTCTTGAAATGGCGCGACCGAAGACAAAGCCTTTGCCAGGTCGGCAGCTTGCGGTAATGGCCGCCGGTGTTGGGATCCTGGTGCATGCCGGATATGTCATACTTGAACTCAGAAAAAATGCAGCACACACCGTGGAAAGCATACCTCTCCTGGTAAGTAGAATCACAAACTCTATTGTCCACGCATCTTGTACATGCTGTAATATATGTATTTAAAAAAGGGAAAAAAATAGGGTATAGTCTCTGTGAGTTGATATGCGATTGTGTTGCAGACGCATTTGCTTTTGCTTACACTTTTTTTTAATCATATCTCGCACCTCATGTAGATATAAGTGTGCGGCGCAATAACAAACAATAAGCATATAATTGGCACCAGTTTATGCAGTTGCTCCTTGTGGTTGCGCCAGCTCATTTTATTTCGCGCATTTTGATGGTCAACACATACACAGGTGGTCGCCTGGATTTTTCTCGGCGCATTGTTAAGCCTTTTCGGCAGTATTGGCAGATTTGAACCCATACGCGTGAGCGACGCACCGAAGCCGACCTGGGATGCGCAACACATCCGAAATGACTTCATCATGTACCAGTCCAGAGCCCCCGCATTGTGCGCATTTATAGAGGAGAAGACTGCCCTACCACCAAATGTGGCGCACGCATCTGCCACTGGCGGGGACGCAGGAGAAGAGGCAACAAGTGCGATGGACGTGGAACTCACTGAAACGAGTAAAACCAAATAAAAATCGATTGAGAATAGAATGTTGCAGCCCGTCTGAATCACATCTAGTTGTCTCTCTGTATAAAACGACCAGCGACCACAAGGAAGCGCAGCGCCCTCGGAGAACTTTTCTTCTCTGATGTTTTACAAAGAAACCTGACCACGCCTTCCGCACAAAGAACCACGGCGACACAAAAAATCTTTACGCGTCATCGAGGTCGATCCTTCGCTGAAATCTTACAGATGCCAGAAGTCAGAGAAGGAAGCCTGAAGCGAAGGCCTACCGATCAATTCAGATCTCGCTGTGTAGTTAGCGCTTTTGAGCTTCTGCGCACGGCCTGTAACACGAGCACGAGGACTAAGACTGTATTTGTACAGGATTGACATACGTACTCTTCATTATCATAGTGTTCCTGTTCGAGCCGAATCGCTAAATCTAGTAAATGCAATCGGTCGACCTGTATGTAGTGAGAAGAAATGACTACTCGTAAAGATCATCATTCGGCAGCAAAGAGGGATGCGCTGCTTTGGGTCGTGAGCGAAATGAGCGGGAGGTGTGACCATTCGGATTAGGTATGTGGATGTTTTAGCGTTCTCCATAACTATTACCGCGACTGGCAGCACGGTGCAGTCTGTACGAGTATGAGTGTCAAGGGGAGAAAACCTCGCAACAGGTAATTCTGAACCTGTAGTTACATACGCATTCAACTTCGATTATAATTTAACCACTGCTGGCATTGGTCGCGACATGTGCGTGAGGTTAGCTGTCACAGCTTTGGGGGATTGGGCGAAGCCAGACCAGCGAGCACGCGGCAGTTGCGGCCGCGGCACCAGCTTGCAGCGACCTTGGGTCGCTACGAGCACGCAGGCCGGCATCTTCGGCCGACTGCGTTGTGCCGTGCGTCGCAGCTGCAGCGCGCTCCCTAATCCATGCATCGACGCGGGTGGAGATTGCCTCCCAACGCCCGCTCTCCCAATGCTCCACCGGGCGAGATTCATGCTAGGCCATGGCCATGGCGCGCGGCATGTTCAGCCAGTGCATGCACTGCAGATCATGCCCGCAAACCAGGGCCATGCTGCCCGTTCTCTACAGCTCTCTATCTTTTCCCAGGGCTGGCTTTCAGATACGCGCCCATGCGAGTATCTAAGAGCCAGTCGCTGCAGGGAAATACACCCCGAGCTTCGGCTTCGCGCAGTGAGCACGTCCTCAGCGGAGGGGCGCTTGCGCGGAGCAGAGGCGCGAGGCAGCGACGCACTGGACTCTCCCGGAGCCGGCATCGCAAGGGACCACGCAGCACGCTTCCGCTGGGAAACATGCCGCGACGGGGACCTACGGAAGCGACTTTGCGCTTTTTCTAAGGTGCTTAGCGTCGCCGGGGACCGCGCGACACGCTTCGGGCGAAGCGTGTTGCGGCGGGGACCACATAGCACGCTTCTCTTGAAGCGTGCGTCAGCAGGGGCCACATAGCACGCTTCTCTTGAAGCGTGGCTCGAGGGGGGCCCACGAGGTAGCACCAAGCTCCTAGGGAGGTGGTGCCTGGGTCACGCAGCAGGCTTCGTGGAAGCGCGGCGCGATGGGGACTGCGGAGCGGACACCAAACCCCGGCAGGGCTGGTGTCGACAGGGACCACGCAGCACGCTTCGTACGAAGCGCGCCCCGAGCAGGGGCACTTGCGGGGACGACACCAAGCCGCGGCGGAGCTGGTGTCGACGGGGACCACGTAACGCGCATCGCAAAGCGCGTCGGGATGGGGACTCCGACTCACGGAGGGACACGACGCCAAACTTATTGCAAGTTTGCAAGCGTAGACGCGTCGGCGGGGACTACGCGGCACGCTTCGCTTGAAGCGAGCAGTGATGGGCCTACGGGGCAACAGCAAGGAGGCTCCTCTGTAGCAAGTGGCGTGAGGGCCACGCAGCGTGCCTCGTAAACGCCCGCCGCGATGGGGACTTACGGAGCCGACACCAACCAAGCCTTGTCAAGTTGGTGCCGGAGGGGACCACACAGCACGCTTCGCAAGAAGCGCGCCGCGATGGGCGCCTGCGGGGACGACACCAAGAGCTCCCGCGGAGCTGGTGTCGACGGGGACCACAAGCGTCGGCGGAGACCAGATGGCGCGCTTCGCTTGAAGCGTACCGTGATGGGGACCTACGCGGCAGCACCAAAGAGGCTCCTCGCCTGGAGCTGGCGTGAGGTCCACACAGCGTGCTTCGTAGAAGCACGCCGCGATGGGGACCTGCGGAGCCGACACCAACCACGCCCTGCGGAGTTGGTGCCGGAGGGGACCACGCAGAACGCTTTGCAAGCGCGCCGCGATGGGGACCTGCGGAGGCGACACCAAAGAGCTCGCGCGGAGCTGGTGTCGACGGGGACCACGCAGCACGCTTCGCCTGAAGCGTGCCACGGTGGGGACCCAGCACGAAGCAGCGCTAAGTGCTTTTGGAGGTGGTGCCACAGGGCCACACAGCGTGCTTCGACGAAGCGCGCAGTGTGTGGACCTGTGGAGCCAGCCGACACCAATCCCCGGCGCAGTTGGTGGTGGGAGTCGGTGGTAACGGGGACCGGCGCAGCGCGCTTCTTTCGAAGCGTGCCGCCGCGGAGACGCGAGCACACGGCGCCAGGCCTCTGTCCGAGGCACTGGCGCTGTGCGGCAGGGCGCGCCCATACTGCCATTTCGTGCAGATCTGCGCACAGCAGCAGCACTACCTTGGCGCGCGTGTCCCGCGTCCCCACTTGCTGCTCGCGCAAGTGGGACTTGGGTTGTTGAGCGCGGCTTGCGGCCACGCCCCAATTGGGGCGGGGGGCCGCGTGGCGGAGTGCGGTAACGCGCGTCATCATTGGAGTGCACCTGCTTGCCAGCACATCCAACAAAGACGTCCCGGGCGTGCAGCTCGGCTTTCGCCGCAGCACAGCCCGGGAAAGCGTTTCCGCAACCTCTCTCGCGCGCCTTCACTGGAGTGCACCTGCGTGCCAGCACCTCCAGATCCGACCTTCCGGGCGTGCACCTCGGCTTTCGCCGCAGCACCACCCAGAAGTGCATGGCAGAGTATGGCCGGCGCGTCTTCACTGGAGTGCACCTGCGTGCCAGCACCTCCAGCGTAGACCCCCAAGGCGTGCACCTCAGCTCTCGCTGCAGCACCACCCTGGAGTGCGTCGCATACTGCCGCCTCGCGCGCCTTCACTGGAGTGCACCTGCTTGCCAGCACCTCCAGATCCGGCCTCCCGGGCGTGCACCTCGGCTTTCGCCGCAGCACCACCCGGGAGTGCGTGGCAGAGTGCGATCGGCGCGTCTTCGCTGGAGTGCACCTGCGTGCCAGCACCTCCAGCTTAGACCTCTAGGGCGTGCACCTCAGCTTTCGCCGCAGCACCACCCCGGAGTGCGTCCCGCACATCTGCCATGGCTACTCTCTCTTTTCTTTTTGGTGATAAACGGCGCAGGGCCGCCGCGGGTGTGTACTTATTCCAAAGCCAGACCGTGCAACACCACACGCAGAGGGGAAACGACAACACGCGCCCGGCGCGCGCCGTTGCCCCTACAGCGGTGTCGCCCCCGTTAGCTGGCAGCGCTTAACCTCATTTCGCTATTGATAGATATGTTTGACGCGAAATACCAAATAAATATCATCTTGTTGCTGGTTTTTCTGTGAGTCCTTCTTTGGGTTCACTTTCAGCCCGAGCCGGACTTACGGCTCGTCGAGTTTTGTAGGAAAGAGAAGAACCTCCTTCCAGCGCAAGTTGAATTTTTCTGTCCGCTGGGTCTATGATCACTATGTATAACTATCGCATTAATATTGTGTCACATAGAATTAGAAAGTGCTCTGCTGGTGCTGCATTTGCATGTGTAAAACCGCTTTAGTACCCCGTGTAGTTTCAGTTTGATTCGAATTAAAATGCTGCGCCTACGCCACATCACCCACAGACAATAGGGTAGGAGCGATTATATGTCAAAGACGTTGAACGTTTATCGAGCAAACAAAGCTACAAGGAATAGAAAAATGACGCTACTAAAGAAGTTACCAACGACGCATGTTGGCAAGTCCAGTCAGCGATTATAGCGACGTGCTAGAGAAGCAGCGACAATGATGCTCCCTCTTGTTTCCAGAGACCAGGATGCGAAGCGCGGTGCTACTGAGGACGCAACCTTCGCGGTAGGAATGGCGACTTCAAATTACGCGAAGAACACGTCATCAATCCGGGAGTTTAATATTGCCGAGGATGCGCCGACCTCCCCGAAGGAGTCTCACAGTCGGTACGTGTCAAGAGCAACGAAGTTCGAGGGGCCTGCCCACGCAGTGTTGAGCACAAGTTCTGAAAATGCCTCTTCCTCCGAATCTTGTCGTACAAGATGCAGGAGTCGCAGAGCGAAGCTGCGCGGGTCGGCAAGATTTGTGCTCGCGTACCTCGCGCTCCAGACCTTCACAATCGGGGCTCCTCTCTACGGATTTTTGTCTGCGATCGGGAAGCTTGATCTGCCCCCGCGGGCCGAGAACGCCGACGTGCCCACGTACGCGGCGACCGTGTTTCTCACCATGCTGCGGACGTCGCAGCTCGCCGCGTTTCCGGTCTCCTACCTGATTGACCTCGTGGGTGCGCGATTGGGAACCATGTTCGCATCCACCTTGTTTGTATTAGGTGCGGTCTTCCTCGGGATTGCGGTTCGACTCGCGGTATCAACTGCAAAAATGTCTGGGTCTGGAAACTTGTGATGCTGGTTGGCGAATCAAGAGAACGCCAGAAATGACGGCTCAGCATGACAGGTTTTTGAGTCGCTAGGTGTTGCCTATTCTGCATGAAAAACTGGGTTTTGGCATGACACAAAAGTGGTGCTTTTGGGCACCTTGCATGACAGACTTGATAGTCATGCTAGCAGAGCATGCCAAACCTGGCATTTTTCCAGACCCAGACATTTTTGCAATCCATACGCGGCCTCGGAGTGGCAAGCGGACCCGGACCCCGGCCAGCGACCCTTCTTCCTGCTGGGGTCCGCGTGCTTTGGGCTGTCCGCCTGCTTCCAGATTGTCAGCGTGATGATGACGCTGCGGACCGTATTCAAGCACGTCATGTCCGAGTTTTCCATCACGCTGTTGAATGGGTGCTACGACAGTTCCGCAATAATGTTCACCATTGTTGGCGTCTGCAGCACCGCGGCGGGGCGGACCGGGTTTTTCGCCATTCTTGCCGACACCGGTGTTGACCACGCGGCCGACAGCACAAGTGGGAATAAAACTTCTGATGACCACGGGGGAGCTCCTGCAGGTGTCGCCGAGCAACACCATCAACCTCCGCTGGGAGCAGTCATCAGCGCTACAACGCGTGGTCCGGAGCGACACCTTGTTTTGTCTGGTGATGAGCAGGGCTTTTACGCAGCGGAGTCTTTCGGTGTTGGACTCTGGGTCTATGCTTTGTTCGGCGTTGCGCACCTTCTCTTTACAGCGTGGCTCTATCCGTCAGAAATGAGTAGCACGCAACAAGGCGGTAGTTTGAAAACACGACTACACGCGGCTGGTGATCATGCAATGGACCTGGCGACGCCACTGCTTGTGGAGGACAGTACTATGTCAGGTTCATATGAACGACAATTGCCATTGCGACGCGCACCACGCGAGGAAGAGCGTGACGAGGTGAACGTGAAAATGGTGGGCCACGACGGAGAACCAGGACAAGAACAACGTCGGCCTGTCATGATTGCCGCCTCAGGTGGTTCCCTTATTTCCGCGGAATCGAGACGAAGCTCCAGCTCGAGCTCTGCAAGTACGCGGACGGGCCACGGTGAATTCGTGGACAACATGTCGGGGTCCCTCTCTGGATGCTCGGCTCGAACAAACAGTGACGAGCCTGGTAGTTGCTGCAGCTCCACGTTCTCCACGCCCGGACCTGCGCGTGCGATCAGTAAGATTGCGCCGGACAAGGTGGCAGCAGCCTCCACGTTTGGACACGATTTCATGAACATGGCACAAGACGACGAGGACAACGACATGATAATTAGCAAGAACGAAGGCGTGTCTACTTCACTGTCCGCGCCGCAGCCAGACCCAGAGGACCCTTCTCTGTTGTTGACTACGAGAACAATAAATGCGGTCGTGCGGCAAAAGGAACAACTACCCGAGGAGGAGCAGGACTACCTACCGCTTGAGAGCGGGCACCCCATGCGCAGTTGGGTGTCGTTACCCGGTAAGAAGGACGTATCGCGGAGCTTCGTCGAAGTCATGGTAGACCGCGACTACGTGCTATCGATTCTGTGGTTTGCCGTGCAGTTTCAAAACTTCACGAACTACCTGACCCAAATGCCGGACATCTTGAGCCCGCCAGTACTAAATCTGAGCGGTTGGTTCTACCCGTGTTCGGTGTTTACTGCGTTCTTGCTCGGCACGCTGTTCAACTACCTGCACAACCCGAGTTATGTGGTCTGCATCACCACCTGTCTTGGAGTACTTTTTCAACTGCTAGTTTACACCCTGTGCTGCAGCGCGACGACCTCGAGATCAACGCCGCCCGCCATCGCAGAAGCGGCAACAAGAACCTCTGCACCTACATCTGCTTCCGAAGCCTCGCTGCGCGAAACTCCTGACGATTCTCCAAATTATGGGGTTGCTCCTGGAACTGCTGATCTCCACGGTTTTTCCGTGCTGCTGCTACTGCCATTCTTCCGATCGGGGTTGTTTACCACCATGTGGATTTTTTGGCCCAGTTTGTGGAAGGACAGCACGCACATCGGCGCCATGTACGGCTTTGCCTCGCTGTTTGCGTTTGCGTTTTCCAGCTTCTTGATTGCTTTCGTGCTCATGTCGCGTCACACCATCGCGGAAGACGGTACCAAAACGTACTCACCAGAAAAGGCTGCCAGTATGAACTGGCAGTGGTTTATGAAAACGAAATCTCGCGTCACAGTCACATCCGCGACGTTTTGTAAGGCGTTTTGCCTTATAAAACGTCTCCGATGTGACTGTGACGCAAGATTTCGCTTTCATATGGTTTCGCATCTACGCCTCTGTGTCCATCTTCTACTCGATCTACGCAGTGGTCACGCATCGCTACCGCGAACAGGCACGCAAACGGTCGTAGTGGCGAGACACGTAATGAACAACACAGAAGAAACGATCTGACTGTTGGCGCTGTATTGCCTTCCCCGAACCCCGATTACAGTGGGGGGAGGAGTTGGCAGGCAGTGTCATGGCGGGCGTCCGTTCCACCGCAGACGTGAATGTGAGGGACCGCGTAAAAGAGGAATTACGCATTTGAATCAGGACCTGGGGGTTGTTTCTCCAACTGCACAGTGCAACCCAGCGAGTTCAAATCAGCGGGCGCATGCTAAACGAAAGCAAGAGGAAGAACGAAGTACTGAGGACGACAAGAACAGCAGCAGCCAGAGCCATCCTTCTATGTCGTTTTTGGAACTTTTATAGCCCTTTGGTCAGTAATTTGTATAAAAAAAAAAAAAAAGAAATTTATTAAACGCGTATATTGGAATTGTAAAGTTGTAAAAGTTTCTCTATCTAATTTATTACTGAGTCTGAGGGTGAGGCTACACCTACAACTATACTGTAAGGGCACACCAGGGTAAGTATGACTTCGAAAAACAACAGAGTTGGAAACTAACGAAACAGCCTCAGTCGATACTGTCATTGCATGACGCCTCTGACGGGATCAGTCGTGCAGTTGCTGCTGTTGTTTCCATGCAACATATTTGTTTTTACTTTCAATGAAAAAATTCAAAGGAATATATAAAGAGAGAGTGTCAGAGAAGCCACAACCACAAATAAGTGCTCGTAAAAATTTTAATTCTCCGCAAACACGAATGCCTCGATCCTCGGGTTGACAAGAGGTATTTGCGTAGAAAGTACTGTTTGAGAGCTTTTTGCGTGCGTTGCAGTGCGCATAACTTCGACATCTTTGACGTTTTGGTTTTGCCAGACTAGTAATTTGCAATGCTGGCATGTTCGCATCACTAATGCTCGTTTTCCTACGCCCTTTATTCCCTCTACTTATGGCCACAATTTCAATCACAAAGCAACATCGACTTGAAGCTGAATAACTGCCATTCCTGTTTATCTTTATCTACAGAACTCCGTCGCCCTATCATAGACAATTCCTGTATGTCAATGAAAAAATCGCATAAGTTGACAAAAACTTTACCCAATCCTCAACCGCGTACCCAAAACCTGCTGACCTCAAAAATGTTTGTGAAAGTCCCAATTTTATTGCCGTAGGCGTTTTCTCGACGTAACACTCTTCTTCCGACGTCTGTTTAGAACTTATTACGCCAGCGAACTTCTGTTTTCTTTCATTTTGAACTATCGTTTATTTCGCTCTCCTACTAGTAGTCCTCGGACTAATAGATGACAATGAATTACCCGAACCGAACTTCAATTTTACCTATTAGCCCCCACCCACCTCAGATGAAACGCAACTGCCCATGCAATCCCATCTGCTCCTGATGAAAAATACAATTTGGTGTACTTTACTACTATTTCATCTATACTGCCTTGTTTAATTTCAAATGTGAGCTCGTACACTACCCAGCAACGCGAAGAACGCTTAATTTTGTACTGAATGTTCCACGCTGCAAGCAAGCAATATACAGCAAAAGCGGAAGCGCCGCTGCAATGTTTCAGGGCAGGTTTCCCGTCTTCTACTTTCTTATTTTCCGCTTTCGACTCGTTACTGATACAGGAGGTGCGAGTACAGGGCAAAACTTATCAAATTAAGTGATTTCATCTTCACGTGGTGATTATGATACCGCCCGAGGATAATTCGGATCTTGAAATCGCTTGAGGATGTGTTCAACGAGTTCTAGCTAATGAGACTCTGCTGGAAAACGAGCTTGCTTCGATCGAGAATTTACTTTGCACCACTCCGGCCCCGGCGTAGACCACAACGCGCATTAGCCAATATGAAGGCGAAAGAACTATCAGCGCAGCCGCAGGCAGACAGTCGACAGTGCAGAAAAGTCGGTCGTGACTAGGTGGTTCGGAAAAGCTTGATCAGGAACTGTAACTAAGTAACTGTATGACTACTTGCCCAAAGCCAAACGGCAATGCAGTCGAAGTTAAAGTTCCATGGATGGTATCTATTGGCCTCATCATTGGATCTGGCTACCATGCAGAAGAGACGGTGTAGAGTTTTATTGTCAAGCCGTGTGGACAGTCGCATTCCGATCTACCTATGGATCTTCCAGAGCTGCACCAGAAGGAAGTAACTTATAGATAGACCATGCAATGCGAATTCGAATCTGATGAAACAACAGATGGATAATCCACCTTGACTGCAGGACCTGAAGACTTGCTCTCCGTTTTGAATTCTCTACTCACAATTTTATATTTATTGACAAACCATTAGTTGTCACACATGATGAACATGTACTTTCTACTAGTAGACAATTCCAATGGTATTTTAGATGTAGGATCGATGTTAATGGTTTTTTGGGTTTTGATACGACATTCACATTCATAGGAAAGTTCTCTACCTCGCTTACCCTGAGCATTCGTACTAATTTTATTTATTTGTATTCTCGCAAAACTCAATGGCGTTACTACCAATGAGGTTGAGCACGAACACTCATCAGAGCGGTTACTTTTTCGTATTTATTCCGGAGCAAGGTGGCTGCAGGCTGGAAGATCTAGCAGCCGTCATTGCAGAAAAACCCGCCCCCAGGCGCCGCTAGTCGTAACGCAAGAAAATTGTCCAGCTCTAACCTCCCAAATTGAGCTTGTTTTTGATTTCTCTTGGTTTTTCATGCAATCTCTCGAAAACGATCTGACCTCTATATTTTTTTCTACTCCCGCACACACTGGAAACTAAACAATCGCCGATTGAAAGACACCTACGGCCTCTACGTCGTGCCATAATCGGATTAATAATTTATTGTTTATTCATTATTTGTGGTCCGCCGCCGTCCGCAGCGTGACCATGGATTCTCCATTGGGGCCGTTTCCTGGGGTGAGCGCTACCGGCACTGCTCCTCACGAGCAACAGCGACATGTTGACATCAATACCCTCGATATGCTGCACCCATCTCAATTATCTGCTGCGCGACCACCTGCAGACACGAGTAGTCTTAGTTTTGGTAGAAATTATATCACTACCTCCTACGCGGGCGGCCCCACGTCGAGCACGATTGCTACTGGCGTCACGTCCCCGTATGCAAATGCAATCCCGCAGCAGCACACCGGCGGAGTCGCCCTAGCGGGAGATAGTACACTCACACCGTGTGCGGCACGAGACCCGGCGACTTTTTCTACCCCGACGACAACCACGGTGGCGCAACAGAAAATCAACCTCCTGTCCTCCGCGTCAAACTTTAATCTTGCCCGGAGTCCCACCCCTTGCTCAGCCTCGTCTGCGGCCATGAAGTTCTGGGTCAATAACCCTTCTAGGGCGTCTACAGCCAACACCCGTTCGTGTAAAGGATCGAGTTCGACGGGCTGCACGACGAGCGCGGCAACGAGCGTGATGACCTCTTCTACGACTTCTGTATCCACTGGCCTTCCCGCAGCAAGTTCCCAATCAGTACCGGAAGCCCCACCGGCTCGTAACTACCAACAGCACAACTCGCTCGTTGTGCCGGCGCCGCCGATTCCGACACCACCCGGCGTACAACAACTGGGGCGTCCATTAGCACAGGGATTGGCTATAGCGGAGAAGTTTGCGACCTTGGAGGACTTCTATCCGAGTGCACAACTCCTCCTCCTTTGAATGGCATGAACAGCCTCATATATCATGCATATGACATTGACTCATACTCTATCTTTCTTTTTCACGCGGCCGCCCGGACGTCCTGGTGCCGGTAGATTTCCGAAAAAAAGTATGCAAAAGGTACATCGCCGAATGATAATGAAAAGGGGACGAGAGCAGCTGAGTTTGACTTTCTGATGCATGAGGAAATTTTAGGGGGAGGAGGACTTGTGCACTTGCACAACTTTTTGGCGCATATGTGGAGCGACCTGGATGTACAAAAACGAGGAACCTGGATGAGCTTCGAGGACCCCCAGCTAGTCAACTCCTTTTTGCTCGCTGCCTACACGCGCGGCATTGCAGATGAGCCTTTTCCTCACACACCAGTATTAAGCCCATTATTGGAGCAAGATATAATTACAGATAGTTGTTCTACTAAGACCGCTGGCGCTAATAACGCGCAAGTAGAAAGCACGACAGACGGCAGAGCTGCATCTGCGTCGGGGCCAAGCCAGCAATCGACCCTTGGTACAATCTTCGACGGCACGGAAGCACATGATGTGTCCGCCACCTCCGCGTCCGGAAATCTTCAACAGGGGCGCAGAGCTGGAGGCCGGGGTGGTTCAGGTGCACCGAAGTGCCCGCTGCTGGAGAATATGGTCGTGCATCTGTACACCGTGCCAGATCCTCATGATGGGAGTGCAACGATTCAACGTGGTGATGCGGTTGCACTTGCACCCCCATCTTCTCTCGACGCAGCTGCTCCATTTACAACGCCTCTGACGGCGTTTGTGACGCAGTTGACCCGAGAGCGCGGGACGAGCACATCGCTGAGAACCGCGGCGGGCGGCGCAAATTTTAATTCCGCAGCGGGGCAGCAGGTTGACATCGAGGATACGGCGGAGTTCGTTTCGCGGATGAGCAGCAGGGTTGCGAAACTGTCATGGTCCTGCGAATTTTTGGGCTCGAACTTCGAGGAAGCAGTGTCGCACGGGCTCCCCGACGTACTGCAGTCGACGAATCGCCGGAAGCTGCAATGGAACCACTGGCACAGCGTCTTCTCCGCACAGAAGCCGCTGTATTCGTGGCACCGGCTCGAGCGGGCGGTGTGCAAATTGATCGAGCAGTCGTGGATGCATGGGTGCTTCGCCATCGACGGCCGCTTCAACTACGGGACGAGTTTCCGCCGCTCGTACCCGAAACGCCGTCCCGGGCGCCGGGCAAAAAAAGATCGAGTTCAACAGACGAGACAGTTGCAGCAAGATAGCAATATTCCGGAGTCGCATCGCTCGAGCGCTTTGCATTCAAACCTAAACAGCCATGAACAGCATGCTCCGTCGCCGGGGTTCTCGCCGTACCAACAGAGCAGATCCGACCAATCGCAGCGCTACGACTCGCTGCCAGAGTCAAACGCAAGTACTATTAGACACTACCCCCAAACGCCCGAAGACAATAATATTCCGGACCGCGCAAGCAGTTTTTATTTGTCAACCAGTACTTCTGCAACGACCGGTGCAGGAGGTGCTCAGGCTCACAATAATCTGGGCCGATTTGTTGATCCTCTCTATTTCGAGGGCAATGCTAGTACAACAGCAACGTCGCTGCCTGCGACGTCAAATGTAAGTAGCAGTTTCTATTCCTCTCCACCGCCTGTCGTGCAACACGGTCCGCCCGTCCCGACACCGCCTTACTTTGCCGCTCGCAGTCGCCCGCTGGCGGGCGGGACATATAATCTGGAACAGCATGCTCAGCTGCAACACTTGCCACAAAGCGTCCCTTCGAGCAGACTGAGTCAACAGCACACCGGTTTTCCTTATCAGAATCAAGAGCTGCTGAACCTGCAAATGCAACTGCAACCGGGAACAAGATTTCCCTCTCAACAACCACATCCTCAGCACTTTAACACTGCGGCAGCGCCCCAGCACTCTGGAATTGTTCAGGCCCCCCTTGTGCATCACAACTACTACCAGCAAACGAACCTCTCCAACATGGTTCAAAAAGACAATAACTCACAGCAGTGGGTGGTCGGTGCCGCGAGCAGTTTTGATACAACCGTTCCCAGCATGATGTGCAAAAACTACACTGACGTTAAGGAACAAGCGCGCCCTACGATTTGTGCACAAGGCGTAGACTTTCCACAAGCTTCCCCTTGTGTTAAACCGGATACCCCTGATGTTAAAATTTGCGAAAACAGCACGCGGCGTGAGATGAAAGCTGCCGCAGCTCGAAATTCCGGCCACCGGCTTCTGGAGGTGTTTTTCAACAAGGATAAGACGAACGCCGACAAAAATGCAGAAATCCAGCGTCCGAAGTTGCAGTTCCGAACGGAAGGGGACAACGAGGACCTGGTCCAAATGTGGAAGCTGCACACGAAAGGGGTATCCTGAGGAAAAATCCCCCCTCCCCATATTCGAAAGGCCACGCTTGATGCGCGATCTGTGCACGACACAAATCGCGAGGGACTCATGAAAGCGCAATTGGCTGCGCTTGTTTGGGCTTCTAGTAGTTCTAGAAGTCTAGCGGTTCAGCATGATACAGATTCTTGCTCCTGTTGTAGGATAAAACGCATTTAAAGAAGATGGCCGAGCCCGTGCTCGCTTTCGCTCTCACCTCCCAAGTATGCAGGGCAGTAGAGGGACTTTTTGCGTATACAAATCTAATCGGCAACACAACTGTTTCTGCCGCTTTATTTTCAATATGGGGAGGGAGGGTTTTTCGTCATGATAAGTGGCAAAATTTGACCACGAGAAGAGGCTCGCGGACATGCGGCTGGAAAACTTGACCTGGCGACTGTGGTACAAGGCCCGAAGGCATGAACAGCTAACGTTTTTGGCTGACCCGTTGCCCTCGTTGCTGCCAATCAGGGCCGGTAGGCCTTCCTCGCGAGGAGGGGGCACATATGAACAAGATCTCCGAGAGGAAACACGAATCTTCGAAGACCCCAGTTCTCTCAGCGGAATTAGAACCGCCAAGCGGAACGGCCGTGGACGCGTTCGAGAGCGCGACGAGTTCTTTGCCAATCACCAGGCTGACATTGAGGTGGACTCTACCGGGTCAGTGTCCGTGTACAATTTTGGCCGGAGCCACAGTGCCGAGGGGCGCGTCTTCAATTTGTGGCGCCGGAAGCACAAGCGGCGGATCCTGCGGCGCTTGCTCCAAGAGGACGTCGAGGTAGAGAGAGTGGCCCAACAAGAAGAAGTTAATAACACGACTGCTGCAGCTGCTGGTTACTCTTCCGGTTCGGGTTGTTCCGCCACGTCTTCCTCTTGTGAGGAAATGCTATCCGATGTTGCAAAAAATACGGCAACCTGGAACGGTTCTGCCGTTGTTCCAGTGCTGTCATCTTGTTCAACAGCTGGAGGTCTTCATGCAGCCACTGTTCCTAAAGACGAACACGATCGAGGCAGTGGCAGTGCAGACCACCATTCCACCTCGCGTAGCGGCACTGCCACGGTGTCCTCTCCACGTTTGCTCCCTACGAAGCAGCAAGAACTATATCAACCGTTACAACACGATACTGGATCCTCTTCACTAGGTGCGCCGCCCGCGGGACGAGCGAACCCGAACATGGGCCGCGATCTTGCTACTGACGCTCTATTCCGCGTGGTTTTCCGCGATCTTGCTACTGACGCGGGGTTTTCCGCGTGATTTCTGTTAGGAAATCGCTCGCCCCTGGGCTTTCCGCGTTTCTTTATAGGAAATCTCTTCCTTAGGAGCCGGCCGCTGATCTCCGCGAAAAAAACACGTAGTGGAGGCAAGCTCCTTCTGATCTTCACTGCGAAACAGAGCGGAGACGAGCTCGGTGGCTAAGGTTTGGGTGGGATAGGGTCTGTGATAAGTATCGGGGTTTCTCCTTTGATATGGATCAGACGGTCCGCGATGTCGGACTTTTCTCCTTTGATATGGATCAGACGACTTTTCTCCTTTGATCTGGTAACCAAAGGAGAAAAGTCCGGACTTTTCTCCTTGCAAAGGAGAAAAGTCCGCTGGATTGATACCAGAGCGAGCAGCTCCTGGTCCAAGTCCTTCTGTTTTTGCTTCACATCCCTCTGCTTTAGCATCAAATCCTTCTGCTTTAGCATCAAATCCTTCTGCTTTAGCATCAAATCCTTCTGTTTTAGCATCGATTCCTTCTGCTTTAGCATCCGGTCCTTCTGTTTTAGCATCAATTCCTTCTGTCTTAGCATCGATTCCTTCTGTTTTTGCATCAATTCCTTCTGTTTTTGCATTTTTCTACATATCACGCGTGCTGTGATATCAACAGCACAGTCGACTTTTCTCCTTTTCTTCTTTGATATCATGTGATATCACGTGATATCAAAGGAGAAAAGTCTTTTTTCAAAGTTTAAAGACCCAAGGCTGTTTATAAGCAAGCTCTGCGATTTACTGTGTTACACATTTCAAACAGTATCAAGATTCCGCCGATTTACTGTGTTACACATTTCAAACAGTATCAAGATTCCGCTGCGGTTCGTCAGGTTTGCGACTTAGTGAAACAGCAGGCATTGTCCCTCACAAGGTCGAAAGCATCGCTGTGACCTTGGCCCGCTCTATTGTTTCGCTGACACATTCTGCCGCCGCCCGGTCTATCAGTCACTGGAGTTCTCAATCAGGTCCGCGACATGTAGCAGCTTGCCTTCTTAGCTATTCCAGTGAACTGAAGCAGCCGCAGCTACGTGGAGGCCTTGTTCTTTTTGCCTGACACGAAAATGAAAACGCAATAGGCGTGACAGGTAGCCGCGGCTCGAAAAAAGTTCTAGCCTGCCCTTGAAAAAATACGCTATTTTCGATGTCGTGTGTAACTGTAACACTTTTTTCCTTCGATACCTGGTGCGCCGCCCGCCGGACGACCGAACCAAAACATGGGCCGCGATCTTGCTCCTGACGCTCTATTTACTGGATCCTCTTCACCTGGTGGTGTGCTGCCCGCGGGACTAGCGAACCAGAACTATGGCCGTACTATCTGCATCTTTTCAAAGTGGATAAAAAAACTTCAGGGTGTCCGCGCATAGGCATTGCGCTGCTTGACCTTTGTCATGTGCCTTTGTCACGCATAAAATGCATTGGGGCCATGCGTATCAAGTTATCTAGCTAAGAAGCCGGCCATGTCGCCGCGGCGAGGACTACGCCGCGCACGGACTCGGGTCATTCTTGAGTCTTTGGCGACGACCACTTGGCTTCAGAGATAATCATGCCCCCCAAGAGAAGCCGAGCGGCTTCCATCAGCTTCCTGCCCTCCCAATGTGCGGCGGAGTTGCAGGTGGCGCGTCCCGACTCTTCGATGAAGCAGAAGAAGTCTACGAGCTGGCTATGGGTCACATCCACGGTGGCTCTGCGCTTTTCGCTCGACACCCCCCGCCCAGCCCTTTCGACAGAGGAAACGCGGACGACCAAGTCGCCAGGCTGCTTGGCTCACTCCGCCACCCCCACGTCGCTGGGAACATCAGCGCCCTCGCCTTCTTCCTCAATTTCCGCCCTTCCCTGGCCTGCCAGATTTTCTGCTTCTGCGCAGCGCCCTCATGCGCTTGCGTGAGTTATGGGGGCCACTCCACGCGGGCCACGCTTCAATAGCGCAGCCACATGCGGCAAAGCCCCTCTCGGCGGAGCCTGCGCGCTGCAGCCCCATCGGTATGAATTGCCCTGGTTGGGCTTGGTTGGGAAAGCTTTCAAGGCCATGGCCGTTTTTGTTGTGATAGAGTTAGAACGAACTCGAGGGGGCGAGCGCGCTGGCAACGCCGTAAACCAGGGGCAGGCCCCGGCGGCCTACGCCTTCTCCTGCGTACCTCTAGCCCCGGTAGGCCCTGGGGCCTATGCGACCTTCGCCCGTACGCAGGCCGGGATGCCCGGGGCCCCGGCGGAAAGATGCGCCGAGGGCTTCCGAAGCTGGGAGATTTCTCCTCTGCGAGACCCTTGCAGAGACCCCTGCGAAGCCTGCCGCTTTTTTGATAGCGAACCAGCCAAGGCGTGCGCCCGCGGTAGGTTTTTTGCGAGGGCCTTCAAGATGTGGGGCGGGATGATTGCTTTCGGAGATTGCGCTTTGGCCGGGTCCTTGCCAGAGACCAAGCTGCGGGGCGGCAAAGATTGCCCCACCTGCGAAGCCCTTGGCCCGTTGCGACATGTGTCGCATGAATTAGGCAACCCAGGCAGCCCCGGCAGAAGTGGCCTACAGCTGTTGGGGGGCCACTGCCCAGAAGTATGCAAGCGCGAGGTGGCCTGATCGCCCTGCGTGCCGTTTTGGATTGTCCGGCGGGCCGAATCAGGTAAGCGCCAAAGAAGGGGCGGTGGGCCGAGACCAGGCAACACCGCGCTGCCGATGTCGCTCTTTTCATGGCGCCCGCCTAGAGGAGTGGCATCGCGGTCGCGTAGCTGTTTTGCTCGAATTCCTGGCAGCGCACGCCAGGAGTGTGCTGCGGATCCCAAAAGAATGGCTCTGGTCCGGCTGATTACCTAGTCGCCCGCTTCGTTTCCCTCAAACTTATTCGCTGCGTGTAGCCTGTGCAGCTTTCTGCTGGTGCTCGGGGTTGTGGGTTAGCCTACCGCCCCTACCCGAATCCGTAGGCAAGGCCACCGGGAATGTTGGAATGGGGCCGCCCTCTTAGCTAGCTATGCGGAGAATGGGAAAAATAGCACAGGCGTTGGCTAGAGACCACCCATAAAGAGGCTCGCCTGCTTTGATATCGAAATGCGCGGACCCTGAAATTTTTTTATCTACTTTGAAAAGATGCAGATAGTATGGCCATAAGAACATGGGCCGCGATCTTGCTACTGACGCTCTATTTTTGCGGAACGCAGTGGACGAGGGCAGGGCAGACGGGGACGAGGAGCAGGAATCTCAAGAACATAGCTGTGCTCGACCAGTGACTGCTGCTACTGCACGATCCACGACGAAGAGCAATATAATTACCCCCACTGCACAAGAGCCACATGGCGCCGAGTCCAACAGCTCTTGTACGAGGACGACCAGCAGTTGTACTACTACCCCCGAACAGCAGCTGCAGGCACCGAGTTCGTACAGAATCCACTTCAAATCGGCATTGGCGTCCTCTCGTCGCCCGAGCGTGACTGAGACGGATGCAATAAGAACCACCGGGGTGATGACCAGTGACGAGAGCAGTCTATCGCTGGTTCGTCGACGGAGCACCCGCGGACTCTTGATGCAGCAGTTCATGTCCACCGTTCGGGGGCTCACATCAAGTGTCGGAAACGCCAACCACGAGTACCACAACTGCTTCCAGAAGGGGCTTGCGTTTGTCCGCGACGTGGACGAGGACGAGCAAAGTGGTCGTCCAGACGAGGAAGAGGACCACGCCGTTGATTTTCGAAGGATCCCATACGAACAAGATCTGGCGAACGAGGACACTGTGGCGGACGAAGACCATGATCAGACGGAGTCGTCTCTGATGCAAATGAACTTGGGGCGTCGAACCAAGCACGTTCAAAATAAGAAAGCCCTGGCAGGTAGAACCAGCCACGCGGCAGGACCTTCCGGAGAAGTAGATGCTGACAGCGAGGACAGGAGGGTCGTCGGCGTCAGTCCTGCTCACCAGCATCACCTTAGAAAGAGCTGCCCGTTGAATGCCATTATAGCTGTGCAGGACTCTACAACGAGCTCAGCTTCGACTTCGCTCGAGGGAATCGAGATCATGGATCCAGCAGTCAGCGAGGACAATACGGCCGACGCTAGGTGCTGGTCGACGGATGGGACACCCTCCCCGGCTGCGATTGCCAGAAAGAGCACAAAAGAACGTTCGGTAGTTTCGGCGGAAACTATTGGCACTAAGACAGCGAATGATCTCGTTGACGGGAGGAGGGAAAGAACAGGAGATACTACCCCACGACAGCACCCCGAGAATACAACAGACGACCAAAAAATCACCGTGCTGAGAAAGAACGTATTTTTAAGCAAGAATAGCAATAACGTCCAAGAAAGCAGCTGCAGCACCAGCGGCACTACCACGACGAAAGCCTGTCTGGAGGAATGGCTCTGTGGATCGCCCTGTCTCGTGTGCGGAGGGAATTTGAAAAGCGGAGCGCGGGTGTGCGTTTGCGGGATTCCCGACCACCGGTATGCTTGGTCGTCTCACCTATTTTCGAGGAACGCTGCGTAACCACGGGAAATTATAAAGCACACCTTTGCATTTTTGCAACTTGATTCGAAAGCAACGTATTTTAGAGATTACTGTCGCTGAGTCTAGCTCTAGCACATACACGTAGACAGTCACTGGATCTTTCAGAATTAGACCAAGCGCTTCGCCGTGGCGGACGCAAATAAGTTGTCGTTTCTTGTTTGGCACAATGAGGAAGACAAAGTACACGCTCGCCTCTGCATTGCTAGGCAGGTAGAACAAAATGACACCCGAATCACGAGGGACGAGATCATTTCTGTCAGTATACATAGGAACAAGCACGGATGTGCTACTTTTCCGTGTGATAGTACTATGGCAACCCTGCCACCGTCGAACTGCGCTGCTGGAGAAGAGGTTTTTGTTACAGACCGACAACAGCACCAACAAGTGGGAGATCATGCTGCAGGCCTCCAAGACGGGAATGCTCATCGGCTGCACGAGAACGCGCAATACGACAATCAAACTGATCTTGATCATGTTAATACGGGCCGTCAGAGAGATGCAGCGGGTCTTCCTGGATCTTGCACGTATCATGAAAACAGCAACGAAGATGGAAGCGTCGTCGAAGATGACACACGAGCTAGAAGCAACATTAAGTTGAATCTTCTGGACGTCGCGTGCCCAGAGGAATGCAGCCTGTGGCAATGGCGCATTTCGTCCGCCACCGCTGCGGCCAACAACTCACCCGCGGCAACGCGACGCGAGAACCAGTACTGGCGGAAGTGGTTCAAGTTGCAGCAACAGCTCGGGGGCACACCAGCGGGCCAGACCCATTTTCCAGATACCCCATCGGTTCTCTACGATGCGACCCCGTCCCCGAGCAACTCTAACTCCGTCAATGCATCTTTTCGCCCTGATGAAAAACGAGCTCAGCTGAACTTGTCTCGGCTAGTCCAGCTACTGCAGGTCCAGCAACACCGCCAACAGGAGCACAACCATGTAGTACCATCAAACAGCGCCGCGCACTCGCACACCTCTGGCATCATAGAAGTAGAGCCATCGAGATCGACCGGTTCATTCCGCTAACAGAAGGTGAAAATCAAAACCAAAAAAGCAGTTGCATGTACTAGCCAAAACGGCATCGAGAATGTAATCGAACTTTGTTGCGCTGGTCCTTGTAGTACTATGTTCGCTGCGAGAGCGACAGGAAAGATAGAAGCTGCAAGAATGTGATGAAACCAAGTTGAGGAAACAACCTCCTTACGATAAGATGTACGATTGCAATTTTTGGCGCGATTCCCAGATTTTCTTGAAAAGAAAAAATATACTACATTGTCACTAGATGTTGAAATCAAACTCTTTTGTAATCGCTACAAGGCGTGAAGCTTAAAACTAGCGCGAGTCGATGCAGAACGAGCGGTTTTTCAGGAATACCACGTACATTTTTTGTTGCTCCGAATCGCCAAGGAAAAATGTCCATGGTCCAAACACGATGATACGTGCACCAAGTAGTCCCAAGCATATTAGACATACTTCGCATTACCCTACCCTACGAAAAAAAAGCTGCCATATTTCCCAATATCATGAACCCCCTAATTGCTTTGATGCCCCTCGCTTTTCATATGGAGTATTCCATCAGAAAGATACTAAGAAGAAATAAGAAAGTTGCGGCTACAGTGGCTAGTCAAGGAACTTCTGAGTTTTGACTTTCTGACACTTTTGGCGATAATACCAAGAAAACTCTTTACGTTACTATTCCTGCCATCACATGTTGATCTATCGTGACAACGAAGATGGTTGGAACCTCCAAATAACGGGACCCGAACATGTTCTGTGTGTCAAGGTTCCCTGTGATCATAAGTTGCGAAGTTTTGACCTTCAGAAGCTCCAACCATAGAGAACTCTTGCCCAACACAAACACGCCTTTGCCCTGGAGTTCGTTGGCGAACTACAATGTTGTCAGGCATTTACACTTTATTCGGTCGTAGCAGGACTTTATTTTTTGAAAGAAGTTTCATTCTTTGACTTTACTGTTACTAAACATTCTCAAAGCTAAATACAAGAAGTCTGACTCTGAAAGGGAACGGCAAGCTGATCTCCCATGTCGCAAATGTTTGGCTCACCGCGCGGTCGTTTGCCCTTGGATGTGTTGCACCAAGGGCTTACGAACCAGTTAGAGGCACTCGGCTTCGAAGCGCCAATTAGTGACGCGGAGTTGCCTTTTTTTGCCGTGATTCTTTCTATCGGTTTTTTCCTCTCGTTCTTCGGGCACAAGTTGAAAAAAAGCGTTTTGTTTGTTACCGGCGCCTTGCTTCCGGTGTTTCTGTACACGGTCAATTTCCTGCCGGAAAACCCACCACTGAAAATTATCATCGTGGTCGTGCTCGGGTTATGCGCGGGCATTTTCTTTGTGAAGTACCCGAAGTGTGGCCTGGCCGGTGTGGGCATCGTGTGGGGGGCTGCGATGGGGCGGTTTTTGTTCTTCTTGCTGCAGTCCATCCTGAAGGTATCCAAGAAAAAAACTGTGTTAGTGTAAGTCTTTTGGGAAAACAGCATCACAAGTTTGTCTGCCATGACAGGACAAACTTGTTATGCACAGATACAAAGGGAAAACACAGAGGAAGCGAGCCGGTCACGCATGTCGAGCATGACAAGTGTAACCGTTTGGCATTTTCTGCATCACAGATTTACACTTACACAGTTTTTTTCTTGCATAGAAGGACCAGGTATTCACGCCCAACAAGGAAGCGATCAACGTGGGATGCATCGCCGTCTCCGCGACCGCGGGCGGTCTTCTGGTCGCTGGCTGCTTATCGCAAGAAAAAACTGTTTCACTGTGAACTTGTGATGCAGAGACCGGAGCACCAAAGGGCTTGTCTTGCTACACCTGCATAGAACGTTGGAGTTTCAACCGTGGTTTGCCTTATGGGAAATGCGCGCATGGCAAATTTTCCGTGTCATGTGTAACAAACTTGTAAATGCAGATCTTGCAAAAAAATCACCACAGTGAAACAGTTTTTTCGTGGGATACTGTTTTAGCAAGCTGTACTGCTTGGTGATCCCCTTCGTCGGGGCGGTTTTGGGGGCGGACGCGCTGGCACACGTCCTGATCATCGTGGCCCACAAGTACTGGAAGCGGATCCGCGGGTACTTTCCCTTGGAGACACCCCTGCTGATCAACCACGACCTGGAAGATTCGGAGTCGCTGCACAAGTACCTGGAAGAATTGAAACGCTCCGGAGAACAGGTGTTCGAAGACGTCTCCAGTCTATTCGGTGCGGGGGACGAAGCTGGTGCTGCAACCTCGTCGTCCTCCTCCTTCCGCGATTTTCTACACCAGGCGGAAAAAAGTTTGGTCAAGTACCGCTACCCCTGGGGGATTTGGGCGGCCTGTTTCGTGTTCTGTTTCATCGTTGGCGTGAAGTTGCAGTGCAGGGAGTACCGCAAAGAGAAACGGGAAAAGCAGCGGCTGCACCTAGCCGAGGAATCCAGTGACGAGGAGCCTCTATTGGCGCATCCGGCCTACCGTTCCCGCCCCATCGGGCAGCGCTTGGTATAGGGGCAGGGTGGAGGAAGATGCAGCGGGCTGTCACGCCGGAGGTGGCAGTTGTATGAGGACATTAATATTTTTTTGTGACCCGCGTCGGTCGGACGACTACGGCTTCAGCGAACGAACCGTACTTAAGTCAATAACTGCCGCGCGTTGTAGTTTTCTGAAGTGGATAATGAACACATGTGCTAGCTTTTTATGTTTGAAGTCTTTCAATGAAAATACAGACTACAAACGGCACCGATTGCAAGTAGATTTTTAAGCTTGGTTCCAGTTTTGTTTGAAGAATTTCGAAGAGATTCGTAAAATTAAGTTGGTTATACTGAATCAATGTGGAGTACAATCCCACTCCGTTTTAGATTGATGTCGTGTCTGCGAAATAAAGTTAGAGCGATGTGGATTTGGATACATGACTGAACCAATGAATGTACTTTTCCTGGCAAGCAAATGTACTTCAAAAACTAGAACTGCCGCGCGTTAGCGATATTATTGCTCCATTTTCCGTGCCATTCATGATCCCTGTTCGCGAATACGGAACGGTTGCCGTAGATGTTATCAAGATCACCATTTGCTCCTTTGGAGTGCACAGCCTCGTGGAGCCTCCGTCTCGTGATCACAATGCCTAGCAATCGACGGGATTCGAACCGTTTCGTCTCGGTCCATTGATTTTTTCTGGTAAGCGTGGCAGTATGGTACCTGCTCGCGTTGCTCCTTCGTCTATGAAATGTAAATGTGTATATAGAATAAAAAATTAGCGCAGACTCAGAAAAACAAAAGATTTCAGGCACTCGACTTTCTTCCAACTCCTGGGATTTTGTATGTTATTGATGTACAGCTCTTCATCGAAAGAAAGATTAAGGTAGAGACACTTTTTGAAATTCGCCAATTCACCAGCTACCTACGGTAAGCAAATTACATGGAGCGTCAGACAGTTACTCGCCCGACAAGCACCCAATTGAAATTTGCCAAATTCATATATTCTTTTCTCTGACTCGTCAATTTTTTCACAAAAGTTTTGCTTCATCGAAAAAGCAGTTGGAGGATGCCTTCGCACGTTGCAAATCCGTTGTCTCTCCAGGCAGCCTCGCCTCAGCCCGACAGCAAGGAGTCTATAAATTGCGCATTTACGGTCATGCAAAGGCGAAATGTCGAAGATGAAGACCGGATCCGGAACTGTCCTCGGCAACGGCAGACCAGCAGGGGCCGCAGGCTGTCTTTCTCGTCTGGCACGTCTGAGGAACGACGCGCTCCTGCTGGGCCAAGGCATGAAGACAGCCGGAGTTGTACGAACATCCGATCAAAAGCAAATGCCAACATGCGCGGCGCTGGCACGACACGCATAGGCATCAAGCGTGAAGATACTAGCGATCACCGGATATTAGAGCGAGCAGCGGGTTCTTTGTCATCAGCAGCATCCGGAAAAGTGATGAAGGGCAATGTTGAAAGGAACGGAGCGGAACCCGAAGCGACGAAGCAGGTCATGAAGATAGACAGGCGCGTGGACAACAGCTGTGTTCGGGAGAAAAAAGTGCAGCGACATGATGAAGCTGCTTCTTCACCTGATCGTCGAGAAAACCCAAGTACAACGACCATGGCGAAACAAGTAGGCACCAGAAATAAGGCAAAAGAAGGAGGGACTGTCGCAGAGGTGTCGTCTTTATCAAAATTTCAGCGTCCACCTTCAGCTTGTTCAAAAAAAATGTCACCAAGATCGCGGGAATTACATTTGCTCCGGGACTCCAGTACCAGCAGCAGCTCCAGTACCAGCAGCAGCGCACCACCCACAGAAGTTCATGTGGAGGACGAAAATGATTTCGCGGGAACCGACCGACCAGCGTCAATGGCCCCGTCCGAAGTGAGCACTTTGTCGCATCGTGGTGCATCCTGCTCTTTAGCATCTGCTCAGCAAAAAAGCCTCCACACTTCCAAAACTACAGTGTCGTTCGGGGAGAAGGCTTGGCGGCTACTAACAACGAGTGGCAAGAAGAAGACTCCTGAAGCGACTCCTTGCATCACAAGCGACCTCGGTGATGAACGCTCCGCAATATTACGTGCGCCACCTGCAAGCCGTCGCCCAGCGCCTTCAGCCAAGTCGCCACGTCTTGGCATGGCGGGTGCAAAATGTAGTAGCAAAGACTTTTTTACAACGACGAACAAAATAAAGGTTTCCAGGAGACCCAGACATTTTTACAATCCATAGTGGAAAAGCTGTTGCAACTTCTCGCTGCGGCCACGCCGGAGGAGCAGGAAGAACACGATAACGACCCGAGTGACACCAGTTCTATGCACACGAAAAAATCATCCTCCGTCGGCAACAACTTCCAGCGGTGCAGGTTGCTCCTCACCGCCCTGGAGGCGTACCGCATGAATCCGAACATTACGGCGACCATTCTCAACGAAATTATCCCATTGTTGAACAAAAGCAAATCCCACGGCGGCATGCACCTCTGCGACCTCGCCTTGCCCTATTTTGCGGGGCTGAAAAAAGCCTGCGCGGGGCAGCTGCCAAGGTTAGCGGAGATTTTGGAAATCTGCCGGAAGTACTGCAAGATCCCGTTCAAGGGCTACATCGCGTTTTACCAAAACGCCGGGCCTCTATTTCCTCTCCAACAGGAAAGGCAAACCGCGGAGCAATTGGAAGAACTGTTTCTCCCGGACGACACTTTATTTGACGAATTTCTCGGCTACCGAGAAACCTTTGCGGACGCGGTCTATGAGAGTGCACAACCCCCCCTCCGACCCCCTCATTTGTAGTACGGCATGGACAGCAACACAAGCACCGGCAGAAATGTAGCTTCCGCATGACAAATTTACGTGCGGACTCTAGTAGGTACTGTTTATGAGCTTCGGAAATTCGTCATGCAGACAGAGCTCATAGGCACCGTGTGGATTTGGGTTTTCGCATTACAAATGAGGGGGAAGGGCGGGAGTTGTTGTGCAATGTCATACGGTTCGAGAGATCGTAACCACCAGCGAAGAGACACTGGCGGTTGTTCGCGGCTCTTTGGAAAAAGTTTCCGCGCTTTTCCAAAAAGCGTCGCAGCTGCAGGTACAAGCAGAGACCGCGAAACTACCCTTAGTGAACCTTCCGCACCCGAGCGGGGCGGGGGCCGCGGTTGAGCAATTGGATGATTTACTGCTCGAACTCGAGGAGCATTTCTTCTTTTTGAGCTGTTTAGCCCGGAACATCCAGGGACTGCACATGCCGTACAATGTAGCAAAGACTTTTTTACAACGACGAACAAAATAAAGTAGTTTTTACTCAGGATATGCATTGGAGTCGAGCTGCTGCAGGGAATGCTCACTGAAACAACGAAAGGATCACTGTTTAGACAGATATGGTAGAGGAGTGCGTTTTATTTTCTGGCGCGTTATTGTAGCTCTGGAGAGCCAGTCCTTTTTTCCATTGTGCGCTTTCCCACCCCCTTTTTCAGCGTGCTCTCATCGAACTTGAGCTCGAGAACGAACCTATACCTAAACCTCATGCACGCCCTCCCAGTGCAGGATAGATGATGATGATGATGATCACAGAGGTATCAGCATGGATCTGTGTGTTATGGATCTTGGAAGAAAGATGATGGGCTTGGTGCGCCTTGGTGCCTTGTTGCCCCGCCGACAGAAAGAAGGTCCACGTCTGGCGACGGGTTGTTTAGAGGTTCAATGATGTTGTTTGCTTTCAAGCTGCGCCAAGGGAGAATAATTTGTCCGATGGATAACATTCCACTAATTTATTGTTTTGTGGTGGACACTCATGATGTCATTTCCAACTTTTGCTTCTTTTCCGGCAAATGCTCCCCAGTGCAAATGCTTTTACTTTGTCTTGAAAGGAAACTAACTTCCACTTTGACTTTTTCCACTCTTGAGATGCAGTAATCATTCAGTCATCTGGTTTGTTTTCTCTCGGATTTATCCCACAGCTGGAGAAAATCTCTCAGTTTCTGATCGTTTGTAAACGTACTTGGATTACTTCTAGAAGTAAGGATTGCAATTGGCTCTCCTGGTCCTCACCACTCCCCCCGCATGGAGCCTGGGGCGGCGCGGGGGATAGTCTTGGAGGGGAACGTGTGAAACAAAATGACTTGCACCCGACCAAATCCCAAAGCTCATCACTGCCTCGCCTGAAAACTAGTTGCAGTTCCAGACGCGTGCTGCAGCTGTCCAAAAAGCAGCTTGGGCTACGTTTATTAGTATTCTACTCGTGCATTCGCTTTAGCCACCACGCCACTATGCTTGGGAAATGGAATTCACGACGCTGCATGGAGCTGAAGACAGTGCGGATCTCATTCTGAGCAAAATCGCCGCCTGAATGAAGGCTCCGAGCAGGAGGCGGGCCGCACCTCGAGGAGAATGAACGCAGGTGACTTGACCTTCGGGGAGGAGCAGGAGCGAGAGTACGTCCGTGATTTCCTCGGAGCTCCGGGCGCTGGGCTTTCGAGCGAACCCATAGCAAGGGACCTGCGACAAAGACTGAGTAGGGCGTCGTCCTCCGAAATCGACGAACGTGATGAATCACCCGCCGGCTCCTACGCGCACGTCCGGAAGCCTGCTGCTCTTTTCGGTAGTTTGATGCTCAGGTCGATTTATTTCTCAAAAAACTTGATTGGATTCTGTTTTTCGTGCGTTCGATCGGCACAAGGAGTTAAAGACTCGATGCCGCTAGTTTCTATCAAGTATGTACGAAGAAATGGATTTGGCGAGTAGGTACGTCTACGTGGTCGGCGAAGTTGTTTGCGAGCGCCCCTTGCCAGTGCAGGATTGTAAACCTGAGTCCACAAAAATTTCACGTCGCAGGCCCTGCGCAGACGCCTTCTCCAAGGCGGCCGGAATGTGTCACCAAAAACGCCGACGAGGACACCGACGGAAGAACGCCGAAGCGCGTGCCGTTTCGGCAGGGAAGCGAGAGCAGCTGGAACCTTGCGCCAGCATTTATCTTCCTGAAAGACTTTTTTACAACGACGAACAAAATAAAGGAGGCCGCAAGGAAAGCTTGTGTTCGCAATTCCTCGCGGCCAAGGGGCAGAGAAAGAGATTGTATGCGCATCCGCAGGAGCCAAAGTGAAAGTCTGGCACCGGGAGGTGTCGCTAGGAAGGCGTCGAGAGGTCGTTTTTTTCAACCAGGCGAAAAAGAAGAAATGAAAACAAGAAATCCACCGAAAAAGAGACGCGCATCTTTGATGAGGCTAAAACTGAGTGGTTTTTTTTCCTGTGAGACAACAGACTCAGACGAGAACGACCTTGTCCTTGAAGACGATCTACACCGTGTGCATGTTGCAGAAAGACCCTCCAGCACTCGCACCCCTCTGAGCGTCGAGAAAATGGTGCGGCACTACAAGTCCACTGGGTCCGGTGCATGGAACAAGAACGCGCGCAGCTGGAACCAGCGAAACTCTGCTGCCGGTTGGCGTCAAGACGAGAACTCTGAGAGCGCGACGAAGACACAGAATCAGTGCTCTACTTTGCCGAGCACTAGCGTGGATGCGGACAGTAGCAAAGTAGAGTTCCATGCTGCTGCGCGCCTGTTTCGGGAATGGATTTTGTCAACAACGCGATCTTCTGCTTCGCCTTCGGCGTACATCGATATCGTTGAGGATGGCCTCCTTGCAACCGGGAACTATCGGATTCCAAGTATGGAGGAGGTGGACCGGGTTTCGGATCGCAAAAGCCTCTTTGAGTTTTTCGCCAAGTCTGTGGGTTCGCGATTTCCTTCGGCCGTCTGCACGACAAAAGGCGCTCTGCATGAGATAGCAGATAACGAGCACCCCACGGATGGCACTGGTCGTGCACCCGCAACGCAGTCGCTGCCCCACGAGAAATGGTTTGTCTTCTTTTAGAATTTTTTATCAACCGCCCTGATGGTGTGCGACCGTCAGAGCCTAATTCGTTCTGGTATGCATGCGGTAGCGATGTCGCTGTCGACGGTTTGATGTACGAAAATCTTGGAGGCGCGATTTTACCGCTATCAGTAAGTAAGAACCAATCCAGGCGGCGTGCGCCGCGTGGGAAAAAAATACAAAGAACCTTCAGCGTAGGCCTAAGATTAGCCCGATTTGTGTGTCTGTCCTGGAAAAATGCTACCAGTAAGTATGTTAGAACCAAGTAAGTACCAAGACTTCATGGGCGGCGGGAGTAAACGCAAAATAAATCACAGTGGAGGTAAATGAAAATAAAAATGTCATTTTTTATTCAGGTGGGATTGGCGTTCGACTTCGACTGCGAATCAGCGTTCGGATCAGCATGCGAAGGCAGGCAAGGACGACGTGACAGGACGAATGCAAGAAACGTCTGTAGTTTTGGAACATCAAAAGAGAAACGGCGAGGGCTCCAGAAATCGCAGGAAGAAAAACCTTCCGTGGGGCAACACAACAAAAGCAAAATTAGAGGAGCTGGAGCACAAAAGAGTTGTAGATATCGAGCTTGGTAGGAAGCGACACGAACAACAAGACCAAGGCGCTAATATCGTAAAAACAAGCAGTAGCAAAAGTGCGTTGAAAGCAAGGGCAGCCTGGGAAGACGGGAAAACCTTCAAGAGAAAGGGAGATATAATGTCGTCGACAAATAGTAAAGGACAAGTGGCTCCCGCTGCGGAGATGACTGGGGGCCCTTACAACAGCGCTTCGTCCCCTCCGCGTCTCCTGGACGATGAAAAGTACGCTCGTTACACCTGCTGTAGTTCAAGCAAGCCAGCAGCCAAGTGGAGGACGTCGACCTCGGCGTCAGATGGACGGGAAGATACCTACGAGGAGCTGAGAGCCGCTTCGTACGCTGAAGTTCTCGGGGACCGCAAGCCCGCGAACCGCGAACAAGTGGACACGACCAGGTTGCAATACAAGAAAGACTGCGGCGGGGACCCAGCGAGCAGTTGGAGCAGGTTTCATCAAAAATCTGGAACGAGCAGCAAGGCGTACTACGAGAAACAGGACGAAGAATACAACAACTCCAGAAGTTCCTCCAGTTCGCACTACGACTACTACCCAGCGCAGCGCAGATCCGCTTCACGAGAGGAGCACTATGGAGGAGGCGGGGCCGCGCAAAGAACCCAAGAAACGGACGAGCCGCCAGCAATGTCAAGCGGGCACGTTGACAGAAGTAGTAAAATGAACGCAAAAGGCAAGAGTAGATCAAGTCTTGCGCGACGACGTGCGTCCGGTAGTACCGCTCGCTGGCAGCCGTGCAAGGATTCGCCTGATGAAGGTCCGAGGCAAGTAGATCTGTGCACGGAACGGAACATTTCCGCTTTGCCTGTGCATGACAACCTAGACGACCTCATTCGGAAGTGCGCGGCAACTCACGCACGGCGGGTGTTGGACGAGTTCGCTCGGTACGAGATTGCCGAGGGTCGGGGAATGGCATCGGCGAACGTGGACCGCAAAAACCGCCGTGTGTACCGAATTCAGAGCGTCGACGGCAAGATTTTGATCAACCGGAATGAAGAGATGCTGGACCTGGTACCGAACGGCGGAGGAGGTTTCGTGTCCACTAGGTATTGCCACTACCCCTTGCGCGACCCAATCATCGCTCAGGGCTGGTCCTCGCCGGGGTTGCCGCAGCCACTGCGCTCGCGACGCGGGGAGGCGCACGTGAAAGAAATAGTGCCTGACTTCTTTTCGTCCCCCAATGAGGACCGAGCTTATACAACTTCTAGCAGGAGCGACCAGCAAGCGGACGAGAAAACCGTGGCAACGCACCTGCTGAGGATTCCACGCGAAAGCATTCTGTCCGAAATCGACTGGACGAAAGAAGTTTTCTGTCGCAAGACGGGGAAGCACCGACCAGAGAACATTCAGGAGATCGAGTTGAGTGGCATCCCGAAGTGGCGGTTTGACACGGCGAAAACTCCCTACGCCGTTTGGGCGCACGTCAGTTTGTCGAGCCACGCGCAGGACAAGCCGCTGCTGATTTACCTTTGTTCTACCTGCAACGAGGACGACAACATTTGCGGGAAGCCACCGACTATGAACTGCAAAAGTGTCTGGGTCTGGACGAGTCATGCTGTTTTTGCATGACACAGAAGGCCTGGCATGGAAGATCTAGCATCACAGGTTTCGAGAAGCTTCCGCAATGCCGAATTCGCATTACAAATCCCCCACTTTCCTGGTAGAAAGTGGGCAGCTTTTGCTATCTATGCATGAGAGATTTTTCTGTGTTCTGAAACGCGCATCACAGGTTTGTATTCTTCCAGACCCAGACACTTTTGCACTCCATACCGACGAAGACCGCAAGAAAGGCCACCCGAACAATGCGCCCCGGCTTGGAGTGGATTGGGAAAAACTTCAACGTGATTGGGCTCATGTGGAGCAAGCAACGCGCCACCAGCTTCCGCATGGGCCCCACTTTGGGAGTCTTTGAAGTGCTCTGCGACTTATTCGAGATCCAGTTTCTTGCGTCGGAGTGCGGCGGCGTCGGGCCCGGCCTTCGCCAGCCCCCCACCTTGTGCGGGTTCAGCCGGGGTGCCATGTCCGTGCTCGAAGTATTCAAGCACTTTCACCCGAATCCACGGAGTACGGTTCTCAGCCCAGACACACGAAGTCGCTGCGCGGGCTCCTACCCGAAGACCCAACGGCTCTGGGAAAGGTACTAGACTGTCCGTTGCTTATAGTATAAGGTACAGAGTTTGCATTTGCTGCAACATTGAAGATGCGGCTACCGCTCACCCTAGTGTGCAAAGAACATAGCGCTTTTTAGACCCTAAAGAAGAACTCAGAGGCTGCCGCTCGGGTGGTTTTTCTTGTATGATTTTCTGTCGAAATAAGACCACTACATCTGATGGAAGATAGTATTCCAAAGTTGGTCCTCTTGTTCCTACTGTTGTCTGCAATACAACAGGGCCGTGGCGATGTCCATGTACTTTTTGTCTCCGGACCCGGACGCGCGGTTCTTTCAGCAGTACCTTCGCGAAAATTTCAACGACGAAGAAGACCCTGGGCGGGACCTATCGCTGACTCTCATACTCCCAGAAAACGACCAGTGGTCTGCGGAGGGAATCTCGGTAATGAGCGCTATTTGTGACGCAGTGAGTCCGCGGGCAAAGCGGATGCGAAAGCCCCTTTCCTTGCACGAGTGGTGCGGAAGCGGCAAGCCATTGACACACGACTTGCCGCCGAAGACGACCGGAACGTCGAGCTGCCCGTCTCCTTACGTGAAATTGTTCGTGCAGAAATTCCTCGGCGATCGACTGCACTGCATCTCTATGGAAGGGCAGTAGGCGTAGTGACTTTACCGGGTGACTCTAGCCCTGAGAAAAAATTACCCGGTTGGTCATGGTCCATGACGCGCATGCAAATCTCTATTGGGGATTTGCATGCGCGCCTGCATAGGTCATGCAAAAAGCGCACGCATATTTTTTTGAGTCGACTTAGTTATTGTTATTGAGGTGGCGCTTCTTTTGTTGTTGTATGAGGTCGCAGAATAAATAAGTGCTTCCTCGCCCACACCCCCGGTGGGGTGGTGCGTGGCCTGTGGCGCTCGGCGATGGTGTCCACGAGTACTTCCATGATGATGATGATGACGATGATGAAGCGCGGCGAGTGGACTTGTTTCGGGTCGTGTATGGTCGTCTGCGTGGCATACTAACATAAAGGGTAGAGTGGCGCTTGTTTCTAGGGCTAGCAGTATGCAGTCGTTAAAGTCACGGACTTTCCCGGTATTCTCTTCGAGAAGGGCCAAGACCACGATGGGGGGTTTGATTGTTTTCGAGATCACGCGAAAGTAGCCAAGCTGTTTCTTTGCCCACCAGCGGCAAACACTACCGGCTAGGTGGTTTGAACGATCATCTGACGCAAGCATATAGCGTTCTGTGAGGACCACTGTTCCTTGTGAAATTCAGTGACTTGTTTATGCTGAAGGGTACTTATTCGTATTTATGGAAGTAAGTACTTTGCGCTGATGGGTGTTCTTGTAACGCATGTCGGTGCGCCGGCGACGGAGAATGCGTCTCGTTGTTCTGCTAAAGAATCGCAGCAGCGCTGCGGCCACCGCCAGTTTCTTCTTCGCGTGCAGGCTTGGCGCATAGGACTGATGTTGCTTGTCGAGCCCAAAGCCAAACCAAAACCATAACAAAAGAAATAAATTATGCGCGTAATTCGTTTCGCTTCGTTTGGTTCTCGTGCATGCGCAATGCGTCGAATGTCTAGGCCGTCAACGTCTCGGTCTTTAATTATTGCGCACTGCTTTATGCAGCATCAGCTGTTGGTGCTTCATCAAGCATGCAGCCAGAAGTATAGCCTTGTTGGACCGACTAAATTATATATATGGCAATCAAAAGTCTCCGTTTCGGTTTCCATAAATAATGAAAGCACTCGTCGGTACTTTTTTCAACGACACGATGTAATCGCTCTCGGTAGGTGTTGTCACAGCATAGCTCAACGAAATGAATTCTTGCTCGAGGAAATCTGATCGTACTTTCTCGTACTGAAAAATCATGTATATAGAAATGCAAAAAGCATGAAGTTTATTTCATTCGTTTTGCTTTTGATGCATCGTCGTGGTCGTGGTTCTGTTGCGTGGCTTCGTCCGTCCGTTTTCGTTCGTTCCAACTTCTTGTCACGGTTTCAAAAACTAAGACTCCCGTCCACCATGGCTTCCTTCCGAATTACGCACCTACAGAAAAGGCAAAAGTTTTTAGCTTTAAGCGTATGAAGACGAAAGTAGATATGTTGGCATTCATTTACGTTCCTACACAGGTCCACATTTAGTTGTCCCACCTGCTTAAAAATCATCCCACTCCTCATCTAGGAGTACAAACGAAACTCGCACCTCGTATTTTTTGCCAAGACTCTTACTTGAAGTGAAGCTGGCGATCTTGTTACAACTTTTTGTCCGTCTTTATACGTATTAAACTGCTCCGACTACACGCGACGATGTCCACGACCTCTGCCCCTGCACAGAGCCCAGTAGCCGTGCCGGTCAAAGTAGGATGGGAGATGTCGCGAACTCTGACGACGGCCGCCAAGTCGTACATGGCGGCGGTTCCCAAGCACAACAAACAGCCGTATGTGCAAAAGCCTTACGTGCAGTCGCACCCGGAAATTAACCTGCGTGCAGTGCACGCCATGCGCATGCGCAACACCTGGAACGTCCCCGTGGGGGAATGGCCCAAAGAAAAGAAGCCGCAATACTCCAACCTCGGCCAACTGGATTACGCACGGTCGAAGCGAATGGTGTGTGCACAAGCGCCGAGCGATCGATTCGCTAAGCCAGTAAATCTTATGTTGATTTTTCGCATACGTACCCTTTCGCTTTGAGTGTGTTTCAGTTTTTGAATTATTGATATTTGTGGATATTGTACGCATGCGTTGTAATGTGTTTCAGTTTCTGAAGTGAATACAGATACAGAAAAAGATATACTTACGTTCATGACGAACATGAAAAACATTGCCATTCTGATGCTTTCGATCTTGGATTTTGCTGCTCGAGTCGCAAATTTACGATTCTCCTCATGGACGACGATATCGAGCGTGGTAAGACCTCCCAACAACTTTAATACAGATGACCGGTGGCCACACATACGGATTTGTATCGCCCAGCAAGTTGCCGCCTCCGCAGCATCCGATTGGTTCCAGCCCGATGACCAAGTACTTCGACAACATGCTTCAGCTAACGGGAAAGCGTGGATGAGATGTACAAAAAAAAACCAATGCCGCTGTGCTGCCCTGCCCCTGTACGTACTACCATCTTCCTTCAAGTTCAATATTAGGCTAGAAACTAACAAGTTCAAGTTCTCCTTTCTTTGTCGAATGGCAATTATCTCCACCGCGACTTCGCTCGGTACCCCCTGCAACTCTCGTCCCTGAAACATCCCCTGGTCTTCACACCTCATATGTAGTCACCATTCGAAAATGATTGTATCCCTATCCCCTCACCAAGCCACGAAAACCAAGATTATATCAACATTCACATTGTAGTACATCGATTTTCTACTTCCAATATTCCAACCAACAGCGGCGCATTCTGTAGTACTGCTCAGGTTTCGAATTTCGCTTTATGTTTTGGAGGAATAAAGCCTCGATATCCGACAGTACCGATGAAATGGTCCCCCTCATTCGATTCGGTTCTCTATTTCTTATTCTCTTATTTCTCCCTAATCCTATGTTCATTTTGCGGGTGAACCCCCGAACAGAGACAGCCCGTCTCAGAGCGTAAGTTTGAACAAAAGAATAAAAACTACCGTCGCAGCACATAAGTACGAATTTCGATTTGACATTTGCTTGCTAGTGTAAACGTTCCGAAAAGAGCAGCCTAAAGCTGCATGTCGCTTCGTGTTTTTCTTATTCCTCTCCTCCATTTGTTTGCCATTGAGAGCAGCGTGCAAAGGTCTCATGATCAAGATCAGAAGAGCAGCGCGCAAAGTTCCCCCAAAAGCAAAACGAAGTTGTGTTTTATTTCGTCTTCGGATCACGCATTGTTCTTGGTACATGTCGATTGTCCTCCATGTTGCATCGTTCCCTTTTGATAAAAGCGAAATCGGCAGTCGACTTCGGGTGACGTGCTTTCCATGCTTCCAGGATGACACCGCGTCCATCTATTATGCCTGGATACTAAATCTCTTTCCCATCTTTTGTTTTTCTGACAAGTGAGTCGAGCGGATTCATATCTGCCTCCCGCGACCTCGATCAGGGAGCTTCCAGGTGCACGATTGCCGGCAAGAAATTGTGCAGCTCTACTGCAGTGAGTCTCCACCTGAAGATGTTGCAATTTTGTTGCACAGGAGGATCAATACTTGCTGGGCGGCTGCTTGTAGCGACGGTCGGCAGTGTGGTACCAATAGCAATATTGAGCGGTCAACTAGTAGGAGTTTCTGCTCTGCGTCTCCGAACGGGATCCCCGCGAGCAGGCGGCGCTGCGTCGGCTTCAACATCAACCGCCGAGGAAGACGATGATCTTCGTCCGCACGCGGCCGGAGAGAACGTGGGCACGAACATTCGAACAGATGAACATGCTCACACGCCGGAACGGGAAGGCGGCAATGGGCAAGCGGTACGTCTAGAAGATGAAGAACCTGAGACAGAGCATATCGTACTGGGAACTACAGGTAGTAGGGCCTCTGTGGGAGAAGTCGGAAGTGCTTGCATTTCGAAGTTCTTACGTAAAAAAGTCAAATTTATTGGATATATGCGTTTTCTTGTACCCGAGGAAGAATGATGACTCTCTGTGCTGCAAAATTTGTGCGCGCCGGAGGACAGCTTCCGCGTGACATTTTTGATAGCCCCCCTCTATGGTGTGACACGCGACCCTCATCTGGGTATTTCGTATCGACGAGTCTGGAAGAAAGGCATATTTGTTTCTTGTATCGTTTCCATTGGGAAGTAGAACGACCTCCGTATCGCAGGCATTGTGCTACTTGAGAGCGCTAGGGGCTCTATTTTTCCGCTCAATAGACCATCCGTTGCCAGTGGGAGAGAATACACAGGAGGACACACATCAGGAACAAGACAACGCGACGTCTGAGGACATCGTGACAGCTTCGTGGTTTTGGGACGCTTTCGGACTTGGTGACAATACGAGCTCCAATTCGATTGAGGAGCCGTTCCGTGTGATGACGCTGGACGGGCCGAAAGCGGTGTTGAATAGCGACTGTCCGATCTGCTTGACAGAGTTGCGCGGAACTAGCGGTGTCGAGTCCGGAGGGGCTCTTGAATGCCATGAAGAACAAGCGGGAACAAGGGGAGAGCGCCCAGAACAGCTATCTTCTGCCTGGGTCTTTCGCTGTGAGCATATGCTCTGTACGGCGTGCTACCGGCTGTGTATGAGTAACATCATCCCTTCTGGTGCACCAGCTTCGGCGTCTGCTTCCGCGTCATCAACCACGTCGCAAGATGTTACAACAACAGGAAATAATCATGCACCGGGTGATCATCATCATCATGATCCTGGTGATCCGATGCCCGTGACAGCCACTGCGCAGATGACAGCTCATGATCAACAACATGCGGATCATCCTCCTGTGGCGCCGTCGTACGCGTCTTCATCTTTCTCATCTAGCGGCGAGGAGGGCGTCGATGAACATCAAGGGTTGGTGGTCTCCCCCCGTCAGTCGGGGCGAGCGCTGGCGCAGCACCACATCAGCACGCTTCTATCCCGCGGTATGCTGTACAACGCGCGGTCGCGGCGACTAGAGCCAAAGTGTCCGCTGTGCCGGTCGGAGGACGGCATCTGGTTTGATGGGGAGTCGCTTGAAAACGTATTGGACCAGTACCCGCCCGAGGACGTGATGCCCGCCTTGCTGCGCAGCCCTGCAATCACTGTGATCAACAACCAGAATCCCATTCTCGATGCCGGCACGGGACCAGAAGCGTACGGAAACCTGGCCGCATGGGCCTACGGGACTAGTTTTTCATCCGCATCGAGACCACGGGAGACTACTTTTCAGGTACTCGTGGTACCAGCCTTTTTGTTTTTCGTGTATTAGATAATTCTTGCTGTGTGCACCAGGGTCCCTCTACTTCCAAGATAGCTTCCAAAAAGCTGCTGTTTGACAACAGTAACTAAGGCATAACCGTGCCTGCTGAGAGCCGGCTGCCCTAGCTCCCTTTACGAAGTGTAGCGAAAACTGACTATACTGTGTAAGTGTGCAGTTTTGCAAGCTGAATTCGAAATGGAGCCGGCAAACGAATTCTTGTAATTTTTGTCAAGCTTTTCACATTCCATTGTTCATTTCTGCGTCAATGACATCAACTTTTTCCAGAATTGTCCGCGGCAGTGCATGGTGGCCGAGTCCTGCACACCCTCGCTGCGACGGCTGCTCAGCGCCTGCACGTCTTGTGGCTCCCGCGGATCGATGTGAAGAAAATTTATTGATCCGTATTAGAGCATTGCCATTGGCACCGTTTCCATTATTATTAAGGTTGAAGTTCTGTCGCCCTGGATTTCTCTTTACTGCATGAGCTTCCCCTCGGACAGGCATATGTGTAGGTGCTCTAATTGGCGGCCGCGCCCCGTAGTTGTAACACCCAGCGCAGTAGTTTTAGACGCGGCTGTTTTCGCGGAAGACCAGCATATCGCAGGTACCCATCATGGTGTAGCACCTCAATATTTTCTGGAAGCTGTGGCTGGTTTCCCAACAAGTTCTACCGTTCTGATGCTGACGATGTAATTATTACGTATTCCTTCGCATCATGCACATGCAGATGCGAGCATCCTAGTCCTACTCTGACGACTGTCGAAAGATAAGGTATATCACCCGGTATTTCGTGCTCAATTGATATTAAATTTGCTTTGATTTTTGTGTCTGGTCTACTTCTGCATTTCGTTTTAGGCTGCTTCTCGCGTCTTGTGCCACGCGTGAAATTATCCGCAGATGATGTGTAAGGTGGGCAAGGCCATGTACATGTTGAATTTTTGGACCAAAGAAATGCAATTATAATGAAATTCATCTTATCCTGGCCGATGAAGTAGTCAGTCTTCTGGTTGATGAGCATGTCGTTGAAGGTTTAATACCTGTGTTTACATGCAGTTCACGCTTTCTGTTCCTTTTAATGTTTTGCGTGTGCGCAAAGAAGGAGAAAGTGCGCCGCAGAGCGGGGTGATCCTTCTTTGCGTGTGCGCAAAGAAGGATCACCACGGCAGCGCGCAGGAAGGAGAAAGTGCGCCGCAGAGCGGGGTGCGCGGGGTGTTGGCGCGGGAGGAGCGGAACCGCGCATGTCCAATCAAACCAAGTGGCGCATGGCATCCGGGATGGCCGCTGCAGGTGATCAAGAACAACAAGTGAACGAACGCGATCAGTCGCATTCCGCAAGAGAAGTACAATTGATGCCCAGTCAAAATATCTAAGTCCCGTCGCGTAGACATAAGAAGCGCTACTAGTCAAGCACCACAGCACAGACAAAAAGTAAAACAAGAAAGTAAAAGCGCAAAAAGAAAAACACAAAGCAGGTAAGCCGGCCCTCGAAGGGCGTAAGACTTCTACTAGAGGAGCAGCCATCAAGGGCGGCTTGGTGTGGAGGTCCAGCGGGTCGTTGTTCGTGAAGTTCTGAGTGCTTGTGTCCAGAGCGAAAAATCAATCACCAAATAAAAATCTTGCTTTGTCGCGACACAACGCGCGACGGTCAGTACAAGCGTTCCACAAAATTATGTACTGTCTGCACGACCTCGGGCGACTGCTGACAGGTAACTCTGTTGCGGGGCCCCTCACAACCACCGGTAGTAGTGGCTCACGTCCTCTCGTCGAACAGGCGTGGTCGTAGCGGCTCACCGGGTACACATTGGCCACGGCCTTTACGAACCGGCTGTCGTCGCTACGCCACAAATCCCAAAAAATCTTTTGCACCCCAAGCCATCTCGCTGTGGTTAGACTCGCATCACGGTGTTGTAGCCAGGATGTTGCGCTGTCTATCCGCCGGGAAATTTCTACATCAAGTGAAGCAAGCGGCATAACAACTTCCAGAGAGCCACTACAATCAAGCGGATCCGAAAAAAGGGGCGATCGTAGGCAGACTCGTTGTGGGGCTTTAAGCACGCGGAAGAAGACAGCCGGTCGCTTTTGCTGGAAATTGCGGCGTTACAAATCTACGGTGCTTGGCTTGACCACAACAAACAGATGTCCTATGGTTAGCTTAAGAGAGAGATAGCTTAGTAGATAGAAGCTGACTATAGAGTTTTCCTCCTCCTCCTCCTTTAATGTTTTGCGTGTGAATGCCCATCCAACTCCGAGTCCGTCTTCGTGATGTTTTTTTTTGGCATTACCTTCGGTGCATGGCCATTGCGGCGCTGGTAGAAACACTACGAAAATAGAGTTTTTCTGTTGTGATAGTACGCGGGCCGTCCATGTGGATTTGTTGCAACAGAAATCAAATGGTGGTCGTCTTTGGGTCCGGGTCCGCGCGTTGCACACCCTCTGTGAAAGGCGCCAGTAGAGCTTGGCAGTTCCTCTCGGTTCTCGCGGGTCTCTCATGTCTCTTCTCACCCAGGACTCGTGTCGTGGGACTCGTCCGCGATGAGCTCACGCGACATGCAGATGCGTCCCTCGGCGACCCGAGTGGCAGCAGCGAGGAAGGAAACTACGCTAGTCCTGGGACAGAGAGCGAGACGTCGTCAAGAATGGCATCGTCAGGAGTTGTGCCAGAACTGAAAGCGGCGGTTGAGGTAGGCGCAGCGAGTGGACAGCGCGACGAGACAACTGCCGACGAGGAGACCTCTACTACTTCCAGCACAAATGAAGATTTTGCAGCTACCGCTTCGTCCAAGCTGGAACTCGGTGTAGAAATTGTAGCAAAAGTAGAGGACGGTGACGGAGCGACGCGAGTACAACAGAAAACGAGCAGGAAAAAGACCAACAGTACAATTGACAACGATGTCGACATGGTGGCAGGCGACCCGGATCCGGATCCGAAACCTAGTCAAGCGTCCGCTGCTCGTGATAAGAACGTCGACGAGAAGTTGAACATGCAGCAAGATCGCAAGCGTCCTTATGGCGTGTTCAAGCGTTACAGATTCTCACCTGAAGATCCATGAAGTTGTTGTGAAGATGCAACAATAGCGAAAGCAAAAACAAAAAGTGAAAGGGAGAACGTTGTTGCGCGTCTTGCATTCTTGCCGATCTGGCACGGATTCTAATGCTATGTAATTTAAGTAGCGCGGCGGGGTCTATGAGAGAGTGTGACTGTGTCGACGAGAACTTACTTGTCACGCGAAGAAGGTTGGGCGTGTGCAGCGTGATAGTGATTCTGTATGAAGACAAGAAACCATGCAATAGGTCTTGAAAGGGTGACTTCTAGTTCTAACGTTTGACCGCCCCATGGTCCTCCTGAAGAACACGAGAAAAAGAGCCCGTCGTCCGCTACGCGGGCAAGAAATAGTCGCAGTACGTCTCGTCCACCACCGCGAGACGGAGACGCTCCTGCGACAGGGGACGACAGGAGGTTCAGAAGTGCCGATGCAGTTACTGAAGATCATAATCAAGTGCAAGAACAAGAACAGCAGGACCTACAACGGCAGCATTCCGAGCATGATCGGAAATTATGGGACACGTCCAGCCACTTTTCAGACGGCTTAACAAAGGCGCGGAGGAAATTGCTGCAAGCGCGCATAGGGCTCGTGACGCGGAGGGGGTGGAAAAGCGCGACGGAGTATATGCTGTGTAAAAACCGATACCCACCGAAGATTTGTCATGCTTATAATTTGCATGCCGATGCGTCTGCATCTGCATGCCCAGACCCAGCGCATATATCCTTCATGCAGGTTTGGGTCTTCACCTTCAGGGCAGGTCTTTTCTAGACCAATGGTACAGAAAATTTGGTAGCTAACTATGCTCTAATCAGGATAGGATTAGGAACACAGGGCAACTACACTCCGTGTCCAAATTTACTGTCGTGCGTATCAAGAGTACTATTCGTTGCTGGATGTCCTCGTCATGGACCAACGGGATGGGTACATTTTCACTCGGGACAGAACCTTTGGTTCAAAAGTGGTTGCAACGTTTGACGCAAGAGGCAATGCTAGTGACGAGCGCAACCTCCCACAACGTGCAGAAGATGATCACAGTTGAGGAGCGTAATGCGGAGCTGCTTCACCTGCAGCAAAGCTTGTGCCAGTGGGTTCGGTTTGGTATTGAGTACACGCATCAGAAGTGGATTGGTACCCGACCCGGCAACATCCCCTTTGTCATCAACCCGCTGAACCCGGGCGCTTATTTTCGCACGCTGAATGGGCAAGAGGCGAATACGGTAGAAATGTGCCGCAAGGCGTGCACGGATACGGACGGGTGTACTCATTGGACGTACATAGACTGGGACGTGGAGCATTGGCCACTGAACAGCAAGGATTTTCGTTGCTTCTTGAAAAACTTTGACGTGCGACGTTTTCACAAGCGGCAATGGATACTATGGGTGGGCGAGTTTCGAGGAGTGCGGTTTTCGAACTTTAATCCGAATCATCGCTCTGCCAGCGGGGTGAGCTGTCGACCCACCGCGAACAGTTCACCGGAGCAAACCCTTTGCCGACTGCTCGGGTCCGCCGCCGCAAAACTAAATAAAAAATGCGACAGCATTCTCTTCCCCTCTCACAAGTCCGAGGACTCGGCCGGAGCGACCACCCACAGTGAAGAACCCAGCGCCAGCGCGTCTGTGTCCTCTTCCAAGCAGCCAACACCAGAAGGCGAAAGCAGAAGGAGTTCCACTTCGCTTCTGTCCGAGGTTGACGCTAGCGCGCAATCTCTGCATGACGCAGACGATCTAGCATACGGAAAAGCACAGCCACACGCACATGCACACCAGAAAAAGAATGAATTTAAATTGAAGTTACGGCGCAGCTGCAGGTTGTTCCCTGCAATATTAAATAAGTAGCCCCACTGAGTAGATGAGATGAAACACACACAACTACAGGCACATCTTTGGACCGCCACAAATTGCACGAGGACTGATTTTCTGCTATGGTATGGCTGTGGCTGTTGCTGTGCTTTGCTGTAGCTGAATACGCTCACCGGGTACACGGAAGCGCAGACAGGCACAAAGAAAGGTTGACTCGCCGTCGACGCGCCCGCGGAGACAACCCTTCGGAGGGAGACAAAGACGAGTTGGAGGGAACCACGCCGGTAGAAAGGCGGCACATAGAAAGAAAGACCAATGAAACGGCAAATGGGAGTCCGCGTCCGTGGTGGGGCGGTGTGCTCGCGTCAGCTCAACACGCCGCCGCGTCAGCGCAACACGCCGCCGCGTCAGTTCCACACGCTGTTGTTGATGCCGCGCACTGGGCGCAAGAAAAGGTCGGGGATGCAGCGCAGAGTGCCAGGCGTGCGCTCGAGAGCGTGCCTTTGGTCCGCTCGGCTGAGGAGAAGCTGGGTATTCCTCCAGCACCACAAACGGACGACGAGTGGCGCGCAAAGATCTCCGCTACGAGCCTGATTTACCACGGGTTTCGCATTCCGCACGAAGAGCTGTTTGCCATCTTTCGCACCTGGGACCACTCGTCTTCCAGCTACCCTGATTCCGTTCACGGGCGAGGGACATCAAGAACGCCTAACAATCATAGACCAGAGGCGGTGGACCCTGGCGTCGAGGATGAGCATGAGCTTCCTCGTGAGCTGCGCGCGGTGTTTCGCCTGCCCTTGCTTCCGGTGGAGCAGAAGGGACCGGATGGAGCCACCTACTCGACCACCTACCAGCAGGACGATCCTCGCGGAAGTAGCAAGGAACCGGAAATGACCAAAGTCATGCGGATGTTGCACACCGAGCGTGCGAGAAAGTTGTTCAAGTACGACCCTGAAAAGGGAACCACAATTATAGCCTACATCTCCACAGACATGTGGCCGCCGGATATGGAGCGCCAGTGGATGTCTTCGACTGCTTTGTACAAACACTTGGAGGGTAGCTGGGTGCAGCGGGATCCGAACTCCGATATCGCCATCGCGCCGGAGCGGCATCAGGCAAGGCACATTCTTTCTGTCTCCGACGCTATCGGGTCACTGCATTACCGTCAATGGCAAATGGCGTCACGCGACGTAAATTTCTTTTTTTCGACCATGTTCTCGCACCGAGGGGGCTATGACCAAGCCTTTTTATTGAAGAACATGCACGAACACACGACCGCCTTTGCCATGCAGTCCATTCCTGATCTCCTGAGCGCCGAATACGACCCGAATTCCCTACAGGGCCTCGAACTCATCCACCGACTTCTCACGCACGCCAGCGCTGGGACGGACGACAAGAACCCCGGACGAGGTGCAGAACTACAAGAAGACCGTGGCGCGGGTAGAAGAACGTCGACGTCCAAGAAGGATGTCGAAATACGGCCGCGGGCCCACGACCGCACGGAAAAATCCTTCACTCCTGCGAAAAATCACTCCGTTAGCACAGCGGAGGAGCTTCTGTCTCCTTACAAAAACCTCGAAGACCTAGCGTCGCGAGTGAATTTGTCTCCGTGGGCGCAGAAATCTCGGACCACTAGTGAGAGGGCTTTGGCGACTCTCCTCTGGGTGGCTGGTGATCTCAACCATCTCTTCCACGATCGGGATCAAAAACGCCATAGTGGTGTCGCCCAAATGCGGTAGGAACTGCTCACACAGCTCCGGAATGCGTATGAACAAAACGAAACAAAAAATTTCTTTGATGCGTTTGCGGCTTGAGGACAAAAAGAAAAAAGAAATCGAGATCAGATTTTTACTCTTGCCCACGCCTCGCGACTTTGATGCAGGAGTATGCAAGCTATGTATCCACACGAGGACAGTTGTCGCAGCGCACGAACTGTGTTCGAATGTTTTTTGACATACGAGAGCTGAAACGCAAGTGGTGTGTTCTTGGATACTCAAGGGAACGTGAAAATGGAGAGCAGCTCTTTAAATTTCATCAATTTTTACTCTACATCCGAGTCCATATCATCTAACCCTAACGCAACCTAGACCTCCTACACCTATACAACACAAAGAATTTGCTGACGGCGCCATCGTGTCTTCGTGAAAGAGAAAATCATGTGAGGGGTACTTTTTTTGTTTGGGTTTTCAACATGGAAACCGATGCCAAATAATTTTGCATCGGTTTTTTCTTGTTGACAGATGAAGACCTCTAACTATAATATCTACGATTTCCAATTCCAGAACGACCTGATCGTTTCCTCGAAGCAATATATCTGTTCACTATGTCGACGAAGATGCAGCGTGGCACTGGCGGAAAATCCTCGCCAGTAGAGCCCACCGACGGGACAGAACACGGAGTGCCCTCGCCGGATCTGTTATGGTATCTGCTCGGCTCCTTCACCGATAAGGTTTCTGCCGCCCTTGTCTCTGCTTTCGAGGGTGCCGAAAAGGTCGTACTGCCAACCTGGGCCCTTCCAACGATAGCGATTCTCACGGTCCTCGTCGTGTTCCGGTGGCGAATACTGGTTGGCATTTTGTACGGTTGGACGTGGATGAGACGGCTCAAGCGGAGTATTTTCGGCGATCCACTTGCTGATCGTCTAAACAAACCAACCGCAGTGACCTTGCAGCCTGAAGAAACTGGGCTGCACCAGTTGGACGTCAAGAAGGGCACCTCTTCCGCGTCACAACAACAAACGTCGGCGGAAACCGCCGGCAGCCACGGCTCCCCAGGCAAAGAAAAACTGGATTTGGGACAGAAGATCAAAGCCAAGTGGAAAAAACTGATCCAGAAAGATAAGGAAGGATAAACATCTGCTAAAGTTGTACTTAGTTATCACAACGGTATTAATCGGGGATCGCTGGTCGCACAAAAATAGCAGGCCGCGGCTTGTTCTTCGAATAAAGATTGCCGCGTCTCGCTACGGTTCGTTGCGGCTCGCTCCGGTCCTTTTCAGCCCTGCTCCGATGAACTTGCAATTCTTGCAAAATTTCAATTGGCAACGACAAGAAACCTAGTAAGTCTATCCTGTCATCAAAAAGAACGCGACCAGAGGCTTTCTTGCTCTGGCTGCTGATGAAGCCTAAGTGTGAGAACGCGGAGATGATTTTCACCTGTGTACGTGACGAAGCTGCTTCGTGCACCGCGATGTCGTTTCAACCGGTTCCTCGAAAGAGATATGTGATAGATGTGATTCCTCCTGCAGAAATGGAAATCAAATTTCTTTGTTAATCAATGGCTGCGAATTTCTTTTATTGTTTTGTCGTTGTGTCGTTTCGTGGTGTCAATGTTATCGTTCGTACACACAGGCCGTTGAATTGAAATGTTTATTATGGTATACAAGGATCGCTTTAGGTCTGGGTTTCACTTTCATCTGAAGGTGATCTTTCCCGTGTCGGTCAAGAGGACATGCCACCCCAACTCATCGTATTTTTACCTACATAAATATATCCGATCTCCGTTGCAGTGGTGCCATTGCATGTTTGTTTGTTGTCCTTATCTATCAATGTACTTAGTCTAATAATATGCGCAGAAGTGTGAAGCGAAAAAAAGATGATGCTATGAAAATTCTATTCAACCGAAGAAGTCAACCGTCATTTTTTGTTTCCCTTGGCTTTCTTGAGACGAACAGAAGTGAATTGACGAATCGATGTACTTAGTATAAATATGGAACCATGGATTTCGCGACGCCTGCCCCTCACACTCGCGTGTTTCATTTTCCGCCGGACGCCTCCGATGGCTTGCTTTTCACTGTTTTCGTAGAGGTTGCCATCGAACTCGACTACACGATCGTTGAAAAAGAAGAATTTTTCCGCGTGGTGGTGGCCAAATCTTCGCGACGGTCATCCGGATGGCCGCGGCGTTATTGATTGCTGCACCCGCACCTTGATTCTGGTTCTGCACAGCACCGGCTGCTGGGGGAATAGCGGCTGCACCGGCAACTTGACCCGGATTCTGCACCGCACCGGCTGCCGCTGGAAATGCAGCACCGCCTGTTCCCTGGTTGTTCGCCTGGGCTGCACCAGCGATTGCTGGACCCTGGAATGCGGGTTGGGCGGCGGGGGCTGCAGCAGCTGCTCCTCCCTGTTGCTGAACAGCATTCGCGATTGCAGCAGCTGGAATTCCTGCTCCACCAGCGGCGGGAATGTTGGGTAATAATCCGGCAGCTCCCGCGAGGTTGGCGTTTGCTCCTCCTTGGTTGATGATGGCCTGCGCTGCCGCAGCGACGGGTTGATTGGCCTGGGCACCAGCAGCGGGAATTCCTGCACCCTTGGCTGCACCAACAACTGCTGCGCCTGCGACTGCACCCCCTTTCGCCACGGGGACATGAGCACCACCTTTTGCCTTGGGGATGATGAATCCTTTGTTGCCTTTCCCTTTCGCTTTGGGGATGACGGGATCTGCTCCGCCATTGATAGCGTCCGCGTTCTGGTCGGGAATGTGAGCCGGGAAAAATGGTTTTTCGCGTGCGAAAAACTCTCTCGGTCTTTACGCTCAGGACAACGATTGTCAAATGCCAACCTGTTGTGTACTCTCACCACCAGGGCGAAGACTGCCTCGAACAGAATGACTGAATTCCGAGGAAAAGTACACCAACAGGTCGAGACCTCGACGACTGTCGGTAGCTCAGAGGGAGGTGTCGCAACTCACCTTCATCAGAGAATACGACGGTAAAAAATAAGTAGAGAAAAGAATTTTTCTCGACCGTCCTGAAGTCTGTGCCCTTATCTATCGCTTCGCTCTTTCGATTGTAAAATTGCATTTCGTGGTGCTATATTCGGTATTTTTCCGCGTGGTGGTGGCCAAATCTTCGCGACGGTCATCCGGTTGGTTCCTGGGCGTTCGTTGAACTTGCTAAGAAAGCGAGGGGCGACAAGTGGGGACAGTCATCAATGGCTTCCTGTCTGTGCTGTTTGGGTTGGCGAGCGCTTGGTAGCTAGTCCGGGGCACCTACATCTCCCCCGACTCTCTGGGGCCCCTCCGGGTAGTCCTTTGTCTCGTGGCGCCTCACGGCATTGGCTGGCATGGCTTTGGCGACGGCGTTTGGCTTTTGGCGCGGCACGGCGCCGTTCGGGTTTCTTCCCCGTTGGTTTGGCAAATTCTTTTGATTTTTGGCTTGGTCCTAGTCGGCTGACTGCCCGGTCGTTCTTCGGGGGTTTTCTAGATACAACCGCCTCTGGGGCAGCAGGGGGGCCCCGGCCGACCTCTGGTGGTTAGGGTCAGGAGTCGGAGTCGGCTGCTAGGACGGACCGCGGTGCCTTGGTAAACTACTTTTCCGGTTTTGCTTTCGCTTGTAACTTTCTTCTGTTACCTGGGGAAGTTCGTATTTCAGGTGCAGGCCGCTGTCTGCTTGGACCATTCAGGTTTTCCCCGCGCGGCGAGCGGGGGGCGGGGCACGGTCTCCGGGACCCAGTCACGGGTTATTCTGATAGATGCGTTTCCGGGCAGAACTGGGCCTTATGGCTGATCGGGAAGGTCTGACTTTACCTGTGTGTCTGAGCTTCTGCACTGCGGCAGGGGGTTTGCTTTGCTCACGCGGTATCATGGCAGGAGGGTCGTGCGTCGCCTGTTTTTTCATTCGTCGCGGTTTAGTTCCGAGATCTGAAAGGCGCCGCCTGATGTTGTTGGCTTTCTGGAGGAGCTTGTGGTAGGCCAACTCCCTTGAAAGTGTGTACGCGGCTATTTCTGTTCGACCCGGGCCGTTTGGGTTCCCGGGGGAGGGCTCTGCCCGGGGGGCTGTTAGTGTCGTTCCTGGCTGCAGTTTTTCCTTCTTCTGGTGGCTCTCGTATTCGTTCTCCCCACATCCAAGAGGCCGGCCGGGGGGCGGCTCTAAGCTGGCACACTTCATCGTGCAATCACGCCGAGGGGCTTTGTGGAAAAAACTGATCCAGAAAGATAAGGAAGGATAATCATCTGCCAAAGTTGTATTTAGTGACGGATGCACCCCGGTGCATCATTTTCGAGTAAGTGACGGAAAGACCTATGATTAGATAGAAAGGGCTAGCAGATCCCTGGTAAGCTAATGCACGGCGGCACGACTAGGAGTGGACCTGCTTTAAGGCGGGGGTCGTGCCATGGAATTTTATTTCGATTGGCTGGACCCAGTCTCGGTCGACTGGGGGCCAATATTTCATACTTAGTGGCGCGACGACTGGACCTGGTCCTGGTGAGGTGACTGGGGGTCGGGATCGCTCTAGTTCTCCTGTGGATGGAAAGGCTAGGCAGCTCTGGTTTGTGGAGCAGGGGCGTCAGGGCTCAGGGACGCGTGACCCGTGCACGCGCGGCTGTATTACTATTTCTTACCAAGGACGCAGTAGGGCTTGGAAGAGGAACAGGTAAAGGATGGATATGGAGGCAGGAGCAAGGTAGTTTGCTAAAAGGGGCTCGCGCGCATGGTAGGGTTAGTAGGCAAGCGCAGAGCTTTTACTTTTGACTTATGATTTTATTGCTTGTGACTTTTATTCTTCACTAGGAGGTGGAAGCATTGTGGGTGCTGGCTACCTAGGATGATCGAGCTCGCATCTCGCGGCGTCGGTGGTACCTACGGGTTAGGCGAAGTCTACGGAGGCAGGCTACTCGTGGCACGTATTCAGTGGCATACCTGGCGCAAGGAGCCAGAGGCTTTTAACTTACGGACCGGGCAGGCTCTGCTCCTGCCTTGGCTGGTGTAGAGTTTACTTACTCTCTGGTGGGGCGTGAGGCCGCGCGGACGAGCACCGGCATAGGAAGGGGGCCGCAAGGTGATGCATTTATCAGCCATGGTGCGAGGGTCGGGACAAAGTTACGGAACAGACAGGCGGTGCTGGAGCTAGGGACATACAAGATTGATTTGGGGCACAGGCAGAGCGGCTGACTTAGTGGCTATTTTCGATCGTTGGCATCGCATGAATGGCGGAGGGAAGTTGCTTTGTGGCAACAGGGCGCTAGGATGAATTACAACTGGGGACGGAGGCTTTCTACCCAGACAGGACTGTGCTGGGCATAGGAGGCGTCTTCTTGTTTTTCCGCGTGGTGGTGGCCAAATCTTCGCGACGGTCATCCGGTTGGTTGCGCTGCCTGGCACCCCAGCTGGCCGAAACTGACCACCAGGATGAGGCTCCTCGCGATCACGTGTGCCGCGACGGAGGTTATGATGTCAACGCTCCGGAGTACCAGTTGAATGTGCCGGGACTCGCGTTTGGGTGCCCGCCCCCTGACGCAAGCACAAAGAGAACCGGAAAAAACGCGACGAACCTCCAACCTTCTGGAGATAAAGTAGACAAAAATGCGAAAGAGCAGCACAAGGTGATTGGTAATCCCTCTCATCAAGCCGATGAGCGCGGAGAGACGGCTGGGATGGGAGCCTGTGCTCACCACGCGAGTACCAGCTCAAGAGACGATCCCGGAAAAAAACGGAGCCTGCATATAGATTCTGATTCATCTGGAACAAGAGCGCACGATAAAAGTTTTTCTTCGGAAGAAAGACAGCCAGAACTAGGCGCGACCACACTGAGTGCATCAAGTAGCTCATCGGGAAGCCGCTCCTCGGTCTCGAAGCGGGAGAGGAATCATGAGTGCGACCACTCTTCTAGTACGACATCGACGATCATGCTCGTCGAGCTGATCGAGAAAAGCTACAAGGTAATGACGATACACAATCTGACGGACAGTACCTTGGCCCTCGCGTTGGAGCATCGGCTTGCAAGCAGAACGCGCGCAAACAAGCACGCCGCTGCGGTCGGGCCAAAAAGAAAAGACGGAAGTATACTACTGCAGGACCACACGCAAAAAGGAGGTGCAGCAGGTGCGTCCTCGTCCTTGCCTGGGACTACGAGTGCACGGAAAGGTTTCAACATCTTCGGGATGGGCAGATCGGAGGACTCCATCGGGCACGCTCCCGGCCGTGGGGGTACAGGGGGGGGTACAGCAGGGGTAACGTCACCGCCTTCAGTGGCTAGTAGTACAGGCTCCCCGGAACTACACGACCCTGTTCCCCCGTCGGTTTTGGGACGCTCACGTTCGTCGCGCATGGAGATCAGTTTCGAGAAAGATCCAAGGTTTTTCAAGCGTGAAGTTTCCGCCTACTACTACTTCACCCGGTTGCTTAGCGACACCGAGGATAGTGCGCTGGGTCGTCTCGCCATGGCCGCGATACTCGAATTTCAAAATGAGGTTGCCGAGGAAATGGACGCGGCTAAAAAAGCGGGAACGACAAGCGCGAATTCTAGAGCTACAGGAATGCAGGGGGACGAGTCAAGAATTCGAACTCCGCGAGAACACAACTACAATAAGACACAAGAACGACGACCAATGCAGCGTTTGCGAGCACTTGCGGAACGGATTCAGCGCGCAGTAGAGCACAGCTATGGCAGTGAGCAGGACGTCGACCAATTCAGAGGCAAGGAGGACGAGGTCCAGCTTCAGCCAGATGACAGTCCGCCACCGCAAGAAAAAGTACCTGCTGCACACGGAGTCAAGAGCCGGAATTATACCCCGCGAAAAGGCGACAGCGAGCAGAACGATTTGACTTTAATGTCACCGGACTATAGGGCGAATAAAGATGAAGATCATGATTCAGATGCGGCCGCCCGGTATCCAGGGCAATCCAAAAAAAGCAAATTCTCGCCTGAGCACTTGCTGTGGGAGCACCGCGACCTTGCCGTCGCGAAGTTTGTCTGCTGCAAGTGCATGTTGCCGTGGTGCTGCGACTGGTACTTGTGCAAATTCGAACAAGAGGACGCGCACTACAGCCACGCCGTTGCTCAGGCGCGTCAGAACGTATGGAACCTGTTCGACGTGCAATCGTACGAGGGGGCATACTATCGCACTATCAATTTACTTATTCATTGCAAAGATGTCTGAGTCTGGCTCCGCGTCTGGCTCTGCATCGGGAAAACTGTCATGCTACCGTCTCCTGAATGATAGTGATAACTGATAAGTAAGTGCGCTGCAATATACAGCCACACATGAAAGCACATCTAGGAGGTGTTATGTGTTACATATTCCGTGTGACAGCTTGCGTTTTTACATGACAGGCAAGGGGAGCTTTGCGTGCACATGTATCCTAGAGGTCAGGGTCGTGTCAAACAAGCATGACTATAAAAAGGCTACGATCTTCCAGACCACCCAGACAAATTTGCCATGGATACGGTTGGACGAAGTAGCTGGCACAAAAGTGTTCTTTCCCATGGAAGTGCTAGAAAAATTGCTCCTCGTTCGCACGGAGATCAAGCTGGAAGCCCCCTGCACGTTGGAGGGAATGGATCAAGTGCTGCCAGTGTATATTGCCCCTGCTTTTGTTATCTTCTTATGATTATCTTTGCATTCTTTTCCTTGATGATGATGACTTCTACGTGTCGCAGGTATTAATTCGAAGATTAGACGCGCTGCTTCCTAGTGGAGACGCAGTATGATGCTCATCATCCGACGTACCTATTGATTCAGCGAATAAAGAGAAGCCCATTGATATTGCAGTTGGATTATTTCACATGAACCCTACAGGTTTATTTGTTGCCTTCTTCAATCGAAAATTCGTCACCCGTTTTTTCTGTGTAATCTGCTTTTGGACTGGTTGTCGAACGACCAGGCAGCGGAGTCCGAGGGCCAGGTGGTGACGCTGCTCGAGTTATCCTCCGGAAGAACGTCCCTCCCGTGTAATGTCCTTTTAGCTTTAGGGCGCACTATCTTGCGTGTTCAGCATGTGCATGCGTGGTCTGATACGCATCTCCATGAAAAATCACACTGAAGATGTCCAAGAGTCATGTGGTAGTTCGATAAGTTATTCATTCATCACTCAACGTCAGACATCTCTCGCGTCTTCGTGCGGCCATACTAGCCGCTCGGGAGTACTATAAATAACGGACGTGCAAAGTTTGCCACGCGCAAATCGCGAAGCTTCTTGATTTGTATTTTTATGGCGGATGAAAGAAGAAGATGTCGCGACTTCTACTTCAGATCTAAATCTAGACTATGGGGCACTAGGGAGGTCGTGTGTGAAGTGGATATTTGTCCGCAGCGACCGTGATTTGCAGCGAGCGGTTTAGCCGCCGATCCAGTCCGACCGCCGGATCGCCCAAACAAACGGACTTCGCGCAGCCATCGTCTTCACCGGCATCTCAGATAAGTCAACCAGTGCAGCATGGGAACAGCGATGTTGTGATAGCGGGAATCTTCACTACTTCCACAGTCGTGTGAGGGCCAGGTCAAAAAGGCCAGCGCGCTGCTGTTGCCGAACGTGACGAGCTGGTAGGAAACGTGGACGTGCACTGCTTTGATATATGATGTGTGGATCTTCCCCCCTCGTGATTATGTTTATGACTAGTACTCCATGTGGTCCTTACTAGTTGAAAAATCTGCGATCGCTTTTGCAAAAATCAGGAGAGAATGAATACAAGGAACGAAGGGCGTAGCACAGAAACCACCTGTGCTGTTCCACACGGAACAGAAGACAGTAAAAAAGTACTGCCAAATAATCATAGAAATAAGTCGCATTCATAGCAGCATGAGGAGGATACAGGACGAAATTCATCTTCTTTCTCCGTGTCGCCTTGAAGTGTTCTCTTCTAGCAAATGATTTCTTATGGACTATGTATGCCCGTGATCACTCGTCGAGGTTGCGGACCGAAAGCTGGAGGGCTTTGCTACTGCTCCCGGCGTTGCTCAGATCATTTCGCTCGTGCATGTTGATCTACGAAAGAACAAGTTGTCTATAGAAGGTTGAAGAAGTCTATGCTTTTCTGCCATGCCTGCTCGCTGCTGCTCCTTCTTGCGGGAAGAGGGGCAGCAGCGGGCTCGGATCGTCCCCGGCTTGCTTTTCTCACAGACCGTCTGAAGCAGTTCGCACACGAAAATGAGGCGCTACTCAAGGAAGAAGAGCAGGTAGGAGCCACGGGCCAGCAGCACGTAGCTGGAGCAGCAGGACGCGCCGTCCAAGCGAACAAGGACCAAAGCAGTGCGCTGCTACATTCGGTGGTCGGACACCGCTTGTATTTGTTTCGCTCCACTAGTACCCCCTCCTCTTCCGAGGACCAGGGTGAGGTGCAAGTGAAGATCCCGATCGAAATCCCGGAGTTTTTGCAAAAAAGTGGACATGTGGAACGCGCAAAGCTCCGCGCCGCTGCGCGAATAGTGCGGGCCGAAAGCACAGCAGGCCGTGCGTTCGAGGTGGTCGTGCAGGAAGTAGAGAGCGATGCAGCGAGACTGCAGGAGCGTGAAGATGTTTCGTCCACGAAGCACCGTGATGAAACCAAGATTCGCCAGCGCTCAGGTCCTGCCATGGATGAACCTGTGTTGAAGACATCAGGCAAAGCTAAAAAATCCCAGGCAAGTAGTGGCCCAATTACCGTTGTGAGAAGGCTAGGAGCAGGGCCAGAAGGGACGACGCCCGGGGCACGACCCTCCGTACTGGTGCCTGCGAGCAAAGTGCTGGCCGGAAAGCGAAAGACAAACAAATCTTCACCCGTCCATCAGTTGCATTCTCACGAAGGAGCGGGCAGCATGAAAACAGAAGCGGCCAGCGGCGGGGACGCCGATCACTCCTCGGACACAGGCGACTCTCAAGATCTGAACTCTGAGCTGGGTGCGGCGGTGGAAGCAAGTAGAGACGGAGCCGTCGCGGAAAATTTAGACGACGCGTCTGGCGACGAGATGGAAGATTTGCAAGCCACGTCTTCTCAACATCTTCCCGATCCAGACCAACAGCGAGGCGAAGAAATCGAAGAAAATGTCCTGAATACCTCTCCAGATAGCTTTGGTTTGTCCGAACAAGCGGACTCTGCATCCACAGCAACACACCTAGGAGGCGGAGGCCAACAACTGCACGGCGAGAATTTTCGAAGAAAGGTGTTCGGCGGACTCCAACACAAGAAGGATTCTTCACCTGGCTCGCTAGCTTCATCGGATGAACCCCGCCAAGATGAAGAACTGCGACTGTTGCAACGAGTTGGTGACAGCAACGAGGAAATAAAGGAAGGAGATGAAACGCTGTTGCAGCTAGCGACACTCTCTTGGGCCGACAAGGTGGAGACAACGGGATGGGCAGAATTGCATGCGAGTATCCCGGAGGAGGGCATGGCCAACGCGGATCTGAGCATGTACATGGCTGGCTATCTCGAAGTATCAAATGTAAAAATGTCTGGGTCTGGAAGAATGTAACTTGTGATGCGCATTTCAGAACACAGAAACATCTCTCATGCGTAGGTAGCAAAAGCTGCCCAGTTTCTGTCACCAAACTGGGGGATTTTTCATGCGGATTTGGCATTGCGGAAGCTTCTCGAGACCTGTGATGCTAGAGCTTCCATGCCAGACCTTCTGTGTCATGCAAAAATAGCATGACTCTTCCAGACCCAGACATTTTTACATTTGATACGAAGGTCTAGCGTCCACGGAGCGCATAATGCAGTTTCGACACAACGCCAACGCGGCCTTGGCAAAATCGGATACCGACCACCACGCGCTACCGAACATTCGCGACATGTTCCGCCAGAAAATCGACAACATTCTGAAGAACTCGGCACTGCTCCCGCCCGAGAGTGGTGGGCACCCAGATTCGGAACAACTCGGTGAGAAGCGCAGCGTGACGGGTTTGGTGACAACTCTCCATGATGCGGTCCAGGATCATACAACAAATCGTCCCGCACCACCAGCCCCTCTTCAAGAAAGGCGAAGCGAAGTAGGAGGGCAGCGAAGCAAGAAGCAGCAGAACAACTTCTGGCAGCAGGCGAGGTATGCCTTCTTTCAGTTGTTGGGTATCCGGGATGCCTTTAACCGGCGGCGGCCGACAAGCGAACCCGCAATGTCACTTGTGGACCTCATCCTGCTGAATAGCGACGGCGAGACGCCGGAGCTTGAAACTGCGTACGACATGCAAGAGTATTTGATGCGCCAGGACACTCTGCAAGAACAGGAAGCAGAGGAGCAAAAAAAATCCTCCTCCGAAACCGGCGGGGGAGATGAAACGAAGGACAACGAAGATGGGGAAAAACCGGTGAAGTTGGCAAGCGGAGCCCTGTCCCCGTCCCTGGTCATGCTGCAGACAAGTACGAGTATTGCGCCACTACGCCGCCGAGGATCATTGGCGTCGTCATTTCTCGCACGGACAAAACAGCTGCGCGCGAAGCAACTCGCTGCCCGCCGTTCGCGAAATAAGAAGGCGCTGGACGAGAGAGCCTGGCAACGTATCCAGCGCCGGGGAGGCCGCTGCTCCGCCCTGGTGCGGCTGACCGACAACAACCTGTTCGTCGGACACACGGTAGGGAACAAAAACTGTAACGACCATCACTAAATCATGAATCGCAATTCTCGATTAACTATTTCTCTGGAATGACAAAATTACTTTTATTGAGTGGGATAACAAATCAAAACTTTCCAAAACTAATATGTTTCGCGGCCGGATGGGGATGGCTATGGCATGCATGCTCCCCAGTCGAGCCGCCAGCTTGTGTCAGCGGTTTTCGCTGATCGTTTTTTGCTCGATCACTCCTCGAAAAATGTAAAGGGTGTCTAAAGCAGCCTGACCGTCCTGCGTTTCACATACTTTGTTTTGCAGGAACTCAATGCAGCAATCTATCATGTTGCTGGTGGTCTCATTTTTATTTTCTTGGATGCATGACGTTTTCCGACTACTCCGAGATGCTGCGCGTGTTTAAGTATTATGACTTTCCGCTGCCGGGCTCGAAAGCACGCACCATTGGGTTTTCAAGCTACCCCGGGATCGCGGGCAGCACCGACGACTACTACGTAACCTCGGCTGGATATCGAGGAAAGAAATAGTGTTGGTGTAAGTTTGTGATGCGCAACAGTAGTTGCAGCTGTCAAGCTCGGCATGCATAATTCAATTATGCATGCCGAGCTTGACAGCTCGGCATGCAATTATTGCATGTTGGTCCTCCATTCAGACGCGTTTTTATGATACAATCTGCGCATGACAGGTTTTGCCCTCATAATTTTCCAGACAGATTTGTATGGCTGTTCCTGCAAAACGAAAATAAAAGACACCTCCAATCTTTTTTTCTTGGATATTGGACTGGCCGTCACGGAGACCACGATCTCCCTGCTCAGCGACGAGCCCTACGACAAAATCGACGACAAGTTCGGCGTGCCCGATTTTCTGCGCATAATGGTCGCGAATCGCGTGGCGGGCAGCGGTCCCGAGTGGATTGAGAGCATGGAGAGCTCGAAAACCGGCACCTACAGCAGTCAGTGGATGGTTGTCGACACGAAGAAATTCACGAAAACTCGTGGCGGCCTCGGCCCAAAGCACGGGACCCGCGGGACAGCGTTAGTACCGACGAGCTCCTCGAGCCTAATGAGGAATAAACTTGATGTTGCGCCCCGCTCCACAACTGCTAAAAATTCGCAGAGTGGCAAGAAAGCCAAGGGCAGTCAGAAAAAGCACATCTTCGAAAGTGGCGAGAGAGTAAATGGCTCAGGAGCAGGAGGAGGACTGTTGATGGTCTTAGACCAGGCACCGAACGCCTCGCACAGTGCAGACATGACCATGACCCTGCGGAACCAGGGGTATTGGGCCAGCTACAACCGTCCCTGGTTTGCGGACGTGCGGGAGTATCTCTCAGAAAAGTATTTTTTCACCCATGCGATGCCAGAAAGACAACATTTTTTTGTGTCTGATGAATTCCTGCTGCACTAAAAACTCTGCAATGCGGAGACCAGCACAAGAGAAGTGTCATACAGAATCCAGCTTGTCATGCTAGTGTGCGACTGGAAGGAGAATTTGAGGCTCCAAAAAAGTTTATCATGCTGAACAGCCAACAGCAAAACCCACAACACAAGCTTTACCTTTTTTTTGTGGTATAAATGGGTGTACTAGTACTTTTCTGTAGAACAGGAAGAAGTTGGGCCTGGACGAGGCAGAGGAAAACCATTATCCTGTTTGAAAACGTCCCCACTCCATATTTGTCATGCAAATTTGCATATTAGAGCTCATGATGTTTCTCCATGTTGAGGTCGCCGAAAGTGCTTCCTCGCCCACCCCCCGCGAGGGGTGGTTTTTCTACTTGTGCACTTCCCATCTTCGCTATAATGGGCTGGGGACGTTGTTCTTTTTTCACAGGATAACCACGGCCGCATCTTTAGCCGGGACCGTGCGCCCCGAGCCAACATCTTTCGCGCGACGGCCAAGCGCGTAAAGACCCTGGAGGACATGCAGAACGAGATGCAGCGCAACCGGTGGCCAAACGAGGTCGATGGCGGGGAGCGCAACACGCCGGACCACGCTATCGCCGCGCGGAGCGACCTTGGCGGGGGTGGCGTGGCCAACGGCGCCGTTGATAGTAAGGTCGCGGACGTGGCAATGCTGCGGAAACTGCAGGTGCTCGCTATCAGCGGTCCCACGACGGACCAGCATCGGCTGCAGCCCTTCTCCTGGATATTCCACGTAAAAAAAGCTTCCTCGCGAGGACGCCATCAGTCTGTCATTCGTATATACAACTCGGCGTACAAGCATGCCGCAGTACGAGCTGTGCGGCCGCCCCATCTGTAGTTGTACACGCTCCAATATTCGTCCTCTGTCATGCAAGACCAAGATCGTTAAGAAAGCTTGAGGAGGTCATTGCTGTGGTTGTGGTTGACTTATTTCACACGAACACTAAACTATGCAGTTTCGGATGCATAGTTAGAACTCAGGTACGAATGAGAAGCGATGGTGATTTTACGATGGATAGGGGAAAAAGGATTCCCTCAACAACGAGCTCTACCTGCACGAGGGACTGCCGGACACCTTCGATTTCGACTGGCAACGGATGCTTCCTTAAGAGGAACAGCGCAACCATTTGTAGCATGGAATTTATTGTGTCACCATTGTCATTGTCTTTTCCGGGTTTCGATTTGATGAATCAAAAATAGTGTTTAACACGAAATAGAAGAATAAAAGTAAGCTGTGGATCACGTAAGAGAAAGATGCTGGTGCATCAGCATCAACATCTTCATGATGATAACCGTGGGAGGTCTGTTCTTGTCCAGGAAATTATTACCTATGGCCGGTGTTGGACGTGTTCGAAGATTCCTTCAGTAAACTTGTTCGGTTCTTGTGCATCTCTGCAACTATTGTCTGACGCAGGAGGCACAACGGCATCGGTTTGGTGGCATTAAGTTCGAGACTCTCGTTGCATTATTCAGGAGGCCTGCTTCACCTTTTGGTTCGACTTCAAGCTTCAGTTTTTTCGTCGATGAAGAATATTTGTTTCGCATATTATCCGTGTCGCTCATCATCCAATTGATGCAGTGAGTATTTGTATTGAAAAAAATCAGCGGAGAACAAGATCTGCATTTTTACAAAACCAAATTTGCTCATGTTCATCTCTTCCGTCAGACTCTGACTTAAGTACAATTTTTGTTGGACGACAGGCTCCCCCAATGTCAATGGAATGTGTCTTTCCCTAAGTGCTAGTTATCTACTCTTATGATCCTGTTTACTATATTTCTAGTTTTTTTCGGAGTCGGTATTTAGCAAGTTATGGTTGATATCCATGCTCCAACTTTTTACCGGTTTCAATGTGCGCAAGAAATTGCACTGAAAATAAGGGAAAGTGTGATGTTAGACCGTAGTTGGCTTGTGACGGTACGATCGCTCCATGTAAATTATAAAGAAAAAGATAAAGTAGAAATTTGCCCGTCGCAGTTTGAAAGAAAAAGAAAAGTAAAAGCGCAGTTGTTTGAAAGAAAAAGATAAGTAAAAGCTCCCCTGCAATGATGACATAATCGAATGAGTCCGGGCGGTAGCACCATGGTCGCACGAAAAGTGGGGGTTGGGCGGCAGTTGTTGAATCTGTGGCGATGTTTGCGGGATAGCTATCGGCATCGCAAATTCGTGGCGAAGAAAAGTCCGCTGGACATCCCTGACGTGTTTGTCAAGTACGAAAGCCGAGAGCAGTTTCCGCATGCTATCTACCCAGCAATAGATACTATAGTTGTCCAGCAGCACCCGGCGTTTTGTGGATTTGCAGCAGCGCAAACCATATCAAGTGCAAAAATGTCTGGGTCTGGAAGGTTGGAACTTGTGATGCTAACTTTGGACTCTAAAAAAAACTGTATTGCATGGCCAGCAATAGGAGCCCAGTTTGTGGTACGCGGGGAGGGCGTTTGTCATGCGGGATAGGCATCAGGAAGGCCTCTAAAAATATTTGATGCCAGATCATGCATTACAGACATCCAGCAGAGTCATGGAAAATATGCATGACAAACCTGGCAACCTTCCAGACCCAGACATTTTTGCATTCCATAAACCATCGCACTCGCCATAAACTGCCAGACTTCCGCCAGAAATTCCTCCGCGGCGTCGACTCCTCGTACTTCAACAACCTCGAGAGAGCAGACGTCTTCACCAGCAGAAGCATTGAGCCCTCGAACTCGCAGTGTTGCCAGCAGTGCGAAGACTAGTGTAGACGTTCGGCCTTCATCAGGACGAGGAGAATTATCCGCGGTGGAGAGTGGAAGTGGCGTGTCTCACTTCGAGTTTAATCCGGATAGAGAGGCCAAAGATTTGAGCTACGTCTACATGGAAGAAAATCGGTCGGGGTTGGACTTTATGCACTGCAAAAGAATAAAGATCAGTAACAGTATCGCACATAAAAATTGTATCCACCTAGTAGGGCACAACTGCAGCAATATGATTGATTGCACCAGCGGCAAATGCTCATGTGTATGCCATCAACTTGGAATAAGAAAACTTCTAGTTCCACCGCATGCTGATCTGGTGTAGAGGGACGAGATAATTCGCCAAGCGCTGCAATTTGTCTTGGATGCACACGAAGTTGCGCGATGCTTTTCCTTTTCCTTATCCTTTTGCAGCGGATAGATATCCTGAGACCGCCGCTCTTCGTTTCTGCAGCTTCTCCTTGTAATTCTACTTCGGTAAGCGAAAGGAATAAAGGCGAAAAATGGCCAAGATGGAGCGGGAGCCTTTCCGACGATTATAATGGCAACGTGATCAAATACGTGAAGGTGGCGTCTTCAACGGATAAGAGGGGGTTTCCGCCCGATCAGAACGTTGGGGACACTGGTGCGCAACCTCCGGAATTCGCGCACGCAGACAGGTCGTGCTTAAGAACAAATACGAGCGAAAAAAAGGCAGGCCCGGACGACTTTGGGCAACATGATGACCCTAGTAGTGCAACACCTGTTGGTGGGATTTGCGGAAAAACCAGTTGCAGCTCCTACGCCAACCTGTCCTGTTCTGGCTTTGACATAGGACGAGTTCCCGCGTCAACATCACCTCGCTCCTCAGTCGGAAATGATCTTCAAACTGGGGCGATACGACCAAGTGCAGACGGTGATGGTGTCAAAGGAGAACATCATCAAGCCCTCGACGCAACCTCATCCAGCACGACCACTTCGGGCAATTATAAAAAGATCCAATATGTCAGACCTGCGTGCGCGCGAACCGGGTTCCAGCTTTCTCCCCAATTTCGCTTTTATGATGTGTTTCAAGTCAACTTCCCGCCTGATTTCTTTGTGCACTGTGGATTCGCAATCCTGGATTACTTTCCGAACCAAGTAAAATTTCGACTGCTCCAACAGCTCCTGATGTACGACGGCGTCCCGCTGGTGTCTCTGCGCACGTATTTCGAGACCCAGATACGTTTGGCCACGGACCCTCAATTTCACAGTCTAGACGACTGCAGCTGGTTCGGTAAAAACAAAGAAGACCAGCATGATCTCGCCGAGCCGCTGCAAAATAAAACGTCTGAAGATCATGCCTCTCCAACGTTCTTATCCCAACCCGCTGCGCGTCGACCTGATGGAGTAGATCGTAGTAGTACAAAGTGCGGTGCGAGCCATGAGTATCTGCTGCCCCCCGTGAAACGCACGGAGTACATAAGCGGGGATAGTCTATCTTTGGACGAGTTCCGCAGAAACGTTTTGGAAAAGCTAGGCGTAAGACGACCAGGTCGTGGCACAGGCTCTCGCTATCCACTCCAAATATATCTCCCGTCGGACACGACAGATTATGCTGAAATTCGCACTGATTTGTACAAATATCGAATGATTTGGATCTAGAAACCTCGAACAGCAGGCTGTACAGGCAGGTGAGGGAAACAAGCGTAGTTTTGCGGTCGTGCTGGCAGGGGCGGGCAGTTCTTGCTCTGTGTCTTATCCATCCTAAGGCAAATTGCGCATGAATCTATCCGCCGCGAGTGCAATCCTTCGCGAAACTACGAATTGCCTGATCATGTTTCTCTCATGCATATACATTCGCATTCTAAACAGGACGGAGGTCCTTAATATAACAACCCCTGCCATTGAGGTAGGGGGGGCCCGCTGAGCAGCTCACTATCACAACAGCGACCCTCTGACGATAGTCGAGAGTAGAAAATGCAACCTTTTTGAGCACTCTAACTACATAGCGAGATCTGAAAGACCAAAGCACAAGAGCAAAAAGCTGCAAGATGAAAAAATAAAAAGTTCAGCCTAAACCTCGCCGAAAGCCCTAGACGAAAGATTTGCACTCAGATACTTTTTTACGTACTTGCACCCTCTTAGAGCTGACTTCTCTTTACTGTAGACGCCTCTGCCTCACATCGCTTAAACACACTGCTGTTTTCTCGCATCAACAAAAACGCAAAGACATCAAAATCATGAGCAAGCCGAGCAAAAAAGGGAAAGGCAAGAAAGCCAAGAACGGCGGGAAGGCCGACCAGCCTGCCGCTTCCGCGACCCCGACCAAGGCCTTCACCCGCGCGCAATACGACATTGCGGTCTTGAAAGCTCGCAACATTGTGTCCATCCACGGAGTGGAGTGGCTGCCTCTCGCTGAGTGGAAGGAGGCAAGAGCCGAGGAGGAGAAACAGGCTGCTGAGCAAGCCTCGACTGGCGCGGCCGCCAGTAGTAGTAGCGCAGCACAGGCGGTGGCGCGACCGCCTTTCTCCCCGGGACACAAGACGAACTCGACCTCCACTGCCATCATCAAAATTTCGCAGATGAGGTTTCCGGAAATAGTGGACAAGTGGAAGGAGAAGTTCATCGAAGCCGTCGGCGACGCAGTTTCGCACGCCAAAGTAATAGAGGGCGAAAACGTGCAGGAGCTGCACGAGGACGACGACGGTAAGCTGCAGCTAGTCGATTTAATGGACGAGTACGGCGATGAAGACGAGAAAAAGAGCGACCGGCTAGCGGAGGAGATGGCGCAAGCCGTCCGCCGCATCGAGCCGGACTTTATCGCCAACGTCGCAGTCTTCAAGTCCGGGCGGATCGAGGTGATGTTGAAGCCCAATAGTGAAACGATGAAGCTGCGCAGTTTGGTGCAAAGCCGCAAGAGAAACGTCACAAAGCAGTACTTGACCTCCCTGCAGATCAAGGAGCACATCGTCCGCAACCCGAAGGACACGCTGAAAAAGGAGCGCAAAATCAACAACCGGGCGGAAGCGGACGAGAAAAAAGCGATGGAGGGGATCGAAGAAGGCGATGGAGAGGAAGAAGCTGAGGGTGAAAAAGCGGACCCGTCCGCAAAGCGGCTCAAGAACGAGTCGAAGGGAGATGCGTCTCCCGAAAGCCCCAGCTTTACCGAAGCCGAGGATCCCGATGCAAAAGAGCAGAAAAACAAGAACAAACGGACCAGGAGCAAGAGTTCGAGCAAGAAAAATAAGAAGGACAAGGCAGCCGGCGGTGGCAGCGGGACCACCACTACCACCACCGCGGGCGGCAGCACTAGTTCCAACACTACGATAAAGGCGGAGGCGAAGCAGAAGAGGATTATCGCCGGCGGTTCGCGGCGAAGGTGATCGGGATCTGCTCTCGATCGCCAGCACGTCTTCCTTCGCGAAACGTCTATCCGAGGAGTGCACTCTAGAAATTTAAGACGTCTACACGGGGTGAGTAGGCGGGGCGAAGGTTCTGTAACAATCATGGAGTAAAGCAACTTTTTTCATCACCGGTCCCACCAGCAACTGCAACGAACAAGTTCGAACCAACAAGCGACACACACGACTACCTCAGGGCGGACCACTCGGGTCAGCCCTTGCATTTTGCAACGCAAGAAAGTCGGCACTTTGCCGATCTAACTTTGAAGACAGATAGCGGGACGCACGGACAGTGGCGCACGCAAGAATCGTGTGAGCACGACGCACAGAGGTGCGTCACATAGGCAATCGGCTCGCCAATCCCTTTGTTCTTATTGCAGGCAGAATATAACACTATCGACGAATGTAAGATGAGCGTCCCCCCGGGCGCGGTTTAGAAGCAGGGCGCAGGCAATTATTGTGTTCGATCGGGAATCTGAAGCTATTTTTCACAGTACTACCAACGACAGAAGAAGTTCTATACTTTCGTTTGGTTTTCTTAAGCCACCGGAAACGGGGCAGAGAGAAGACTAAACATTGAGCGGGCGGAGGGAAGAATACTGAGCGACCGGCGGACGACGTCGAGCTGCTTCAGGCGGAGGGAGCAACTTTTTCCGGCTCGAGAAAAGTCATCACCCGATTGAGTTTTTTGGCTCGAGGAGCGCGGCTCAAGCGGGATCTGGCTCAAGCGGAGCGGAATAGCAACCCGACTCAAGATGGACAAGCGACAATCACCAAAAACAAACCACACACAAGCCGCGCAGTCAGCTTCCGCGCAGGGGGAGCTCCCCAGCAGCGGCAGCAGTGCCAAGGGCACCGGATGGGAAGCTCCCGCCCGAGACTGGCGGACGACGGCGAAAACAAAAACAGGACGGCGAATAAGAATAGGCACGTTTAACGTTCGGACGCTTGGAAAACGCGACGAAGGTCGCGACGTTTGGTCGGTCCAGCTCTTGTCGCTCGTGGACGACGCGAAGCGGCAAGGGCTGGATGTTGTTCTGTTGCAGGAAACAAAAATCCGAGAATGGCTAGTAGGCGAACTTTGGCCGGGCGGGTTTCGAGCGTATGGTGGGGGGGCGGCGTCGAACTCAGGCGGAGTACCGGTAGGAGGCACCGTGATCTTGATCAGATCAAGCATCAAAGTGGAAGACGTCAGTGACATACAGCAGGAGAGGTTGGTCCGGATCTCGATCCGGGCCGGTTTCGGGAAGAGAGTGCACATCTACAGTGCATACGCCCCCACCAACGCGGCGACAGCAGAAGTAAAACAGAACTACTACGACCTGGTGCGTGCGGAGATGGCAAAACACAGCAAACACGACATCACCATTTACGGGGGGGACCACAACTGCGAGCTGGGAAGCCCAGAGACGGAGCTTGCGAGCGCAGGCCTAAGTTACGTGGTTGGAAGATGTGGCCTCGCCAGTGGTTTTGCGATCCGCTCGGACAACCGAGAAAGGCTGCACGCTTTGGCGGCAGCACGCCAGCTGGTCGACCTTTCGAGCCTTCAGCGGAAGAAATGGAGCCAGCGGCACACCTTCGAAGGGGAGTGGATGTCTGAGGGCGTGCGGAGGTTGCGCGAATACGATCGGTTCTTGGTCTCGTTCCGAGACAAGGGCCTTTTCGAAAAACTTCGCGTAATACGGGGCACCGCAGTGCAGAGCGACCACTGCCTGGTGGTGGTGGAGATGAAGATGGGAGCAATAAAGAAACCGGCGGTGAAGAAGATCCCCCCCCAGATCATCAGGCGCAAGGAAAAGGCGCAAGAAGCAGACAAACTATTAGCAGCAAAGTACACCCCGGAAGTAATTGCGCAAATAGACACGGGGGAAAAAAACGCGGCGGCCACCTGGTCGCAGTTTCAGAAAGACCTCTACACCACCCTCGACAAGCTGAACAACCTGACCCCGGCCGGGCCGCGCAAGCCGTGGATCACGGCAGAGACCTGGGGTAAGATAGAGGAAAGAAGAAAAGCAAAACAGCACAACAAGAAGGTGACCGGACTAACAAGGCAGATAAGCAAGCTGGTGAAGCGCGACCGAATAGCATGGGTGGGTGACAAAATCGAAACGCTTAGGCGGGCAGACGAATGCGGCAACACAAAAATGGTGTACGAGACAGTGCGCCAGCTATCAGGGCGGGGAAGACAAAGACCGCAGGAGCTGCCCGGCCCCCCGGAAGCATGGACGGAATTCTGGGGGGGCGTTTTTGGGAAGGAAAGGCCAGCAGCACCACCAAGCGCCCAGCAGACGAAAACGTGGAAGAGATGCGCAGCAGCACTAGAAGAAGACGAGCCAGCGGCAGCCTGGTGCGGAGGCTTGGATGAAATTCCGACCGAAGCAGAAGTTGTCGCCGCGCTCCGAGAGCTGAAGCGGGGCAAGGCCTTTGCAGGGCCAATCCCGGCGGAATTCGCGCGTGAATGCCCGACGGCCCAGGCCGTACTAGTTTCCCTAGTGCGCCGAATTTTCAGAGGGGACGACATTCCCCCTGAATGGGGCGAGGCGGTAGTGGCGATGCTTCACAAGGACGGCGTGAAGCGGGACCCGAAGAACTACCGGCCGATAGCACTCATAACCCTGGGCGAAAAGTTGCTCGGCTTGGTGATCCTGAGGCGGATCGAAGACGAGGCCAACAAGCACATGAGCCCAAAGCAAAAAGGCTGCCGCCGCGGGTTATCCTGCCGGCACGCAGTCTTCCAGCTGCTGCGGGACATCGAGAAAAACAACAGGGAGGGGCGCAGGGCGTACTACACGTTCATAGACTTCCAGAAAGCTTTTGACAGCCTCGCGTGGTCGGTTTTGTTTCCGATTTTGCGGAAGCAGGGCCTGCCAGAAAACGTCTGCAAAGTGGTGCAGGACATGTACCAAAAATGCGCGCAAGTAGTAATACGCTTGGGCGACAACAAGAGCGCCCCGGCGTTCAAACAGAAGAGCGGGATCAGGCAGGGGAGCGGCCTGAGCCCGCTCCTTTTTGCGCTCTGCCTGGACTGGGCGATACGGCAATTCGTCAAGACAATGGCGGAAGAGCACGGGTGGACCGAAGACGAGGCATGGGCGCACGCCCTGACTTGGTTGGGGTTCGTCGACGACCTCGTCGTTAAAGAGACCAGCAGGACGGCGGCGGAGTTTGCGCTCCGGGAATTAGCGGCTGCGTGCCGCTTCGTCGGCCTGGAGCTGAACGTAAAAAAGACGAAGGCCATGCCGGTCAACCCGGAAGTAGAGAAGCGACGAAACCCTGCGGCCCTGATGGAGAGAATAGTAGTAGACAAGGAAGAGGGGTGGCTGATCGACTGGAGCGGCGCGGACTGGAGCGACGAGTGGAGTGCTGAAGTAAGGCATTTACCAAGCCCGCGGGATGAGTCCGGCGATCTAGTTCCTACACATTTCGTTGTGTGGGACGACCCTACCCTGGGTATAGAAGTGGCATCCTGCAAGCAATCCGGGTGGGCGCGCACACACAGCGGGGAGAACATAAGAACTCAGAGGCTGGGTCTGAAGAAGTTTGTTCTGGCCGAGAAGAACAAATTTGTGTGCGCGCGCTGCGACGACGTCCTAGCGGACGAGACGGCGCTGCACTTCCACCAAGCCACGGGCTTCTGTCGCCCGGTGAAAACGCTGAAAGAACTCAGAACCCTGCGGGTCAGCCGCATGGTGGAAGAGAAGAAGAAGCAAAAGGCGAAGACCCTGGCGCCGGAAGGCGTCCCCCCCTTCGAGTATGATGGGGGGGCGATCGAGATAGTAGGCTGCTTCAAGTACCTGGGCACCGAAGTGGGACGGGACGGCAGCACAGAGGGGGAAACGGCGCGGCGGTGTGTGATCGCCGCCGGGGCCGTTCAGCAACTCGCCCCCGTGTGGCGAGACAGTTCGCTGCCGGTGGAACTGCAATCCGACTTATACCGGGCACTGAGCGTGAGCGTAGCGTTGTACAACGCAGAGACATGGACCACCACAACAGCACAGGGCAGTATCCTGCGGCGGTTCCAAGACTCCGCTCTTCGCGAAATTCTGGGGGGCCACTTCCGAAACGAGGGGAGAAGCAGGGCCGAGCTCTGTGAGGAGCTCGGGGTGCAGCACATTGAGGACGAGGTCCGCGCGAAAAGGGTCGCGTGGATCGCCCACGCCTGTCGGGGAGACGAAAACGAAGGATCTTTTGCGCGCGTCGAGGCTGAGATCAAGAACAGAACTCCCTGGGGGAGACAAGCGCAAGAAGACCTTGACTACTACGCCATACCACTGGAAGTAATCAAAGAAACCAAACCGACGGGCATCGCAATCCGGGCCACAATAAACACCGCCAAGCGGGTAAAGGCAGTAAAGAAGCAAAAGGGCGCAAAAGCAGGCGCGCAAAAAAGCAAGAAGCGGACAGCGATGGAAGAAGAGAGGCGAAGAAGACTAGAACAGCAGCGGGAGGAACAAGAAGCAAAGAACAGGAAAACGCTGCAGCGAATCAACGGGAAGGTGTGGCAAAAAAGACCACGGCCCAAATACAACTTCTTCGTCAAAACGGAAAGCGGCGAAGAGCTGCAGTTCAGGGCCAGTGGCTTCTTTTTCTGCGAGAACACGGGAAAGGAGGAGGCGATGGTTTACGGCGTCACTTTCAAACAAGACAGCAGTACAAGAATTTGGGTCGCCGATGACCTACCCCCCGATGATGAGTAACGCCCGCCCGGGCACCAGATAGTGTTATGCTGCACATCCGAAAGTAGAACTACAGAAAGTCTACAAAAACAATAGCCGGATTAAGCAGTCAGTCAGTCAGTCAGTCAAACAGGACGGAGACGATATCGCTCATTCTGCCTTTCATTTCTAAAATCGGCACCACAATAAGTTTATGCCACAGCTGACGGCTGAAGACGCTAAGGCCAAGGGTCTCAGACCCCACCACAGCACGCGTTTGCTCAAAAGCCTAAAGAGGACCGCCGGGATTGGCCACGGCCTGATAGATAAGACAAAAAGAAAGCTTTTAGAAAGAAAAAGCGTTTATGTGTTCTATCGTCACTCGAGCTGAGAGCTCGCCTATTTCGTTTTGAGGCATCGCAATAGAGTACTGCGAGTACAGATTGACATGAGGCTACATTGATAATCGATATGCGTGCTTGGCCTTTCGCGGTTGCCAGTTCGTTAGCGCAGTTGCAGTCAAACAATAACAAAAACAAGAAACAACAAACAGATAACAACTTGGGGCAGAGGAAGGGGTGAGTTTGTATGATTTTGTATGTATAGAAAGTGTGTAAGTTCTACCACCCCGGATGCCCCAAGAAATCAATGGTTGCGCGTTCTTTCTAAAAAAACGAAATAGGCGAAGCTCTCTCTTTTTTCACAAGCGCATAAAGATATCCAATTGCTGCAATGGTAAAAAAGAAAAATCAAATCAGGCACTGTAGTTAGGACAATGAATCAAACCAACGGGGAAGCGTGACTCTAAAAAATGCATTTTCCGGAACTTTTACATCGTCGGGCATTTTTTTTACAAAAGAGATCCAAAATAGGAGACCGATAGTTCGAGCGAGAGCATCTTCACACTAGTTTCTGCTCCCTTCTATAGGATTCTGGTGTTTAGGAGTTCTCGCTTATGTTCGACTGCGCAAAAGGGCTTTTTCTTCCCCCTTAGAGGTCTCTAGAGTCACGCGCCACACAAATACCAAACCCACGCCGCACTACCCAAATAAGTTCTTTTTTTTTTTCATAAGAAGAAGGAAGCAAAAAAAGAGAGTCAGTGTAGGAGATAGGACATATACGCAGCTGAGAAAAGCGCAAGAAAAGTACAGAGCGCATGCACGGGGGGAGATTCTACAATATAATAGAGAAGAAGATGGAAACAAAACAAAAACGAATGATGATGAAAATGAAACTCAAAGCAAAAATTTATAGTGAGGCGCAGCTATAGAAGGAATAAGAAAAAACTCAACAAAAAGGCGAAACATTCTGAAAGAAAATTTTTACGAGGATGACAACACTACTTCCGCCGCTGGACGAGGACGAGCCGAGCAACAGCGAGAGCGGGAGTCTAGCAGCAGCGAAGCAGGCGCTGGACAAGTACGAGAACACAAAAGGGCGGAATCGGAAAAAAAAAAGCCGGAGGAAGAAGAAGGGCAAGCGCAGCGATTCGTCTAGCGATGACGACAAACAGGAGAACCAAGACAAGGCAGGAGATAGCGACATGGAGAGTGCTATTGCTACGGGGGAGGACAAGCAGGGCTTGGACAAGAGCGGAGAGGTGCAGCAGGACCAGCAGGTGCTGAAAAGAAACGGACAACGCGGGAGACAAGACCGACCTGGTGCACAGTCAAAATCGGAGAGAGACGACGCAACGGGGAAAACCACGAAGAAAGAAGAACACCGGGAAAAGCGTAGACGACAACGCGGCTACACCGAAACTAGACCCGGTAACTGGACTGCCACTGCCATTGGAAAATGGCAATCAAGCTGCAGGGACAAGGACCTCAACCAGGACGAGGAAGTCGAAAAAGATGCATGAGGAGAGTCTTGTTTGTAATGAAATACCGAATGAAGATGAGGACTCAAATAAGCACTACAAAGCGCAAGCACTGACACACGAAGAAGGCCTCCTGGAAGATGTTGCTCTGCAGAAAAAATTGACTTTGATAGGACCAGGAAGGTGGCACTTGTGTGGTGGCTGCTTGCATGCAACAAAGGCATCCAGCTCGGCGGCCTATCTTAATCATGTCAACAGATGTAAGAAAGTTGCGCCTTCACATAGAAGCACGACGATTGATAATGTGAAGCCGATGCAAGTTTTCGAAATAACAGAGCTTGATAGTGATGAGCTACAAAAGCTAGAAGCTGATGCTCTAACAGCCACGCAGACCTTCTGCGTTGAAGAAAAAAAGAAAAGTGCGCAGCTGACATTTGTGATGCCGAATCAGAAACAGATGCACCCGATGCAAAAGAATGATCTAAAGCGATACACATGCTTGATATGTGGAACGACAGAAACAGACTCTCTGAAAGACATAGACTCGCATAGAACTGGTTGCCGGAGTGCCCAGAATGTAATGCGACCGCTGCTGCAGGAAGGAAAATTTGTCTGGCAGTGCAGAACGTGCTCGGCGCATGCAATGGGAGAAGCAGGACATCTAGCAAAGCACGCGATGGACAAAAAAGCCAAGGAGGTGGAATACCCTGGAGCAGATATGCAAGAAATGCGAGAACATTATGTTCAGTGGGAGGATGTATTTCGCATGTCTACAAAGCAACATCCAAAGAAATCAGTATTAGAACCGCTAGTAGTTAGTACGTTCAACGTACAGGCGCTAACAGAACGGAGCCAAGTGAAAAGCTTCATATTGGAGAAGATTCGTGATAAAGAGCTTGGCGTCGAGTTTCTTGGTTTACAGGAGACTCATCTCTCTGATATTGAAGATGATGACTTTATCAAGGAAATTTTGGAAGAAGGTTTTCGTGTTTTGATATGCAAGCAAAAAACTCGCTCTACTGAAAGAGGCTGCTCCGCGTCTCTGATCAAGACAAGCATCGACTTTTTAGGTATTACTGGCTCAGACGATGAAGAAGCTGTAGAAATCTCAGGTGCGTTGTTACAGGTCGGATCTTTTGGATTCGAAGTGCAGAATTTTTATGCGCAACATGATGCCCTGCGTGCAAAGCACTTAAATGATGGCGCAGCAATTATGCTTGGAGATTTGAATGCAAGAAGTAGCGCATGGGATGCCAGCTGCGCAATTGAAAATCCAAGTGGGCGCATAGTCAGAACGTGGCTAAAAGAGCGCGACCGAGGCGATTTTATGAAAATCGCAAATGACAGAGAAATCTTTACAAGAACGACAAAGAACAATGTGAACACCTCCCCAGACATAATTTTCTACAACGAAAATCACTTCAAATTAAAAAAATTTGAAGTGATTCAGACCACAACCTCGGACCATAATATGGTGACTGCGCAACTGAACTTTAGTCAGGAGGTACAGGAATCGGTGGCAGTGGACTACGACGGGGAGGAGGGAGATGCAGGCAGTGACGAAGAGGAAAAAACTAAATTTGAGCCCAGGTTTCAGTTTGAAGCAGGTGTACGAATCGAAGAAATGAAGTGGATTGAAGAATACAGTAATAATCTCTACAGTCGTACTCGAGATAGTCGATTTCTCATGCAGGGTTGGTCTGATTTGAATGAAGATGCTGCGCAGGAAGAGCTTAAACGCTTTAGAGAAATGATGTTTGCTGCTGCTATGGATGAGGTTCCGCATACAAATAAAGACAGGGCAAAACTTAGCCAGAAACAGAAAGGAACAAAAATGCGGAAGACAGCAGGCGCAAGCACATCAAAAGCACAAAATAAGCATGGCAAATTTGTAAAGAAGAAACCTGAAGAAAGCTCAAATTGCATAGGTGCTGGAATGGAGAGTGCGGAAGTCGAGGCTCCTTCTCGATCTCGGAGCGAGACCGATCAGCAACCATCTTCGCAGCACCGCTTCCAGTTTATGAGAAAACGCAAACGGCCAGAAGCTACATCAACGACCAGCATGAGTGTGGAAAATATGCAAGTTTTACCGGAGGAAGAGAAATCAGCTCTCCTGGTAGGACAGGGAGAGGCTTACACACCTGGAGAACGGGCGGGACCATCATTGAAGGATGAAGCTGCAAGTGACGAAGAGCATGATGATAGTGCGGATGTTGCTGCAAGTCCAGGAGCAGCAGGCAAGAGCAAGAAGAAAAAGAAGACCCGTACAAAACTTGAACGAACTCTACACGGACTACGAGCTAGCACTGCAGGACTACAAGAAAACGCAAGTGCTACACCTGACCGGCAAGATCAACAGGGCTACTGGGCTAGAACATCATATGAGCAGGACGGGCGACAACTCGGGGCTTCGCAGATTTTTGGTGCTGGAGCAGCGGAAGCGAAAGCAGACGCAGATGGAGGGGTAGAGCAGCGTGATACTATCCAGCGCGAAAGGGAAGCGGATGGAGGGCATCAACAAGGAGAGGCGGATGTGCAGGACCAGCAAGCGCCGGAGGATGAAGATATGATGGAAAACGAGGACACAGGCAAGAACAAGGTCGATATGAATGCAATGGGACCCAGAGAATTTTGGCAGAATGTCAATAAAAAACGCGGCAAAACAGGCTGGAGAGCATCTGCATTCCCCCGAGCAATGGTCCGTCGAAATAAACGACGTGCATATGTGCAGCGGATAACAGGAAAAGATCCTTTGACAAATGAAAAAGCAAGCAAAATCATAAAATCTCAAAAAATAACTAACCCGCCGCTGCCCTCGGAAGTAACTACGGATCGCCGCGAGATAGTAAATCTATTTCATAAGCTATATAAGGAGCGTCCAGCACAGGTATATAGGGATGAAGAATTAGATTTAAGCAAGATAACTAACGAAAAAAAGCTAGAAGAGATAAATAACGATGTTCGTGCTGCTGCAAAGCAGCGAGCTAGCTCGGGCGTGTTCAGGGAACTAACTTATTTAGAATTTCGCGCAGCAGTAAATAAACTAGAACGGGACAAGTCGCCAGGCTTCGACTATCTACCGCGTGAACTAGTTAAAGGCTTAGACGGAAAAACTGAAGAGCTTTTGTATAGGCTTTTCTATGTTTTGATTAAGTGCGACGCTTTTCCGGCGATAGGTAACTGCGTTAACCTAGCTCCTGTGCAAAAAACAAAAGGTGCTCCGTACTGTGAACAGCTATGCCGACCGGTGTCGTTGCTCAGCGTGTTCTCTAAACTATATGAAATAATTTTAGATAGAAGATTTTGTCTTTATCTAGAAGGGTTCCGGTGGGCGGGCAGTAAGCTAGTTAACAAAGTAGAAGAAACTCTGCCAAAAAATAGCCTTGCGCATCGGCAAGGATACAGCAAAGAAGATTCATGCGTAAGGTTGATAGATTTTCTGTTTGCAAAGTTCAAAAAAGACATGGAAAGTGGAGGAAACTTTGAACGAGATAAATTTGTGGCGCTGTCGGATAACACAGCGGGATTTGATGTAGTAGATCGCTATACGCTACTAAGAACAAATTTGATGCTCGGAATTCCGCCTGACTTGTATGGCGCAGTAGCGCAATGGCTACGAGGGCGGACCATCAAAATACGAGAAGGAAGCCGCCGCTGGGCCCTTCTCCCTGGCATGCCGCAAGGGTCTCCGCTTTCGGGAGGAGCCTGCAACAGCCATCGCGTTTTGATGTTGCGCCTGCTAGCCGTAGCAAACCCGGGCGGACTGGTAATACAGTACTCGGACGACAACCTACTAGCAGGATTCACAGAAGACCTGCACAACCTAAAAAAAGAGCTGGCGAAAATCGCGCGGACCTTTTGCATTTTTTTCGAGAACGACAAAAGTGAAGTGGTGATATACAAGCCGTATTTCCAAGGCCAGAAAGTAAAGCCAGCGAGAAGCTTAGGCTTTTTGTATGATGGGGCGTGGGACTTTCAGAGTATGCGTGGCAAAATAGTAACGGACATGGCACGAGAAGCCAATGTGGTGCTGAGTTTGAAGTCCTTGCGAATCAGCAAAAAATGCGATACTTTTGAAGCACTTTGTTTCTCAGCATTATCAAGCAATGGCGCGCCAATGTATCCCTACTTTTCAAGAGACAACAAGATAGGGCTTGAAAAAATAGTTGCAACAAAGTTGAAGCAGATGCTGAATCTGCCAAAGCAAACGCCTTCAAGTGCGTTATTTGAATCAACAGGACTGCACCGACCCCACCTCATGTTTTTGGTGGAATGTTTAATGCTATTTTACAAAGGTGCTGCGAGAGGCATATGGCCACTAGATGGCGAGACTCTTGATGAAGGAGTTGATTCGCAATTAACAAAGGCGGAGCTATTGAATCCCCTTGCCGCAATTCCCATTAGAGAAAAATGGACGAAAATAATGCGAACGATTTCAGTGCATCGCATGGCAGACATGCATGAACAAATGCGCAAACAGCCATTGCAGATAACGCGAAGGGAGTGGAAAGGTTGCAGACTAAAAGTCAAAACTATGGACGACGTGGGGAGGGAGTTTGGATATGCTAAGCTTAGCGCCATGCGCAACACGGCGGAGCTGTCAAGGGCGAGACTGCGAATTGCCATGCAGCATGACCTGGAAATCCGTGAAAAACTTCGAGACACCAGGAACATCGTCATTGCAGCAGACGGATCTGTTTCATCGCGAGAAAATATGGGAGGATGTGGCGGCGCTACGTGGTGGCACAGTAAGGAGCTGGATGCGGAATACATCGGCGATCCCGTCAGAGACATTCAGCCGCTTGAGCCTATAATCGTATCCACAGCGGTAGTAACAAGTGGTATGGATGATATTTCTGTTGATAGTTTTGATGCTGAAACTTTTGCGCTGAAGAAACAGCTGCGAACCACCAGCGAGTTCGTGAATGAAGTGGGCCTGTGGGGGATTGAGAGTGTACTTGTGTATGGAGACCCGAGCAGTGTGCTTGAAGCATTAAAAAATTATAATGACAAGTCCAGCTACCAGGTTTATATGATAGAGCAAGAATTGGAACTGCTCAGAGATGTTTGTATGCGAAAACAGCCAGGCACTGCGCTGGAACAGATGGCAAACGGAATTGATCCGGAAAAGGAAACTTGTTTTGAAGCCACATGGACCCCAGGCCACTGCCAAAATTATTTTAATGACTGCTGCGACTATCTAGCCTCGAGAGCGAGCCATCGAAAAGCACAAAACTGCCATGCGCCTAGGGCTTCAAGCTTCTTGCTTTGGAAAAATCATATCCCCCTCCATCTTGCGCCGCGTTCTCTTCTCTCGAGCCGCTAAATGGTTTAGCCCGAATGACATCGACACTTGCGCCCCCTTCTTACTAAAACGCGCTCTCGCTCTGGGAGCTTTTCGACCAGGGGCAGGCATGCTGCCAAGCATAGTGACAGAGCAGTTGTATTTTTACTTCTGGGCTGGTGTTTTCGTTTTCCCAGCAGGCTTTGGAGGAGCAGGAAACTATAAGTACAAAAAAGGAATTTTTCACCAAACCTGCATGCTCTGCGGCAAAGAACATTTTTGCCATGCTACGCACCTGCTGTGCTCGTGTCAGGTAGTCCAGCAAAGTCGACAGGAGATCTTCAGCCTGTCAGTACTACCAGAATCGGAGGAGCGACATGTACTGGGGCAACCACGAAAAGTTTTTCAGTTTCTTCTAAAAGCTGACGAGCAGAAGGAGTTCATGAAGGCGTACACGCGGCAGGATATCACGAAGAGGATAGATAGAATTGGAGAAAAAACTAAGAAACAGCCAAAACAAAAAGAAAAGCACGACAACTATTACGAAATGCTCCAGCCTGACTTTTTTAGTATACGAGAAGAGTTCAGATGTATTGACGAGTATCAGGGGCAATTTCGATAAATGTACAGAAGCAAGTTGGTGAGCTGTCACATGCAAAAATTTATAGTCGTCATACTTTTTCTTGTTGTATCAGGCAACAAGCAATTGCGCGTAGCAGTCTTTTTATGCCAAATCTTTTTTAAAAAAAAGCATACTTTTGCAACAGAGGGATGGAGTATGAGAAACGAAGCGCGCGCATTCTCCGCTGCGTGTAGTTCTTGACGCGGGAAACTAGCACCGGGAGTAGTACATGTACGGGGCAGGAAGAGAGCGCCTGCAACACCCGAGGGATGAGCCGAGCATCCCTAGTAGCTAGCATGAGCACGGACATGCGCTACAACATGGAAGGCCCTATGCGAAGTGAACGATAAAGCTCTACACACAGAGGAGAATTTGCGCAAAGTAGTTTTGGCTCCTTTTGCGAGAATTGCGATGCCACAGGAGCAAGTCACAGACACAAAGAAGTGCGACAATTTTTGAAAGAGATTGAAAAAACATGTTTTCTGCATGAAGAGAAACTTCTGAGCAAGGCAGATGCACACATGCTGATTGGAAATATGAAAAAATTTTGTGGAGCTCCTCTATAAAAAAATGGAAGCGCTGCGCTTTTGAGTTTTGAAATAAGCATGACACACAGAAGGGGGGAGGACTGTTCCGAAATTATTCAGACGCTATTCCCAAGGGGAGAAATGAAATGGAGTGGGATGCAAAATGGCCGGCACGAATATTCATCAAAACGAGAAGAACTCTTTGAACAGCGAGAGATGAAAAAGTGGCGCCTTGAGGATAAGCAAAAGGGACAGTATGAGTTGATTCAATGTAGAAACTAATAAAGAAATAAAGAAGCGAGAACAAAAGTCAGATGTTGTAGAATCTCCCCTCGCTCTACCTATCTGCTGCGCTGATTCTCTCAAAATAGCGCCTGGACTTAGAGCTACAACATTGCGACGCGCCCAGCTATGCATGTCATAGCATCCCTCGATCTAAAAGTTGCCTCTTGAAAGCTCATAAGTATGAGTGCTGTTTCCCGCTCGTTAGGAATTACTAGAGGCGTGCGGGGCGGTTTTGTGGGCATTAGGGACAGGTACAGAAACACCACCAAAGATGGAAGAGCAGCGTAGCGCGAGCGATGTTGCACTACTATGGTTGTCGCCTCATTTGCGCAGCATACGAGCAGGCAGCCTGGTGGTGTGACTCACTGCCTACTGACCGATGTGAACAACTGTAGCATTGTCGCGAGGAGAAGGGGCGAGCAGTCTGGAGCCGCAAGGCGAAGGGGTCAGATGGCATTTACGAACCACGAATAGAGAACCGCGAAGGAACAAGGACGACGAGCCAAGATCATTCCATTTTCCGATCTGAAGTTGTCTATGTGCTAACTCGCTGTTTTTAGTTTGTGATTTGTATGTTAAAAAAAAAAAAAATAAGTATATCCTAGTGTGCATGGTCTTTTTTTTGGCAAAGCCGGAAGATATATTTGGAATTGATAGTGCTACAACGACGAGCAGCGGTATTAAAGCAGAAGATGAGGACCCCTTTCTTGCGATCGTTTCCTACTCCAGGACGGCGGTAGGACAAAAGCATTTCTCAGGGGGACACGTCGCGCCAATTGGCGGTTACGATCCGGAGAATGATCGGGTTCTCATCCTCGAAGTGAACGTCTGGAGGTACCCGTCTGTCTGGATACCCACGGAACTTCTATGGCGAGGCATCCGCACCACCACTGCTGTATGCATTGCAAAAGTATCGTACTCGTACAAATGCATTACAAATTTCCTTAGCATGACAAATTGAGTTTGTCATGCTGTTTTCGCGTAGGAAGGCGAATTGTCATGCATAATTGCGATTACTACGAGTACGATACTTTTGCACAGAATATGCTGTCGGAATTTCTCGGGGGCTTCTTAAAGTCTATTACGAAGTGGATCCAGCACTGGGCGGGGGCTAGTTCGTTTTTTTGACTTATTGTTTTGGACAGCTGACCACACGGTGCGCAATTTTTAATTTATTCGAGTCGTGCTGAGAACTAAGACGAACATCACGACTCAATGGATCCTACATGGGACTGATGCCGCTCAAAAGAGTGATGATCTTCGTACTTGAGTTCAGATCTAGATCTTGTTCACCAGTAACAATACTCAATACGCAGACACATGGGAATAACGAAGATCATGCAATTATTTTACATCACGATCATGGGTGGAAAACCTGAATTCAGCGGCCTGCATCAATTCCAATTCGCTTCTTCATGCTCATGAACGACCCAAAATTGGGTTGGTACTGCAAATGAATAGCAATATCCTCAATAGAGGAACAAAATGAGTTCCGGAGGCGCCGCCCTCGTGCACAGACGACGACCTTTATCGTTCTTCGAGACCATTGGAGTTGAAAACTGGCTTCAAAGACGCCAACGCTTAGTACCCTTCGGCGTAAACGATACTGTTCCTCTGTTGATCTCTGAAATTTTGCTTCCCGCCGAGTACTGGGTTCGCGACTTCCACTCACACAAAATCGCGACGCATGGACAGGCAAGTTGCCTGTCCAGGCGATTTGTCGAGCCTACAGGAGGATTTTTCACAGTAGCCAAATGACTAGACTACGTGCAACATCTCCTGAACCAACTTGAATAACCTTGTACTAGATGATCACAGTTTGTTGTGCTCAATAATTGCGCAAAAGAACAACCGTCTTGTTCTTGCACATTCAGCGACAGTGATATACAAGTAAGGATCAGGCAGCGACATGTTTAGTACTACAGTATCACATATTAATCTGTGAACATAGATTCCCGACACGTGAAGATAACAAGACAATCATGAGTACCTTGACTGGCAAGCGACGTTTTTACCATTTTGGGGATCTAACGTCTATTCATTTTTGTACATAGGCACTGATAAACATACGTAGTCGCTCAGTCATTTTTCTCCTTGTTGTTGTGGCACCACCAACAGGCGATAACATGTTACCTTCGACAAATTTTTCCGCCGCATTGTCCGAAGCTCCGCCGCTTGACGATAAGGCCGCCGAATCCAGCACGCAAGCGCAGAACAAGTATTTTTAGCTCCTGTTATGATATGTACTCTCTTAGCTGCTGCTCCTTGTTCATCTATTGATATCGATTGTTTTTTTAGTCTAAAAGTGGCCGAAGCTGCAGATACATAAACCTTCAGGGTTGAAGGGTTTTTAAGCTAGCAGGGCTCCCATTTTGAATTGAAACGCAAGCTGGAAAAGTGCGTCCAGCCAAAAATTGTTTCCCTTTTATTTTGTGGTTCTCGACGAAAATAAGAAAGTCGACGCAGACCGATGCATAGTACGTGACTGCTGTGATAATATTACATCATCCCACAACTCTACAGATCCGCCATATTACCTGAGGATGCGTGGATTGCGAAGCTGAATGAGGACAGGAAAAATGCATACTTCAAGTTTGAATGGATATGGAGCGCGTCTCCACCGCCTGTTGACGCAACAAATAAGATATCTTCGGCTGCCGGACAGCAAGCACCGTCTGGCGCCGCAGCGGAGCATGTTGACAGAAGCAAGAAGCGAAAACGCGACGACCAAGAAGCTGGCACTGTGGACGACCACAGAAATGGCGACACGAAAAAGAAAAAACGAGAAAAAGGAAAAGACGGTGCAGCTGTGGTTTTAGCAGGTGCTGGTGACGATGGTGGAGAAAACGCGGCAGCGAAAAAAAGAAAGCACTCTAAAAAGGAGCGAAAAGACAGCAGTGCCAACATCAAGGATGGGTCTGACTCAGATGCGGACGAGAAGAGGAAGAAGAAAAAGAAAGGCAAAAAAGCCGCGTCTTCTGATGAGGAAGATAGTGAAGATAGTGCTGACAGTTCAGCTTCATCTTCAAGCGACCGCAAAAAGAAGAAAAAAAGCAAAAAAAAGAAAAAAACCAAGAAGGCAAAGGACAGCAAGAAAAAGAAGAGTAAAAAGAAGAAGAGAAAACGCGCCTCGTCCTCCTCTAGCAATGCAAGCGACAGTGACGTGGCATCTTCGAAGAATTCTTCTGACGACAGCGATGAGGACGACAGCAACGGATCCGACTCGGGCAGTGAGGTGGACCTCGATCCGCGGCTGCTGCCGAAGGTTCTCGACTGGCGAGAAAAGGAGAGCGTGACCGCCGAGGAGGCACTTGAAGCCAGGAAGCCGGGCAATAACAGCGGCAAGAGCATATCGCGATAAAAAATGTCCCCCCGCCACATACTGAGCGACAGATTTTTTCTCACATGCTGCGTAGTGCAAAAAGCAACTTTTGCATCACAAAGAAAGAACGCCCCGCAGCCGCTTTCTCACGAGAGTTAATATGTGCGGGCATTTTCCTGAATCATAAATTAAGTATGCCGATCCGGCGGGCACGCGTGCCGCGCCCCCATGTTTCTCTTGCCGACATTATTTGTATCGCGGTGGGAGCTCCGCACTAGAAAAACTTACATTTGGTATGTCGCTGCAAAACACGTCCTTGCCTCCAAATTTTAATTTGGATGGCAAGGTTATGCTTATGCTTTATGTTTTGTTCTTGCCACCACAGTTCCCCTCCTCTCCCAGCTCAGTGTTGCGTGCACGACACAAAATATCGGGCCGCAAAGATTTTTATTTTTTCGTCTGGTAGTGGCAGTGGGGACTGTTTCATTTTGATAGATGAAGGGGAGCAACCAGTCCGGCGCCGTCGCGGGAGCAGGCGGGAACGCCGCCGAAGACGATGAGTCGGACAGCTCGGACTTGGAAAACCCCGGGCCGCAGATGAGCCGCGAGGAGAGGGAAATCCAGAGCCAGAGCTTCAATTACGGGCACGCGCTGCTGCCGGGCGAGGGCGCCGCCATGGCCCAGTTTGTGCAGAACAAGCAGCGGATCCCGCGGCGTGGGGAGGTGGGTATCTCCCACGAGCAGATCGAGGGCCTGGAGAATCTGGGCTACGTCATGTCCGGTAGTCGTCACAAACGCATGAACGCGGTGCGTCTCCGGAAAGAGAACCAAATCTATACGGCGGAGGAGCAGCGAGCGCTGGCTTTGTTCAACTACGAAGAAAAGCAGGAGAAGGAAAAGGAGACCATCGCCGGACTCAAAGACATGCTTTCGAAGCGCCAGGAAGAAATTCACGACGAAAAGACCGCCATCGACCAGCTTGCAAAGTCGTTCGGCAAGGCCGACTGATCGATTGATCGCTCTAGTAACGATGGTTGCAGCTGCAGCTGTGGTGCTGCCGCAAACAGACTTCTCTCTGGTTCTGCCGCGCGGCAAGAAAAAGCAAACAGTTCAGTACACACTAGACCTGGAGCAATGACATCAATGTGTAGGAGGTAAAGGTTTACATTCATAGAATGGACGACAAGAATGATAATGATACATCAAGGCGAGGAGCTTGAATCCGCACCGCAACGTGTGGCGCGTTCTTTTTGGAAGAGGCTTTTTTTGGCAGTTCTCTTACGGTTGGGGGCCTTCGGGACGAACGTGCGTAGTACAGCAGCGCTCTTAATGTTGCATTCAGGTGTTTTATGTTGTGGGGCTTTTTGGGAAACGAAGCAACAGCGAAAGTTTCGGTTAAGATTCTTGCCTCCTATAATGCATCGGTGTTCTTTTGTCGTGGTGTATCTGTAACTGTAACTGTATCTGTTGCTCTTCGTGGGAGTAAAGACTCATTTTGTAAAAGCAGATGAAGTTAGGGAATTCATGTCCCCAAGCAGCGGGAATGAAAAACTTTGAGCTATTTTTAGATAGAATGCATCGAAGATGTCTGTTCGGTACAAGGAAGCTCATCTCCATCGGATCCAGTTTGGGGAACGTCGCTGGTGATCGTTGTAATCTCTAATTTCTTCGTGCCACGACCGTCATCGTGTTGACTGCGTATTGGTTCGAAGTGGAAGAAGTAGATGAAAACATCAGGGAGGCAAATTCGTATCTGCGCGTGTACTCGTGCCTTTCGCATGATTTATATTTATTTTTCGATCATGCATACTACTTGTACTTCGTCAGGGTTAGGACTAGCATTCATTGACTCGTCCCTCGGGCCGGTGCCAGCTAAAGGGAAGTAGAAGGTGGAAATAAAAAAGACACAGAAGAAACCTAGAAGACCATCAGGATGTCGCAGGCAGAAGTCTGCCCTTTCTCTGATGCCGACATCTTGGAGTCGGTCCGGAAGAAACTGATATCCGAGTGCACAACAACCCCCGCTTATGCAAGAAAAAAACTGTGTAAGTGTAAATCTGTGATGCAGAAAATGCAAAGCAGTTACACTTGTCATGCTCGACATGCGTGGTCGGCTCCGCTCGTTTCCTATGTGTTTTCCCTCCCTATCTGCGCATAACAAGTTTATCCTGTCATTGCAGATGCTGTTTTCCCAAAAGACTTACACTAACACAATTTTTTTCTTGGATACCGCTCCCCCAGAGCTTCGATGGTATCGACAGCAACGCCAGCGCTGGCAGGGTGCAGCTCATGTAATTGCACCTCGACGTCAACACCTGAGTAAAATTCCCGTTCCATGCGAAACGTAGCAAAACCCTAGGTGGTCTTTTCTGCGAAAGTTCTAGCTGTCAACAGAATTTGATTCTGTGCAGCTTTTGCAATTGGAATTGCAAAAAAAAATGTTGTTCTTGCACGCAATTGCATGGATGATTTTTTCATTCCGTTTCGGCTCGGCCTGGATCTGGAGTCTGTCATGCAAGCAGCGCCAAGAGCAAGAGGCCAGGTGTGGACCTACAATCAGTTTGCACGACGAATGAGGGGGACGGGATGGTGTTGTGCACTCTCACACCTGAAGGGCGCTGTTTACAAGCAGAGCGGCAAGAAGAATGTCGACATCCGGAAATTTTTTCCGCACAAGGAGGTTCTCTTCTCAGTTTTGCATTATTTTTCCTTTATTCTTATATATATTTTTACTTGTTGTAGATTAGAATTAGTAAAAAAATATTATTATTATTTTTATTCGGAGATGGTGACGGAAGCGTGCTTGTTGTTCCAAATGAAGTAGAGAGTAAGTAATATTTCATTTTCGAACTTTGACTATGCTCACAGGAAATGGCGACCCTGGGCGAGTTGAAACACGTTGTCAGGCGAGAGTTGAAGCTGTCGCACCAATTCGTGCCCGACCCAGCGCTGTCCAAGTTGGTCGCATACCTCGCCTCCCCGTTGCACGCCCTTGCTAGCTTGAACAACAGTCCGCGGGGGGGAGCGAGGTCCCCGGGGGACGCGAGCCCGTCGTCGCCGCGCGGGGGCTCATCTGACGATGCTGTGTCACCGGTCTATCAAATGCAAAAATGTCTGGGTCTGGAAGGTTGGAACTTGTGATGCTAGCATTGGACTCTAAGAAAATCTGTATTGCATGACCAGCAAGAGGAGTCTAGTTTGTGCCACTCGGTGAGGGCGTTTGTCATGCGGAGTAGGCATCAGGAAGGGTTCGCAAAGTCTGTGATGGTAGGGCGTGCATTACAGACATCCTGGGTCATGCATCACATGCATGACAAGCCTCAGAATCTTCCAGGCCCAGACATTTTTACATTTGATACGGTCAACAATAATGCCAATCAAACCACATCCTCATCTAGCTCGTCCTTCGCGGTGGGCAGCGGTCCGCGCGGTGCCCAGGCACAGATGGGATCCAATACGCTCGCCCAGATCCGGGCCAATCCGGTGATCGGCGAAATGCTAAACCTACCTCTGCTCCCGACAGAGTTGCCGAGCGTAACAAACAACGCTATCTCTAACTCGACCAGCTTCCCGGTCCTGGAGCTGCATAAGTTTGTGCAGCACGGCGCGCCTAACGTCAGCGAAAAAGCCGAGGTGCAGCGAGTCATGGAGCGGAAAAAAGCCGAGCGCTGCGTTCGAAAGTTTCAGGTAAAATGAAGGAGACAACCAGTCTGATACGCTCACGATAGTTTCCTGTTCCTTAACCGTGATGCCTATTCCTTGCGTGGCTTTAATCATGATTGGAAGTCGAAGTTTCCTATTCCTGGCTGCGCGTTGAATTACACGGTCAGAAACCTAGCACATGCAGATGATGAACAACGTCAACGCTGATATATTCATCGTTGCAAATTACCTGTATGAATGTTTTCTTCAACAACCGAAAAAAGGTCGCGGTCCACGAAAAATTAATGGAATCCTACGAGCCCGGCTGCATCTCCAATTTGGTAGATCCCGAGTCCCACGCTGCTCTTACCGACCACGCAGTGTACGTGCGACACCAATTTTCCTCGTTGTTGCGCCAGTTTGCAGGAGATGGGAAGGTTGCCATGAGCCTGCATATGCTGAAAAAGTTTCTGCGCGACAAACTGCACTTCAAAAACTGGGATTTCGGAGAAGCAGATTGCACAACGCTGTGGTACATAGTTGCAACATCATGCTGCTGCTGGTTCAGTAGCGTCTTCTTACTTTCATTCCCAATATTGAGTCATTTTTTCGTCTCTGAAGTTCAAGTAGCGGAAACAGGGTGGCCTCGGTCGCGGTTGCTTCCTTCCTCAGGGATTGAGTAGATGATGAAAAGATGGCGGATAATCATATGCTGGGCAAAGACCCGAAGTTTTTGCGTTTCTTTTGGCTCTGTAGTTTGCGCTTTTTTACCTTTTCCTTTGCTCGACGAACCTTAGGTTTGCCATGTACCGGTTTCCAGACCTGAACTTGTTGGAGCAATGTCGAATGTCTTCTGAAATGGAGCGGACCGCAGCCATATCAACTGTAAAAATGTCTGGGTCTGGAAGAATCCAACTTGTCAGGCTAATTTTGGATTCTAAAAAAATCAGTGTTGCATGAGCAGCAAAGAGTAGAGTCCAAGTTTTGCTACACGGAGAGAGCATTTGTCATGCGGTATAGGCATCAGGAAGCTCTCGCAAAATCTGTGATGCTAGGGCATGCGTCACAGGTATCAGGAGTCATGCAAAATGTACATGACAAACCTGGCAATCTTCCAGACCCTGACATTTTTACATTTGATAATCTAATTTTGCCGTTACCGGAGGTCAAATTTCGCTTCTGGACCGAAAGTCGCCTGAGGCCATGGTACTGCGAATTACTAGTTTACAGAATATTGAACCAAATACTTAAATTAAACCGTAATTAAAAAACAAGTACAAGAATTAGGTCACGACGTGTACTAACTTGAAAGGTCAGTTGACTTAGCCTGCTTTTCCTTACATGCAGGACCATTCTATTATTTTTATTCCTGAACAAGATGATGTTTATGTTTTCGATTCCTTTTTCTCAACAATGCAGCATGCCACCGTCGCAGGCGGGAAAGATGCAGGCCCCAAACTTTCGCCACGGCAGCGCAAGATCCAGAAGTTTCTGTATCCGAGCACGGACTCAGGTTTCCAGTTTCACTTACGTGACCTCGTTTCTTTGCTGGACTTGCCAAAGAAATCCGGGCTTAGTATCGAGTTTCCGGACTTTCGCATGCCTAACGTCAGCGAAGTAAACACGTTTCATCTTGGTGACCCGACCGCACCAGAAAAGTTGCAGGACAAGTACACTATTGATTTTCACATTGACATTCTCATTGACTATTGCTATTCATTGCACCTTCTTGTCACCCTGCTGGTGCTCTTTTTTCGGTACTGGCTTGGGGCGTGTGCTCGAGGAGGTCTGTCCTGTGTTTCAATGCTCTTTGACGGATGGCGGTTTACGACTTCCCCGTCTTGCGCTCGTGCCTGCTAATATGTATAAATTACAGCGTTGCGCACAAGAAAGCTATCTTCAACATGTTCTCCAGGTATAGAAAATGGTGCATGGCCCGAAACCGCCTGAGCGCGAATTTCAGTTCTAGCGGCCGCGCCAATCCTCCGCGAACAAGAATGCAGTCGAACTCGGTCCAGCACGAGCAATGGCGGCTAAATCACACGCTAGGCTACTGAGGAAGGATTTTTGGATTTGTATAATCTAATGGAATGCACACGGATGAACATGAAAATGGAATACATGAGAATGAGCAGAACGATTTCAGGTCCATCGAAATATCCTGCTGCTGCATTTTGCTTTTCTTGTTTTTGCTCATCTACCATTCTACTAACTAACTTTTTTACACGAATTGAACGCAATCAATAATCCGGCTAAAAACTTCTATTTGAGGTCATTGATTTTCGAATGTAAATGTATTGAAAGCTTTTTTAAAAAGCATGCGCATACTTCCCCTTCTTGTAAAATATAGCCGGGTCGGCATCGCACAGCGCGAGCTGATACGTGCTTCAATTGGTTGAAGCTACTCTTTGCAACAAGACGAAGAGTAGAGCTGTTATTGTACACTTCAGTTTGGTCTCAGTCTGTCGTCATGAGAGCGGCAGTGTGTACAAAAGCAATATTGGAAGGTAAAAAAAGAAAAGAAATGAGACAGACAGTGAATTCAATGGCACGGGGGGCGTGCTGTGGGCAGCTATTTGGCTTACTGTGTTCCTTGACGCACAGCCTCGGTCTGCCCGATAAGGCATGTGTTGTCCTGTGCGTACTAGTCCGTATTTTTTTTTTCGTCTCACTCTATATTCTACAATCGCGTACTGTGATGAAACTGAAAGAACAAGAAGGATGGAAGCAACCGAGTGACCGCAAAGTTCGCATCGATCGCATTCGAGATGAGAGTTACTCAAAGTGGCGTACGTGCTTTATTGGGCTGTCGGTCGCATTGAGTCATCTCTAATATTTGACATCATTGCTCGATTAGAAATTGCATTGCTTTTCTAGTTCGCTATAGTATGCCATGGAAATTTCGTGTGTTTTTGTTCTTTCTTTTGTTTTGAGAAAAGTAGCGGAGTAGTACGTGGCATGAACTACTGGTTTCGATTTTGTTTGCTTAGTTACGTGTAAGCACTGCTCAACCCAGCGCTACCTGATTTCATGAAAACATGAGTTGCAAAATACTCACCTCCTAGTTCGTTGTTTTGGTTTCACTTTTAGCATAACCAGATCCAGTAGCTCATGGAAGCTTTCGCACGCGTAGCAGTGTCGTGCCGGCTGCGGCCGGCACTGGACCCGGACCTGGCACTCGCACGGTGGGAACTGACGGACTCGAGTGTCATTTTGCCAACCCCGCAGAAAAGCATGAAAAAAGAGGATTTTGGACTTGTGCCCGCAAAAACCGCCCCCAGCCGCGGGCATGCAGCGAGCACAAACAGATCTGGACCAATTATGGAGCGTACCTACTGTTAATTTTTCTTGTTTCATGTGATGTGAATGTTGTAAATGTGTGAAATAGAAATACTATACTCATTCGTTCATAGCTTCAGTGGGAGCTGGGGTAGAAGATTTTACCTCTTTTTGGTGTCTGTGTTCCTTATTTGCAGCCTCCAAACACGATGAAGACGTGGTCAACAACATGTTATATAAAAGACGGATCCGTATTCTCCAAAACAGATGTGACGGAGACGAAAATGGACCACGTCTTCGGCGAGAAGATTAACACGAAGGATATCTACGAAACGGCGTACCGCCCGATCGTGGGCAAAGCGGTCCAAGGGCTGAACGGTTGCATATTGGCATACGGGCAAACCTCCTCAGGAAAGACATACTCGATGGTCGGTAACGACGAGAGCAAGGGTATTATCGAACACGCGTGCGAGGACGCGTTCCGTATGCTAGAGGAATCCGGAAAGGTACCCGGCACCGGTGGAACACGCATTCGCTTCTCCTTGTGCGAGGTCTACATGGAAAAGTGCATAGACCTTCTGGCGCCGAGGACTCGATTCGACAATTCCCTTGCTGTCAAAGAATGTATACCTATACTTACAAGTCAGATTTTCTTTGTACGTCATAATAATGATGTCTTCTGATGCGGCGCTACCGCATCATTTCACGTGCTAGCGCTTTGGCTTCGACAAGAACACCAGTGTCGTCGTTCGGTTTTCATTGTTACTCTATGACTATGTCTCTGTGCTGAAAACGCGAAAGACGAAGAGCCAATAAGCAAGCAGTCTCGTGTTTGCAGAGACACTTCGACTCTGTATTTGTTGACTACGTCTACTACTGCTTCAACTAAGTATCGATGAGGACCATAAAACCTTCTCCTTGCTTGAACTTATTGTCGTCCCCTTTCAGGCCCTCCTCGTGGTTCGTCCGGGATGTCTGAATTTTACGTGGAGGGACTCAGCGAGCACGATGCCTGGGAAGCGCGCGACGTTATGGAGAAAATTGCCTTTGCCGAGCGGAAGCGACGAAAGATCGCCCAAACTAAGTACAATGAGCAGAGCAGCCGAAGCCACACCGTGCTGACGCTCACAATTGAGGCGACAGACCAAGGAGAGATAAGTAGTAAGGGCACTACAAGTACATGCACAGCACTCTCGGTGGCCAACAACAAAGACAACGAGGATCTACATAGCGGCGGTGAGATAACAAAGGTCGGGAAGCTAGTGTTCGTAGATCTCGCCGGTAATGAGCGGCTGGACGAGAGCATGCAGTACCTGCAGGAGGGCAGCGCGATAAATTTGTCTCTGTTTTTCTTGAGCGAGTGCGTGAGCAAGCTCTCAGCTGCCGCTGGCATGATAGAAGGGGGCGCATTTGCCGACGCGGACGAGGAGAGGCAACTCGGACTCAGTGCAGCCTGCGCAGGTACCTAAGTAATTTCAATTTGACACCTTATGGGGCTTACAATTAGAATCTTCTGTGGACGAAGCAGATCGCGGTCGTGCAAGTGTATTGATTTCAGGCTGGAGGTTCGAAAGTGGCCGATGCCGAGCGCAGGTATCTTTTCCATGCATCAAGAATAGATCGACGTCAGTCGATGGATGCAATTCTGTATATTTCATAACAGATTTTTCTGAGCAGCTTCAGCGGTACAAGATAAAGCAAAAAAAGAAGAACGATGCCTCTTCAAACAGATGCAGCCTCGAGTCGCTACATCCCGTACCGAGATTCGAAATTGACCCGCATTCTTGCTGTGCACCTCGGGCAGAACAGCCACACCGGGATTCTGGTGTGCCTACACCCCGCTGAGAAGTTCGTGGAGCAGAGTCTGTGTACGCTGCGGTTTGCGCAGAAGGCAAGCGAGGTGGTGTCGCGGGTCCGGCCCGTCTACCGTTCGAAAAACGAGGAGCTGCTGCAGAAACTTAGCATGAGGCCCATTGCCGCTGTGCCTCCGAATCTGCAGGAGGGCGGCGCTTTTTTCGCCAAAGTTCTAGGGCATGCTGGGGCAAGGCCAAAAGCCCGCACGCACACAGCCCTTGCCCGAATGGTTTCGCGCGCCTTTGCGGGAGCGGGTGTCGGTCACTGTACCTGGCCGGCGGCCGCCCTTTGCCAGAGTGCGCGCGGAGCGGTCCCTATGACGGCCGGAAGCTGCCTGCTGCGAGGACGGGCGGGGCGCCTTGCTCGCCGAGGTGCATCACCAAGAGCGCGCGCCCACGGCCTTCTCGCCTCGGGCCGACCACGGGTCTCAGAGTTATGGCCAGCAACGAGCCCCCGTCCGGCGACGATACATGAGAGAGCAGCGACCACACTAGTCGCAAACCCAGCGCGGAAAACCTGTGGGGACCCGCCCCGGGTGGGGTATGCAACAGGCCTGGCGACCTGCCGCGGCGTCGGCCTTTGCGCATGACCCTCCGGTGAATCAGTGGGCGCACGGCTTCTGCTGGGCCGCTGATTTTACGAAGGGCGGGCGGGGGGCCCTTTCCCACGAGGAGGCCCGTCGCCCGGTGCAGCATGCGGCCACGGCAGCCGCCTTTTTCGCCTAGCCGGCGGCACGGCAGCAAGGAAAGAACCTCACCCGGCGAGCGTCGGCACGGAAAAAGCTATGGCCGTTCCGCCACCCCCTTGGCCCGGCCAGCTTCGCACTTTGCCGCCGAAGAAAGTGCCGTGGCCCCGCGGCTGGGTCGGAAGGTCGGCCGCCACTTGGCATGGCAGTGGGGCGCTCCACAAGGCGGCGCGCCGCCGGTTTCTGGGCCTGCACGGCAAGGGGGCGGGGGCGGGGTGTTGCCGGCATGCATCAGGGGAACGTGGCGGGCGCCCCCCCGCCGCGGCGGGAATATTGCCCGCCTTGGCTCTAACTACCGTTCGAAAAACGAGGAGCTGCTGCAAAAGATAAAATTGCCCGCTCGGGGCACAGCTCCCCCACCGGCCTTGTGGGTGTGCTTGGGTGGAGGCGGCGGCCGTTTCAACATCCCCCGCCGGCCCGGCCAGGTTCCGGGTGCGCCTGTATCCAAGGTCTTAGCCCGCGGCCGGCCCCGGGCTTCCGTGTGTGTTCCCGCAAGGCTTCGCGGTATGGAAGCTTTGGTTGTTGACCTTCCCAGGGTCGGGTCGATGCTTGTTCACCGGGCAAAAGCCAAGGCGCCGGCGAGCCATCGGCCCGACTCGGCCTGTAGTTCAAAGCGCAGGCAATGCTAATGCGCGAAAGTGCTGGAAAGGGGCCACGCCCACGCGCAAGGGGGCGACGTTGCTAATTCACTGCCCTCCCACCGCGCCCGCCATCAAAAGCAAGGGCAGACATCAGCGGCGCCGGCTGCGGCCCGCTCCAACATTGACTGCATGCCGGCGCGGCGGCGGCCGGCGCCGTCCGGCTTGGGCGCGTGTGTTCTTTATCGCCAACAAGCTGGCGGGCGGCCAGCGAGCGCCTTCGGGCTGTGCCCGCGCACGTTCCTTCGTGCGGATTTTCGATGCTACCGCGAGGCGTCGCGATGTTGCGTTTCTGGGTCCCAAGCACCAGAAAGCACGCTTTTAGCACGTTCCGCAGGGTTCCGTTTTTGTACTTTGTCCCACCATACTGTCTACCGTTCGAAAAACGAGGAGCTGCTGCAGAAACTGCGAAAGCGGGTGCGGACGCTGGAAGACGAGCTCGAGGATGCGCGCGCAGAGCGGCTGCAGACCACGGAGAGTGGGCAGATCGTGTCGGGATCCAAAGAAACCGACCGCATTGTGCTCGCGCTCAACCAGGCAAACACAAACTACAAAATCGTGCTGACCCGGTACCGTAACTTCTTGCGGCAGCTCGAGCAGGACATGGCGAAGCGCAGCGATGACCTGGGGGGCGAAGAAGCAGGAGAGGGTGGCCAGCACGCGACGAACAACAACAAGCAAGCTCTGGGCACGAAGTTTAGCGATCTGGCTGCGCTTGAGCGCGTGTGGAAGCGGTTTCAGGACCTGATGCAGGCTTTCGATAAGATCTCGGACTGTTCCCAAGGCGTGCGCCAGCTCGCCGGGGACGCGGCCAGGAAGCTTGCGCTCAGCAGCACTGCCCAGTCCGGCCAACATCCCGCTGCGAACTACGGCTGCTCTACCACTTCTGCTTCTCAACAAAGCACAATTGGAACCACTCCGAAAAATATTAACCTGTTGACCACGCCTGGGCTACTTGCAAGGAAGGATAGTCAACAACAACAAGATTCCGCTCGTGAAGATTCCGCGGACGTGACGAATGCGCGCCTCAACCGGCGCATCTTAGAGCTCGAAGCGCAGTTGCGCGGCGAGCATCGGCAGATGACAGGAAGCGCGGAGAGCTCCCCAGCGAAGTGGAGCCAAGCGTCTTCCCAAGTCGTCGGTACAAGTAGTGGCGTCCAGCACGCAGCGCCGGCCGCTGCGTCGTCTTCCACCTTCGCCAAGTTGGCCACGATGAATAATAGCTCGACCATATTGAGAGGAAAAATTCCCCCTCCCCATATTGAAAAGGTATGTTTCCAAAAATTTGCGTTGCAGATTTGAGGCCACAAATCATATCTGTGTTGCAAGAAGACAAGGGCAGAAGCTTCCGCCCCATTATGGAGGCGATTTGTCATGCTGTTGGGCCTAAAGGGGGTCCGTTTCCCATGCTGAACTGCTAGACCCGTACGCCACTACCCAGCCTGGGGATCTGGCCGCAGTGCCTCTCTGCAATACAAAGCTGATTTGTGGCCGCAAATCAGCATCACAAATTCGGCGAGATCAGCATCGCAAATTTTCGTTTTGATATGGGGAGGGGGGATGTTTCATTTTGATAGACCACGACCTCCTCGTCCCTGCGCACCACGCCCACATCTACGTTGCAGGCGCCCGGTTCCGCGGCCACCTCTCAAATGCATGACCTCAAGGTGCAGAACATGCAGTTGCGGTCTCTAAACAAATACCTCTCGGGAGAGAAGGACCGCTGGAAGAGTGAAACGGAAACGGCAAAGACCGAGGTGGCTACTTTGCAAGCGCGCTCGTCTGAACTGCAGACCAAGCTGCGCCTCGCAGAAACTGCCTTAATATCGGAAGCACGCCAGGCCCAGAGCGGTCAGTCCAGCAGCACTTCCCGTGATGTGTCAACAACAGCATTGAACGTCGTAGACGAGGACCACGGACGGCAGGCTGGTGAGACTAGAACACGCACAAGCTCTTCCTTCGATGAGACGATGAAGGTCGAGGATCCGTTTCTTGCGTCTCCTGCAAAAACAGATAAGAATGTTCCAATGAAGAATTCGGACTTCAGCGACGCGCATTACTTTTCCGGCAGAGTGCAGCAGTTGCTGGACCGCCAGCAAATGGAGAAAAAACGTGGTCCCACCTCTGCAGCAGGGTTCTCCTCGAACACGGCAGGAACATTTTTGCCAGACCGCAGCGAGGAAGATGATCAACAACAGTTGGATCATCGGGCGGAGCAAAATCGAAATGCAGCTTCCTTGTTCTGGAAGGAAGGCAATCAGTTGGCTGCGTATGCGTCCAAGCAGCAGGCCATTGTCGACAAGCAGCGCGAAGAAATCGCAGTGCTGCGTTTGGAGCGGGAGAAGCTGGAACAGGACTTGCAGGAAAAGCACGTGGAGAGTAGTGAAATGCGCGAAAAATTGGGATCAGTAATGGCAGCGCGGCGCGACGCGGACCGGAACTACGCTCAGGCACAGAAGATGGTTTCTGATCTCGAGTCTCAACTGGCGCAGCAGCAGCGGGAATTCGACGAGAGCATGTGGATGAAGGGGGCGACGCTGCAGCTTGCAAAGGGGCTCAGTAGCACGGAGAGAGCAGCTGCGAGCACGAGCGGTGGTCACAACAACTCAACTGCGCATGGGGGCGCAAAGAATAAAGCTGGCCGGAGTAGTGCCTCCTCATCGACGACGGGTTCAACTTCGGGGGGCTCTTCTGCGTCCTCGTCGTCGGCCACCACGAGCGGCTCCAGTGCCTTGGTAAACGAGTCGCTGCAGAAGAAAAACGCTGAGCTTCTGCAGAGGGCCGAGGTGCTGCAGCAATCCGAGAAGAAGTCGCAGGAGCTCATGGCGCAGTTGCAGCGACGAATAGAGCAAGGAGCAAACACGATCAAGGCGAAGGACGGCGAGCTTGCGCGGTTTCGGCAAGAGTTGGCCGAACTCAGGAAAGCCTTGGTTCTGGCTCGCAAAAACGGGGATGAGCCTACCACCCGTGGCGGGCCCTCGCCTTTTCCGACGACGGCAACACTGAAAAAGTCTTACAATGTAGGTCAAGGTACTAGTAGCACAACAACTCCAGCCGGCGGAGGTGTGCTTGGTGGCCCTTCTGGTGCGACGTCAAACTACAGCAGCGCAGTAGTACGAGGACCGCAGGATTATTTGGGCAAGAAAGGACCTGACAGAACTGATCCCGCGCTGGACGCGATGATGGAGTCGTGTGGGGGAGCGACGAAGTTGTCGCAGGAAAATTCTTTTCAAAATGAAAGTGCGAATTCGCGGCGCCCCTCTTCCGTGTCCTCCACGTCAGAAAACAGCGGACGACACCAGGCGCGGACGGGGGAAGCCTTCCGCAACGTAGGAGCGCAAGTGATGCTGAGCACAAACAATCCACCCCGGGGCGTAGGACCAACGTCCTCGAGGAGACGCGGTGGAAATAATGCGAGCACAATTCTAGCCGGCGAGCCTACAGGCCAGAACTCGGGGGCTCCGCTTGTCCCATTGCAGAATACGAAGGTGCGCAGCTACAACTTCCCGTCATCCACAGCGACAAAGACAAGAACGACCGTGCTGCTGCTTTTTGCTGCGCAGTTTCTGCATGTTGACAATAATTGTAGTCCCGATCACGATCAGGATCATTTTGGCATGCAAACGGTGCCAAGAAGCAAAGTATGTTGACTTCTGTACTATTCTGTCGATGAGGAGGAGGGGGAGTTGTTTGATATGCACTCGGATACACAACATCAACTACCTGTACTCAGAAAACGAAGCTCCTTCCCGCTCACTGGCTGCGAGTTGCCGCCGGGGTGGTATTATGCAATGCGAGTAATGTCTGAGTCTACGTCCTCTGAACAGGTGAAGCTTGTAAATGCAAATTGTAGATGACAGAGACAAAAACTTGTGGTGCAAAAACACCAAGACCAACAAAGGGATTTTGGCACAACTTTGAATGTGCTTCTACGTGCATTCCAGACCATCTGGGTCATCCAAAAGATGCATCACATTCATACAGTGCCAGTGGCCTCAGACATGTTTGCAATTGATACGCGGCATCGAACCTCCAAGCGCGGGTGCCGGCGTCGCGGTACCCTCCGCATCCACCAATACAACGAGCGCAGGAACTTCCGGTCTAACAAATGTGATGGTGTTGCCGTCTATGCAATGTAAATTTTCCGTACATGTACAAAATGCATGACAAATTTCGCTAACTTGCAGTGCCCAACTCGTCATGCAGAGACTGCGTGTGTACGTGTACGGGAAATTTACTGTGGATATCGTCCCCGTCCGTTGGTATTGTCCAAGGAAATAAATTCGAGTAAGAATCAGGGAGAGGTGCAAGCCTGCACGTGCGTGCATCTACTCCTCACTGTCACTTCTACCGGTTTGCCTTTGCTCGTCGTGTCCTGTAGATTTTGTTTTTGATTTTGTTTTTCTGCCCCGATGAGTAAGAGGTGGTGTCAACCCTAGTTCTTAGCAACCTGATGAACTATCACTTACATTTGGTTTTTATTGTGTAATGCTCGCAGCGCGCCCTAGATTCGACCGATAGATAGAATGAATGCAAAGCGGTCGCTGAGTTAGAGCTACCTTTGCTGATGCATGATGTTGATGTTGTGATTTTGGTTTTGTACCCGAACAAACTCGATAAATTTTGAGCCGAAGCAACACGACCCGGTCAATCAAACGCGTACTTTCACTCCGCATCTTCAGATGTTTATCTATGTGTTTTAGGCGACGCGACGGTACACACAGTCAGGCAACGCAGTCTTTTGTAGAGGAAGGTGAGAAGTCCTGCGCTCGAGTCATGGTATGGGGGTGCGCACCACGATATGCCTACATGTTTTGGCTTTTGTAAATTACCGCCGATCAATAATCAAAGAAGCGAGAGCCGAACGAGCGCAGGGTCACAGGGACGCTGAGCGAGCGCATGTGTCGGTCGTGTAAGTACTAGATGAGTTCTCAATCCTCGAAAGATGACCTTCTCCAGTGCGACGTGTTCGGACGGTGCCCCCTCGTCAATATCATGAGCTAGCGGACCATCCATTTTCGGTAAGAACTTTGAGGCGTGCGATTATACTGGATGTACGGAGACGAACTCCCATGGCAACCTCACTGGCGGCCGACGCCGAAGCGGCACCCGGGCCACCCGAGGACATACACGCCCGGGCTTTTCCCTCGTGGCAGAAAAAGCCAAGTGGTGGAGGAACAGGGACAGATGCTGCATCGTCATCAAGTTGCAACAACCCGCAGGAGAGGATGCCGGAGGAGATTGGCCTTCTGCAAGCGCGCCGCGAGGGGTACCTGCACAAGCGCGCCGGGTGGTTTCGCTGGACCGTCCGTTACTTTCGACTGCTACGCGGGGAGCTGTGCTGGTGGCGCCCATCATTTACGGAGCAGCTGCGGCTGCAACGACCGAAGAACCTCGACCCTGCTGCCATCGTGCGTTGCTTCACGCTTGCGGAGGACCTGCTCGAGGTGAAGCTCCTTCCGCCGCGCTTTCCATTCACCACCAGGCTCGTTTTGCGATTTCGGTGCGGATACAAGCTTGAATTGCGCGCGGAACGCGAACCCGCGATCCGAGATTGGTACGACAAAATCAAACTGTACGTCCAAGTGCCAACAGAGGAGGACGTCGTAGACCAGTTGGCGACATAGATACAAGAATTGAGTGCAGTTCTTCTACCAGCGCAACCCTGGGGATTAAGAGAAGTGCCATTAAAAACCGAGGCTGGGGCAGGCGTTCCACCACGTGGAGATCACAGGCAACTGCCTTCTGTGCCCGATGCGCGCAATTGATATTGATATCAAATCGATTTCCAAATAAAGTATTTTTGCAAGTTCTGGAAGGTCATGGTCAAGATCCCCTTGTTGCAGCGATCATGGTTACTGCTTTACAAGTATCTTGCCCCGGACAATTAAATTGACAATTCCAACTGGAAATACAGGAACGGAAGCACGCATTAGCATTACCACCCAAGATACCGTGCGAAGGCGCACGGCAATTATGAGGTTTTGCAAAAAGAATTTAAATGTGCCAAAGGGGGCACTTGTACGGCTACGGATACCCGTGCCTGGACCTGGGAGCCGCTCCTTCCCACGCACGGTATACGCAAACTCGGACGTAGACGTAGTTCTTGCTCCCCCCGTTCACCGGACCAATACGAAAAAGTAGAGTGCTATACCAAATGTCGACGAATTTTTTTGTTCGTAGTACTGTATAAGCTAACGAAGGGGTCGTAGATGTAGATGTACGAGCAGCCAGTATTGCAGTCACAACTGAGAAGGGAAGGTAATGTAGGAAACTGAGGGGCCGGCAGAGCTGTTGGCGTCGGCAGAACTGTTTCACCTCAGTGAGCTTGATGAAAGAACTTATGGCACCAGCGGCCACAGCACAGAACGCTTCTGCTGAGCTGCTGTGCAGCGCGACATCGCTGGCTGTTTGCGTGGGTTGCGGCGCAATGCGGCCTCGCCATCGCTGCAGCGGCTGCAGAAAGGCACGCTATTGCTCTCGCGAGTGCCAGCTGCGGGACTGGAAGCGCGGCCACTCCCGTGAGTGTAGTAGAAACACGTATAATTCTTTAAAGCTAACGAGTTTCGCAATAAATAATAAATAGGCTTCCTTTTCTTTCGCCAAAAAACGCAGTCTTGCGTGTAACCTACACGCTTTATAAAGTTTTTCTCATGAAAACTTCTCAACAGCTTCTCAACAACTTCTTCACAAATATCGCTACGAACATCCGACCAGCTTCGCTAATTTTTAAAGGCGTCATGCAATTAAGGGGTTATACGAGGAATGTTCGTGACGCCTCCAAAAGATCACTTGCAGGAGACCGAAAGCTTTCAGCGGTAAGGCGCGGCCGAAGTATGCACAGCCAAACTTATTCGCGACTGCGCACGCGGCCACGAATCGAGACTCAAGAAACCCTTGAGGCATCGCCTGCGGGCTGGTAGAGAAATTGGCGCGCCCACAATTCAAATCCGCATCAATTCCCCGAACAAACCCAGTCGCCGACTCCCGGCCGCCAACTTCTCAGCAGCGGGCTGGGAAGTTGGTGAAAAGGTTGGGGAGAGGTTGGTGGGAAGTTGGTTAGAAATACGCGAGAAGCTCAAGCTGGTGAGAAGTTGGTGAGATGTTCGATGCAGAAAAAAGCGGGATCTATACGAGTACGATACTTTTGCACAGGATATGCCAGCTGCGGGACTGGAAGCGCGGCCACTCCCGTGAGTGTAGTAGAAACCTTTGCGGTAGTACGGGGACGTTGGAGCTGCGGGAACGATCTGATAGCTGTCGCACCACGAATGTAGTACGCAGAACGCAAGATGAGCGCGCGAGTAGTCGTGACCCTCCTGGCGCCGATTCGGCAAGCTCGTATGCAGTGGAGCGAGAGGAAGCTTGGAAAATGATGGAGCGTCTGGTGGCGGCGCAGGAAGAAGGCGATGTTGCGGGCAATAAAATTCGCACGGACGCCGATGTCTATGTTGCGGAGACGCTGAAACATGCACAGGAGGAGCATTTGGGCAGAAAAAAGACCAAGAAGGTGGAACTTGAGCTACCACGACACAAAGGCGGAAGGCATGCGGATGATAATTGTGCGACGGCAGAGCATCAGCATTGCGATTCGCCCAGTAACATTCTCGACGAAATTGGAGACGCCAGCGATCTCAGTAGCGAAATGTCACCTGGAGGCGATCTGCTTCCATTCTCCCCTGTCCCATCATCAGATGAAGAGAAGGCAGTCTTTTGAAAAGACGCGACCACAACTTGTTGCCCATTGAAACTTTTGAAACTTCTACCTATAATGCGGTCCTCCTTTTTGCCACTTGATGCAAGACATTCTTCCGCGCGTCGTCGTGTCGTCAGTCACTTACTTACCACACTAGTGTAGACACCACGTCCATAGCTGTTGTGTACTCGTATCATTCATCGGTGCCGCTCAAATTAATTGAAACTTGTTATGACTGTGAGCGTCGAGGATTAAAAGTTCAACAGCCAAGTCAAGGTTGTCTGTAATGATGCCTAATGGGCTATTTTGCTTCTGTCTTCCAAAAATACGGTCAACAAAGGTCGGTATGTCATGGTGTAAAAAATCTTTTTTATCATTGTTAGCTCCTTCTCCAAATCCAGATCGACTGAAGTGCATCGATTGCACCGACTACAAGCTATCGGTTCCGCTGCTTTCGATATGTATGCATTGGCTCCATTAATAAAATCTCGAACCGTTCCACGCTCTAGTACACCATGAACGCCGGAAAAACTAAAACTGCACCTTCCCGAATCCGGTCAAGTGAAAAATATTTGCGCTATATTCATACATGAGCTTTTTCGTAGAGGTGGTGGATGATGTTGATGACTTCGTACAATTCTTGCACACAGGATTCGACCTTGAACAGAACACAGTCGTAATCAAGCCTGTGCCCATCCTTTATTTGGCTTCCAAGTAATGGCTCTATGTTAAATTTACTTTTATTTCTCCGAAGAAAAAAAGAAAGGGAAAAGGTGGCTTACCCAGTCGCCAGTAACAAGTACTGAAGAAGCAAGAACCCGTTCCATTTTTTTTCGTGCATGGCCACTAGCGTCTGCTCAGAGGGTACATCAAATCTTTTTCTTCACGACAATTGCAGAGCCGGTTTGACTTTACCCCTTCACAAAAGAAACGCGGTTAACCGACTCACCGTAGTTGCGCGGCAGGTGGTGCTGTCGCACCCATCGCGCGTTGTAACACAAGGCAGCTCGACTTCGACACAGCATCGCGCGGATCCATTTGTGATTGACACCCCCGACATTTTTGCCGTTCCCATCACCGACGCCGTGGACGATCCAACCGGACAGTTCCGGAAGGAAAACGCGAAAAACATGGCGACCAAGCAGTACGACCTGATTGTGATCGGCGCTGGCTCTGGCGGGCTCGCTGCCGCCAAGCGCGCTGCGGCAATGTACGGGAAGAAGGTGCTGCTCTGCGAAAGTGCGTACGTCGGCGGAACGTGCGTCACGGTGGGGTGCGTGCCGAAAAAAGCCCTCCACGGGGTGGCCGCTTTCCGCCACCAGAGCCTGTCCGCGGAGCGCGCGAATTGGCACCTGCCGGGGCAGCCCGGGACGTCTTTGCATGCAGCGGTCGCCATGAACTTTTCGATTACCATGCAGAAGGTGCGAGAGTACGTGGCGCGGTTAAACAGCGTGCACACGGCGAATGTGGCGAAGGCGGGCGTGGAGCTGTTACGCGGGACCGCGGAGTTTACGGGACCCCATGAAATTGTCGTGAAGCGGGTACTCCACTCCTATTTCTTCGGCAAAAGTAAGTTTATCGTACTCGGATAAGCGGCAACATTTCATGACAGACCTACTCTTTCCCTCGACACCTGAATCTCCATGGCATTTTCCACGTTTCCATGTCAGCAAATTTGCCCAATAATGCAATTTGAATTTATGCCGATAGCCAGTGCGATACCGCAGGTTCATCTTCTATTTATTTGTTTTTCCTACGAGCTATTCCCATTTCGGGTTTCGTTGTTTTGTTTATATAGAGTTCTGCAATGCATAGGTTCACAACACCAACGACCTGAAGTGGACGCCGATCACGCAGAATTCGGAGAAGTTTTACGAGATACAAGACCCGGGGAACTGCCCCATCACGGTGGGAACCTTCCGGGCGAGCAAAATCATCGTCGCCACCGGCAGCAGCGCGCAGCGGCTCCCGCAGCCCGGGTCGCACTTGTGCGCCACCAGCCTGGAATTCTTCCTGGATTGGCACCGGCTGCCGAAGAGCTGTTGCATTTTTGGGGGCGGGTATATCGCCGTAGAGCTCGCGGGGATTCTCAACGCGTTTGGGTGTGAGGTGGAGCTAGTGATCCGCCGGGACCTGATTCTGCGTGGTTTCGACGACGAGCTTCGGGTGCACCTGCAGAGCATGCTCGTGAAGCGGGGAATCAAAATCACGGTGGATGCGGAGCCGGAGCGCTTCGACGAGATTCCGAATAGCGTCCCGTGGTCTGCGGCGGACGGGGCAACCTTCACGGAGCGCCACTTCACCCGCACGGAGAAGCAGACCGGTCGCATCCGCGTTTCCTACAAGGATGGCCAAGCGCGCGAGTACGACGCGGTACTGCAGGCCGTCGGACGGAAGGCAAACACGACGAAGCTCGGCTGTGCCAAGGCGAACATCGAGCTGAATGGCAGTTCGGGCGGGGTGGTGGTTCACCAGTGGAAGGATTGTCACTCTGATCTGACCAAGCAGTTGTATCAATCCAGCTCCAATCCGGATGTCTACGCCCTCGGTGACGTCAACGACCTAATTCAGCTAACGCCCGTCGCAATCGCGCAGGCACGGCAGCTGATCGACATTCTGTATGGAAAGGGAGACTTTCCGATTACGCAGCGCTCCTTTCAGATGTACTCTTCTGCGGTCTTTTCCATGCCCGAATGCGGTGTGTGTGGTCTATCGGAAGCGGCGGCAAAGAAGGAGTACGGCGAAAGCAACGTGGTGATCAAGAACCTCGCTTTCCCGCCGCTCGAACAGTGGGCACTTAAGCCGGAAGAGAAAGAGAAAGCGTTTCTGAAACTGGTACAAGAAATTTACTTACTTTATTTTCGTTTGTTGCTAGTACGATCTCGCATGCGCCGCGCACGCGGCCTACACACTTCCACATCGTTTATCCGCTCTTGGTGCAGCAGCCAGTAAGCGGCATGTTGAAGTACCTTGCAAGTCCTCGTTGTCGTTTCGCATGGCATGGGGTGTGCTTGTAAGTACATTAGGCAATCCCAAACACTTTTCAGGTGTTTCGCAAGCCGCAGGACCTGAAAGGCGACGATGATCTGGAGTTGATTGGAGCACACTTTTGCACGGATGCTGCCGCGGAAATCATCCAGTCGCTTGGGATTGCGATGCAAAAAGGCATCACGAAGCGAGATCTTGATCTGACCATGGCCCTACATCCGTCCGTCATGGAGGAGATCGTGACCATCTATTAATTAACTATCTCCTACCCTACGAGATGAAAGCGGCTGTTTCCTTCGAGAAAGCGGAGGCACCAAGGACACCGTAACGGATACTGCGTCATTATCGTTGGCACGACAGCGACAGCGTTTCCGTTTCGCTCTCTTAGGGGAAAGATAGACTTGGAGCATATCACTAGTCAGGGGAAGCGAACAGACAGAGCTGCTTCTTTGCGCTCGATTCCTGCAGGTAGATGGCGCGCTGCCGCAGAAAGCTGTAGGTTACAATCGCAGGCTCGACCGTTCGGTCTTCAGTGACACAATGTAGGATTTACGCTGTATCAAAGCAATCGAAGTTTCTGCTCTATGTCGGATTTGCCGTTCTTAGGAAGTCGAAGTGCGCATGTGCAGCGAAAATCTAGCTGGCAGTTGTCAGCTTATTTTATCGTCTGCATGTCATGGTCATCGACTACAAATAAAGAGCTCAGTCATAGATGAAAGCAGTTGTCGGTTTGACTTGACTCTCGATCCTGACGAATTCCGTATTTGCTCCTAAGAAACAAAGGCATAGGTAGTCTTCGTACCATAAATACACGGAACGTAAATAGGAGAACAGCCATGCACCGTGTTGCGCCACATCCACGACGCGAAGAGGAAGAGTGTTCCGGTGCTGAATACAACTGTTAGTCGCATGATTTTGATAGCGTTTGGTTCAGCTGTTTGGCTTTGCTGACGTCACGACTAGCATTTATCGACTTGAGGCCACAGCTCCTTGCTTCCATTGCATGGAAGTAAAGATTTCCGAGGGACAGAAGAATTGACACGATCCGCTACATATAACAGCAAGGAACTGAGAAAATCAAGCACAGAGGATCCGATCACAGCTAGATCCTTGTTATTAGGTGAAATTCACTGACAAACGCCAGGCGATCCGTCCTTATTTCTGATATTGTCCTAATATGCGTCACAATCACATCAATTATACGCCAATGATCATCCAGGCCCTCCCACAAGTGAATCGCCACATGTTTTGCGCTCACTATTTGTTCCATTTTGGTTTTTTGCGCGTTCTCTTGTGAAGATCTATTTTTGTACGACCACGACAATTCGCGAACGTCGATTCATTTGCGCCGTGTTTTTTCCACGCCTTGCGAATTGTAGCACTGTGAAGAAGTATATTTTTTACATTCTGGGTAATTGACTTCATTAGTGGTCATCCGATCGCGTTTCATTTTTCCGTATTCGCGGTCCATTGTCACAATTCGATTTCCCTCCGTGGTCTATAGGTGAACAGAGAGTTACCGCAGAGTTTCGACTGTAACACTGTTAGGCTCGAGTTACCAAGATGTTGTCAAAATTGCTTTTCGCTGCTCCGCTTCTCGCGGCAGCGAAGGAAGTCATTGTGGGTACGAAAGACAACTTCGACGAATTGATTTCGACGAACACCGGAGGTAAGAGTTTTTGTCTTTTGATTTGTCTCCGACCAGCAAGTTCAGGTGCAGCAGCGGGTTCGTTATCGAACATACTACGAGCAAGATCAAAGGAATAAAGCAAGCTCATTTGTTGATGTTCCAATGCTCATCCATATCAACAACATCCCAGGTGTCCTGGTTGAGTTCTACGCGCCATGGTGCGGGCACTGTAAAAAGTTGGAGCCGGAGTACGCGAAGGCAGCAACGATGTTGGCAGACGAAGAGATTAAAGTGCCTCTCGTGAAGGTCGATGCCACCGTGGAGACCAAGCTCGCATCAGACCACGGCGTGAACGGGTACCCCACCCTCAAGTGGTTTGTTGGTGGCAAGCCGAACGACTACGACGGTCCGCGCGACTCCGCGGGCATTGTGACCTGGATCAAGAGCATGACCGGGCCGGCGGTGGTCGAGGGGGAGCCGAAGGAAGACGACAAGCTCTCCGTCACGTGGTATGGTCCCGACATGGCTCTGTTCGAGGAGGTTGCCTCCGCCAACCGCAAGAAGGCCAGCTGGTGAGGACATTATTATAAATAGAAGGACTATAAGGGAAAAAATCACCACAACCTTCAGAAGAAAATTCTTCAGAAGAGCCCTCAGAAGAATGAAAAAATCTTCTGAAGGTTCAAAGATAGGCACTTCTGAAAAAAGAGAAAAATGAAACGGACGCAGGTGCTGTTTCAGAACAAATGATTTGTTTTTTCAAACTGCAGAAGGTTTTGTCGATTTTGGACCTTCAGTAGGTGTTCAATAACCTTCAGAAGCTTTTTGATAAACAAAAGCTTCTGAAGGTTGTGACGCAGCTCATTTTTGACCTTCAAGAAGGTTTTGACCTTCTGAAGGTGAAATTGTGAAAACCTTCTGAAGGCTGAACAAAAAAACTGGCATTTTTTTACAAAAAATATGCAAAAAGTGGCGCGTCATTTTTGGACCTTCAGAAGGTCAAAAAACCTTCCTGAAGGTCTTCTGAAGGTTGGCATTCTTCTGAAGGTGCGAAAACCTTCTGAAGGTTTTCTGCAGCTTGCAAACCCAAAGCGCGCTTTTTTCGACTAACGCGCCGCGTGGAAAGAGCGCGACTGGGCCTCGTTCGCGTTTAGATGCTTCGCGCACTGCTGTCGCGATTCCCGTCGCTCAAGAAGCGCCTGGCACTTTGACAAGAGAGCAAAGCTGCCCGCTTTTGTAAAAGCAAAAAGCGAGGCCTGGCTAGGTAGCGGACAACAGGCGAGCTCTTTCCTGGTTTCTTCCTGATCTGGCCGGGCCTCCGAAATAAAAAAAAGCCGCCAAAGCTGCCAACTATTGCAAAGCAAGAAGCGAGCTCGTTGCTTGTTTGTTAGTCGGGACCTCAGAGGCGAAGCCAAAAGCTGGCCGTCTTTGTCTTCTCCCGAATTTGGCCACTTCGAGAGAAGCCAAACGCGGCCACTTTAATTATTAGTGCCGACAAAGTCGAGCGCGAAAAATTTTCAGGACGGACTGGCATTGAAATGGGGCCGACGCTGAAGAGTTTTTTTATTTTTTCCCACGCGGCGCGCGCCGCGTGGATTGGTTCTTATACATTGGCATCTGGAGTTCTTTGTCTTGAGTGCTGGATCATGCTAGCTTGCTTCTTTCGTGATCCATGGCGCGGCCAGCGATCTTTTCTTGTGTAGTTCACTACTTATTTCTCATTCTCAGCAGTCTTCTGCGTCATAACCGATTGATATAAAGTAAATCTAAATATGTACTTTTCTGCGTCAGTGGAGTACTGTGTTTTTTGATTTATTTCTCGCGATACTGGAAGCAACATATGATCCTATTCATCTCGTGCAGGTATCACGTGAAAGCGGATGCCCCGAAGTTGGTCATCAAACACTTGGGCGAAGACGCGGTCGAGAGCACTCCGGCCACCAAGGAAGAGATTGAGAAGGCCTACAAGGATTCCAGCTTTCCGCTGTACGGCGGCCTTGACGGCGAGACCTTCGGAACGTACATGGAGCGTGGAAATGGTAATAAAACTAAAATCACTATATATCTTTGGAGGTTGTAAGTGACCTGTACGTACTAGTTCTAGTCGAGGTTGCCTGCATCCCAGCAGAAGATTCTCGTGCCTTAGCGAAGCGAATTTTTTACTGTCTTCCATGAAAGAACAGAAGAAACACAACTACAGGCATGATCTGGACCCTGTTGCCGATGACAACCGATACCATGAAGTCCGTGGTCGAAGAGTCCCGGGCCAAGATGACCAAAATCGCCAAGGAATTGGGCTCCGACTTCTCTGTCACGTGGACCAATACCGACGAATTCGGCAAGGTCTTGGAGTCCATGTTTGGCGTGACGGAATTCCCGAAGGTTGTCGTTCAGCTGAAGGTACAGTACTATGGAAAGAGATAAAGTCATCTTTGCTTTTATGCAATACAAATTTCCCGTACATGTACAAGATGCATCACAAACCTCACCAACTTGGGGTGTAAAGCTTGTCATGCTAAACTAGGATCGAAGCCAAGTTTTGTCTTGCAGAGACCGCATAATTTGTGCGTGTGCAGGAAATCTGCTGTGGACAGCTTTTCGTTGTTTCAAGTCGTCGCTCGTGCGTGCCACATGCCGCAGCGTCTAGAAGGAGAAACCCGAGGACTCCGCTTGTTCTGTCCCTGCTAGTACTTCTAGGGCGCAGGAGGCGAAGAAGAAAGTTGTATTAGGTGTAGTTCCTCTGCCTAGTTCGTCGTCAAGTTGGTGTTTTTTTTTCGATGAAAAAAAATAAGTGAGCCGAAAAAAACTCCTCTGTCATCTCACTCAAAACAGACCGGCGACAAGAAGAACTTCATTTATGACGGCGAAATGACCGAGGACGCTATCCTGGACTACATCAAGAAGGTCAAGGCTGGTGAGGTGGAGCCGCACCTGAAGTCCGAGGAAGTCCCGGCAGAGCCCCAGGAGGAGCCAGTGAAGGTCATCGTCGGAAAGAGCCTTCAGAAGATGGTACAGCTGCCCACTAGTCGTGTGTCTGGCTTGAATTCTTTTCTTAGCTTATTGCTGTTTTTGGACGACGATCCGATCTTTGGAACTAAGAGGCATTAACTGGTGGTCGTAAGAAGTTTATTCTTGTTCTTGCCTCTAGAAGCTTGGTTCATTCTCGACACGACTCCTCATGATCTTCTCCCGCTACGTTCAATCGTCGCGCAATGTCTAGAAGCAGTTGTGCGAAAGACATCCGCATGATTGGCCACGATCTAGGAAATTTGTTGGGTGAGAACCTCCCGGAATTTGAATTCCAATACACGGATCATACACACAGGTGTTCACCGAGGAGAAGGACGTGCTGCTCGAGATCTACGCCCCGTGGTGCGGTCACTGCAAGAAGCTGGAGCCGGAGTACACCAAGGTCGCGAAGAAGGTAAAGAAGGAGGGCTTCGAGGACATCTTGACCATCGCGAAGATGGACGGCACGCAGAACGACTCCCCGGTGGAGTCCATCTCCTGGTCCGGCTTCCCCACCATCTACTACGTGAAGGCCGGCGCCTCCGAGCCCACCAAGTACGACGGGGCCCGCGACGCCAAGGGCATCTGGAAGTGGATCAAGAAGAACCACTCCAAGGCGGACCTTATCAAGGAGAAGCTGGCCGCCAAGTCCTCCAAGGACGAGGAAAAGAAGGAAGACAAGAAGGAGGAGCTGTAAGCAAGCAGCAGTTTGTTGTTCACGACAGCAACTTTTTTCGGACCCGTCATCAAGGAAAGAAGTCGCTCCATTTTCAGCGTACCGCTCACCTTCGGCGCGAGCAGCACATCAGAGGGTCTACAACTTTGATGGCCGCGCTTCTGGCCTTGCTCTTCTTGAGGTCACGAAGCACAAACTTTATGAGTACTTTGACGTCGCAAGAGGAGGACACAGCGACATACTGTAGTGGAGGAGACGGATGATCCCTGGCACTTTTCTTTCCAGCGTCAGGAGCAGTGGACACGAAAAATGTACTCAGAAAAATGTACCTTAGAAGCGTTGTCATATTTATCACCGTGATACTATTGTCCTTTACAATTTTTCATCTACTTCTGTATATCAGTCTTCACATACATTTCCTATAGTTTTCTATTGTTCAAGTCCTCCGTTGGACACGAATACGCATTTGTGGTTCGTTTTCTCCTTTTTCGCAACATGGAGCCCCTAATGTCTGCAAGAAGTTGTAAAAGTGCTCCACCTATTCGGACGTGCGTAAGTATCAATGTGGCGCTACTAAATTGAGCACAAGCGCACATGCCGCAAATCATGAAATGGCCCCGAGACGACCTGATTTGTGGTTGATGATGTGGCCGAGCCTCGGACTGGAAGAATGAGCCACACGTTGAGAAGGCTCAACATCTCTTGATGTGGTGCGTCGTAAATTTTACAGCTTCTTGGCCTTGTATTCTGCTCCTTTCCTAGAAAGCAAGGTTAACCCAGCAGGCCACAAACACCCTAATCGAAGAGCATCGCTCCTGTACCGTCCAGACTGTGGTTTAATTTTTTGGGTCTCGAGGGCCGCACAGGCGAAAAGCAAGAGGAGTCTTACTTTGCAAAGGTAACTACTTGCCTCCTCAAATAATCTCGTCGAAGCTAGATACATGTTCCCACTGTCCGAGTCTGATATGTCACTTGTTACGCCGCAGTCTGTCTTTGAATGGGAAGATTGAGTGGCGTTCTCAGACGAGAGAGTGGTGCGAAGCGCTGCATGTATTGAATCGCCGCGAACGGCTCACGCAGTTCGCTGAAGCCGTAAAGCAGAAGAGAGACGAGCATGTTTGCGTCTTGCGCGAGTGATTCCATAAAGTTTTTTCGTAGGTCCATCAATCATTGAGTGGTACATGAGTCACCATTAATAACAGCCGCAAAGTACATAGCGTTCTCGCGCCTGATGCTAGAAAGATCATCATCATCCCAATCAGTTTGTCGTGGCAGTGTATCGGTATCGCTACTTGCGTTTTCCTTCCTACGTTGGACTCTTTCCCGGAGAAACCGAAAGAATGCTCGGCGCGTCCAGAAGTTCGTCTTCGTCCTTCCTGATCAAGAAGCCAGGCAGCGACGAAGTGATTACTGCCGAGCTGTATCAAAAGTAAAAATATCTGGGTCTGGAAGAATGCAAGATTTGTCATGCATATTTCTCATGACCCATGATGCCTGTGGCTGTGCTGCATGCCCTAGCATCACAATTTTTTTGAGGGATTCTTGATGCCCATTCCGCATGACAAATGCCCTCTTCGCGTAGCAAAAATTAGACCCTGTTTGCTGCTCATGCAACACAATTTTTTTAGTCATCGAAACGCAGCATCACAAGTTGCATTCTTCCAGACCCAGACATTTTTGCATTTGATGAGCTGAAAGACAAGTTGATACTATGACAGAAACACCCCCCCCAGCGAACCGACGTCGACTCTCGTGCCCGCCGGGGGACAACCAGGATTGTCCTAGTAAAGAGATGCGTGGCGTGTTTCGGAGATGAGAAAACAGGCTCAATAAAGGGATACGCAGGGAGGTATATGCATGCGTGCAGCAACACTGTATTTTTGCCTGGTTCCATCATTAAGGTATAGGTAACATTTTAGGTCTGCGCAGCACCTCAGAAGCTTTGTTTTCGCCGATTTGTAGCTACTAAGATAGAAGGACGGAACTATTAGCGCAGATATGCAGTCGCCTAATGCGATGTTGAGATAGATTCGCGCACGTATGCTGCAGAAGCACCAAGACATCAGCGGCGAGAGTGCGGTTTAATAATCGAGGGTTTGAGTTGCATAGCGAAATGACAAGCTAGCTCTGGAGATGGAGGACGATGACTACGATGACGGCCTTGATTTTCTGCTGAAATCAAAGAAAAAATCGATCAAGGAGATATGGCTTGCTCATATGTTGCAATCTCAAGCGTTGCAATAGAGTCTGGAATTTGTCCTGCATCGGCAGTATGAGTACCATACCGAGACTTGGGCTTTTCGCAGTGCAAATTTAGCCAGAATCGCATGGGATTTGGAGCTCGTTGCAGATCGTGCAACGCGACAGCTTCCAGACTCTATTGTAACGTTTTACGTTGTAACCTCTGAGCGGGTTATAGGCGAAATTCATGAAGGAGAAGGAACAGAAGAATGAGAAGACGAAGAAAGACAAAAAGGGGAAGCATGGTACATTATTGGATGCCTGCCGCGTGCGAGTAGTTGGTTTCACTAATAGTAATATCAGTTTTGAAGATCAGTACTAAACAGGAGAGACCATTATACGGCAGAGCTCCGTGATGGAGCTTTGTGTTTAAAAATGTTGAGGTGACTGATCAGGGCGACGCCACAGTTCTTGTATAGATGTTGAGTTGACTCACGAAATGAGTGAACACGCCTACGCCACCATCAATCCTTAAAAAGCAAAAACGCGGGCTGACCGAGCGGGGCTGATATTTCCGGTGGGACGGATACACACCCTGCTGAAGAACAAGGTTCCGGCTCAAGCACGGGTCGGAGGAACTGCGGCAGTGTTTTATCAATGTGAGTAAATATCCCTCCGCCATACTGCGACCTGATCTGTGTGGCACGATATCCGCACATCTCAGCTAAAGCTTAAGCCTCTTGACGGAGGCATCAATGCCTAGCTGCTTGACATAAGAACAGGAGCGTTTTCATCTGTTGATTGAACAATCTTAGAGACCAGCCATATTCATATAGCGCCCTCGCTACCATTTTTTTTGTGTGCGCAAATCACATCAATCAGCAACACAAATTTATTGCTCTTTGAGTATGGGGCGAGGGGACTTTTCCTCACAATATGTTTCAGGCCGCTGTCATGGAATATATGATGGCGGAATTGCTGGAGCTCTCTGGTAAGTTTTATCGCGGCCGGACTTGTCGTTGTCGCTTACTTATACTTGGTTTTGATCGCAAAGTCTTCGCCGCCACCACAACGATAGTACTGAAGTAGAAGGCCTCAAATTTTCAGAATCCTCTTCATAATGTGAAATAACAAGAAGGCACAAAAGTCGACCATGCCAAAATGTTGAACTCGATACACATACATCTCCCTTATATGTCACACCAGGCAACCATGCGAAACAAGCCAAGAAGAAGGACCGAGCACGCATTACGCCACAATTTCTGACTAAGGCCATCAAAACCGACAAGGAGTTTGACGAGTACTAGGATCTCTTACAACTAATTTTATTTTGCGAATTCTCCTCGTCCTCCTTGCATGATGTTGAAGGAAACACCAACTTCATAGTGAATCCAGGAGCCGAATCTTCACTATGTATGAAAGACTAAATCAGATTGCTGTCTCGCGCTATGCTTTCCGGAGGAGGCGTGATCCCGAAATCTGACAAAGATCTGAAGGACATCTACGGCGGGAAGAAGGGTGCTGCGGGTGCCAAATCAGGAATGAAAATGCCAGCGTCTGAGGAAAACAGTAAGGCGATGGGGGGCACCTTCCTGCCAGGGGCGCCCGCGGAACTCCCCGGTGGCGCAGTCGCGGGGGTAGACATGCTCGGCAGCGTGACCACAATTGGAGGCGTAGCTTCTGTGGGGCAGATGGGACCGGTTTCTTGAGCAGGGGCTGCTCGGTGGTGCAGCGGTGCAGGAGAAAAAAGCGAACAGGAGTTGCTTATTACGATTTTGTCGTACATCGACATGCACGGATACATCATGCATCGCTCTGCGACTTCGAATTCCGTGCGAGTCTAAGGGTACGTGATGAATCCTCAGCGTAGAAGATGTAGCAGGTCAATACCATTTTGCTTTTTACTTATTTTTGTAGAGCTGTTTCTTTTATTACTTCTTTGTGGCTCATTTAAGATACTCGCCTTTTTTGCGACTTTTCTAATTGGAGAATGTGTTGTAGTAGAACAGTTTGTCTACAGTCAGAAAGATGAGTAAAGATACTCGGGGGTGGAATTTTGGTATGTATTGCATCTTTGATTATGTGGACCACGACCTGGGGCTGGGCGAGGAGCTGGAGCGGTACAGAAAAAGAAGGCGTGTTTTCCTAGTTCACGCTATCATTATCAACCCACGCAATGCTGGTTGCGGGGGAAAAAATGATCAGAGTTGACTGAAAACAGACAGCAAATATCTGTATACGTTTTCTTTCTGGATCTGGACGGAGATGAAAGTGGTTCCTGAGCCGTTTGGTGAGGGTGAGCCCTCTCGAGCAGGCATGGTAAGAGTGGCCCCGGGCTCTTCGGGCGATTAATGTTGCTGCTCCGCGTAGGTTTCGAGCCTAGCATTGAGTCCTTTGTTAACTACTAATTTATCGGAGGTAACTACGCGGTCGCGTTGCATGCTTGATCAATATGAAGCAATTTGGGGGAGCGCTAACTGAGTCCTTTAGTCACAGCCCCCCGGTCTGAACATCTTCATGTATTTATTACTACTTCGTTCTAAAATATTTATACGTATACCTTCGTGCTGACAGAGACTCGTGGCAATGGGAAATAAATGAATTTTGCGCAGATGACCAGCAGTATATAAGAGATCATGGCAGTGAATCCAGGAGGGAAAAGTCCTTACATGGACCCTGTGCGTCTGTTGGCTCGTGACTACCTCAGGCTCTTCCGGACAAAGTATCGCGATCATGCGCGGCCTGGTGTGGTGTTTCGTCTACCGTGGGCAAGGTTTCTTCCCCCAATCATTTTTCGTGACTACAGACTGGTTGCCGAACTGTGTTGCCGCGGACCGCTGTATGCAGTAAAGCAGTTCCTCTTCCGCTCGAAGTTGTTCGGGCTGGTTGCGCAGCTCGTCCTGCTGATTCTGCTGGCCTTTCCCCGCGAAATATTGCAACTAGTGTTGCCTTATCAAATGCAAATACTTGTAATATGTCTGGGTCGGGAACCATAGCGACCCTCTTCGTTGGTCATGCATCGTTCTGCGCATCATGAAGCAATGGTCCTCGTCGAAAGCATGACAGGTTTGGAAGAAGCTTCGCGATGCCTGCTAGCCCGCATGAGAAACTCGCTTTTTACATGGCAGTAAAGAAATGGGATGGAGCTATTCCTGGGGCTCATGCACTAGAAGAGCTTGACCTAAACCTAATGTTCCCGAGATCGTGCACCATCAAGGCATCGGTCGCAAAGTGGATGATGCATTTGTGGGCTGAGGTGTAAAAAAATTGCCGGCGGTCACGCAATTATACTGATTCTGATTTTGCTTTTCCTTTTTGTGTGATCCGGACGGGACTCAGCACCACAGCTTTGCAAAGCATTCTTCCAGGCCTAGACGACCTATTTGCGAAAATGCATATGCCGTTGGTGGAACAGACTCTGCAGTCGCACGTCTCAGCGTACTTACAGCAGTGGGTGCAGTCTTCCCCTTGGACCTCCAACGCTGTGGCACGGTTTGCGGGCAACCTGGGCTTTCGTGTCTTTCACCGCATGAAAAACTTCGTGGAGCGCAGCGCCGACTCACTCGACGAGCGATTGGGGCGTTCGAAATATTTTGCAAGTGACCTGGTCGTATCAAATTCAAATGTAAAAATGTCTGGGTCTGGAAGAGCCATGCTGCTTTTGCACGACACAGAAGGTCTGGCATGGAAGCTTTAGCATCACAGGTTTCGAGAAGCTTCCGCAATGCCGAATCCGCATGACAAATGCCCCATTTTGGTGACAGAAAGCGGGCAGCTTTTTCTGCCTATGCATGAGAGATTTTTATGTGTTGTGAAATGCGCATCACAGGTTGCATTCTTCCAGACCCAGACATTTTTTCATTTGATAGGTCGCGCGGGTGTTTCATGTGGACGACGACGCAGCGGATACCGCAAATTTTTTTCTGCACAACCTCCACTGGATTTGTGCGTCGACCTCCGCGGTCGCGCTGCTGGCTTGCGACGCGGTCTACAACACGTTTTTTTTTGCATATTGTGACCGCGACCTTTCGACTTTTCTGCGTGAGACTCTGCTCTCGCTGGCCGTGGTGTGTGGAGGAGGCGGTACGTTCGTTGTCAGAAAGCTCTTGGCGCTGTTCGTGTCGCACCTGCCCGCAGGCAGCACATCTTCACGACGACCAGAGGAGCGGACAGCGACAAGTGTCGGAGGAGCTGTAGTTGAAGAGGACAAGGCACAGCCTCGCTTGTTGGTGGAGGTGGAACAACCAGGAACCGATCATGCGCGAAAAGTAGAACCAGCAGAGATGAACAAAATAGCATCGGCGACATCGTCAAAGCGCCCGCCGGGGGGCGAGAGCGGTACCACTGCCACCAGCAGCAGCTCTTCGGAAAATTATAAACAGCTAGAACAACCGAAAGGCCAAGTAGAAGATGCCTGGCGCGCCGCGAAGAGCAGCGCAACAGCGACGCGGCTCCAGCAGTCTACGTTGTTCACGACGACACATCAGCAAGACGAGCAGCTGGCTTGGCATGCCAAGACATCGCGGCGCAGGAAGGCTACATTGAAAGACTTCGAACCTGACGAAGCGGAACCAGATGCGGAGGGGACCGAAGAAAAAGAGCAGTCCCCGGCGTCGTCTAGCTCTTTTGTTGACGTGATGGAGCCTATTGATCTGTTCCAAGTCGGCCTGACTGTACTGAGCACGTGTGTGGGAGGCTTGATCGGGCTGGAAGCCGGAGAGCGGTGCTTCGACGGCGTCTTTGGCGACCGGCAGCAGCAGCGCGAAGCGAAAGATTATCGCCTGCTTGGGCTGCCAGGGGGCAGGTGTCACGCCACGACCGCGGAAATACTCAGTCAGTACGTGAAGGAAAGTGAAAAAGTTGTCTCGCTGGACGAGTACGTGAGGGAAAGTGAGAAAAGCTTGTCCACCTCCGGTGGTAGATCCTCGCCAAGAGCTTCGAGCAGCGACACGACGGATGAAGGTGGTGCGCAAGCCACAGGTGGTAGTTTAAGTTCTGGGGAGAAAGAAGTCATCGAAGATTGTGTGTCTACTGCAGCGACAACGACCTCGTCTTCAACTTCATCGTGGGTACGGGAGTTCGACGACAGTGGGCCATCCTCCGGCTGCTCGGGATGCCAGGTGGCGGCCCGCCTTCGGTTTATTGACCTCAGTTCTGCAATGGAGCGAATCGGTGCGGAGCGTGGATTGTTTCTCGAGGGTGCCGACGTCCTCCCGTTTACGATACCGGAGGGTGGAAGAGCGGGCAGATCAGGAGCCCCCGGTGCTGGTCTAGCTAAGGAACGCATGATACTTTCGAAACTCTGAAGCGGACAATCAATGAGATTCCAAACGAGTATGATCATGTCGTGCCGCACGCAGCGGCGGGGGCGTCGTGCCTGCTAATTGCACATCGCCCACCTGCAGCGGCTTGTTCGTCCACGTGCAACCGTGTTTCTAACTCTCGGTAGGATCAGTACCTCATCATCAGATCATTTTTATTTCGCGAAACGTGGACGACACCGGAACCGGATGCGGATCTCCTCTTCAAAATTCAACGACGAGTGTCGCCATGGCGAACTGAACCATGATCACCGTGAGATTTGTATTAAAAAAGAAGAAGTAGAACAAGCAAAGCGGATTCATTGCATTTCTCGGTCTCGTCGTGCGTGGATGCGTCTACATACTGTGGATGTACTATCTTTCAGTAATGTATTAATGTCGGTTTTGCGATTGCGTTGGATCATCTTCATCGTCATCGATGGAGCTTGCCAAAGTTCGCAGTAGGATATTAAGCGAATGAAAAGGAGAACTCCAAACGATCATCCTTATTTTATGAAAAGGTAAAGGAGAACTCCTATTTTAGATCTCAATCTCTCTCTACCTGCAAGAGGCGAACGCATCAGGGTAGGTACTCAAACAAGGTCGTGAAGTTCGGTACGTCAAGCAGCAAAGCGAGGATATTATCAACCATGATACACAAACTACTTTTTTTGATAGAATACAAACATGGATTGCGAAAGCATAGTTTATTACAGCAAGAAAAAATAGACGGGACAATGAGACCACAAGTTTCAGAAAAGCTGAATGAATTTCCGGGTGAACACGAAGCGCAGGAATAATTCTCCCACATCTGGTATTTGCTTCCACCTGAGAATATTATTGGTGTAGAAGGATGGCGCCTCGTAAGAAGCAGCGTTTAATATTTCTTCTGCGCAAGAAAATGAAAAAGAAGGGAGTAAGCCTAAGCCATCAGACTCAGAGAATTACAACTACGTCGCCCCCGCGGCTGCCACATCATCTACATTGGAAGACCCCCTCGCTCTGCAGAGAGGCCGCTACTGCTCTGCCCACAATCTCAATCTGCAGGCGGACCACGACTGGGCTCCGAGGTGGACGAGAATTTTGCTCTCCGTCGAGGTCAGGCGAGACGAATTGGAAGGCTGCAGCAGATAAGTGTTGGGCGCTCGCTAAACAAATATCAACCTTGCAAGATAAAGAAGTAGCCACTCAGCACCGTGAGGCGAACAAAGAGCGTCAATCTGCGGAGGCGTATGTCGGTGAGATTGCCGAGATAATACAGCAACTAGCAGTAGAAGTACCATGCTATCGATACGCTCGTGTTCGTCCACCTGGACGCGGCCCGACCGCCAGACATGGACATCAAATAGCGGAAAAGAACACAGTTTCTTGCTCTATTAAAACGCTGGGCGCGCGTCTAGTGTGCAATTTGGTGTGGGCGGTCTCCGTTGCTGCGGAGTGGTGTCTTGTCTCGAGCGCCCCCGCCTCGGCTTCTTCGGTGCTGGTCCCTGAGAAAATTAGAGTCGACAAGAACCACGTGCTTGAACAAGAATATTATGAGACAAGACCAGTCCGTCTCCGTGTCCGTCTGGCGTTTTTCTTGGGCTGGATGCGAGAGATGCATGACGATTGTGTGAAACACCGCTTTCTCGGTGTAGGACGATTGCTCTGCGAGAGACGCAGCAAGAGGACCGTTTTTGCCGGATTCGAGGTTGGCCGACAGCACGAAGAACAAGGGGCACGGTCTTTTTTCTCGCCCGCACAAATGGCCACGATTTGCGAATCGTATCAGCGATTCGCACCTGAACTTGATGATTTGCTTTTAGACCTCGCAGCTGAGGTGACTAGTGCCTGCGATTTTGTGCCGACGTCCACCCGGGATGAGCAAGCGAATGCGCGCCGGTGGAGCAATAACTCATGCGACGCACCAGAGCTGGACCTCCTGGACGCGGATGCGGATCAGGGTGAAGAAAGACCCGTTCTTGATGCCAAGGAGATATGTATTCGGGAGCGAAGCGAGCCTTCCGCTTCAGGACCGACAGCACGTCGACTCAAGGATGGGCAACATCAAGCAGATGAAACTGAAGGTGAAGCTGCCAATCGTGCAAATACATATTGTCGCATGTCGCTGTGCTTTTTGAAGGCCGCCGGACGTCTCGCCAAAAAGGGAAGGGTGACCAAAAACGCGCTGGGTACGATTTCCCGCAAGCTGATGGTGCAACTTTTACTAGGCTGCTCTAGGACTACCTCTATTGACGTATCAACACATCAGCATATTGTTCCAAAAACAAAATCCGTTTCTCGGTCGTGCCTTGGCCTTGTCCGGCGCAATAATCGGGAGTCGACGCGCACTACCGGTACTGGCGAGGACTGGCGAACAAGTAGTTTTCGGCTACAACCAGCGCGTAGTACAATTTTTGCAGGCACAGAGTCAGAGGGAGCAAGTTTCTCCTTCTCGACTCCCCTTCTTCAACGCGCGAGTCAGCGTCACCTGACGCTGCTGGCGCATGCTCTGGCAAGCACAGGCGTGGTGTCGAACATTGTGTTGAGAATCGTGGTTCCCTGCTTTGTATGAACTGCAAACGCATCGCACTACGTAGTAATTGCAATACAAATTAGCTCAGCCTCAGCATTATAAATGGAATCTGTCATGCTGTTTTACCGTTGAGATGGAGATGCATGGCTGCGATTGCTACGAATGCGATACTTTTGCACAGGATACTTTGCGTACGAGCAGATGGACGGCCAGGGGTTGAGCAATGCCCTCTGGGCGTGGGGGACTGCACTCCGCTACGAGGCACAGGAGGAGATGGAACGAGATGGCAGCGGATTTATTCCGGTACGTCATACAACTGGAGATCTTCAAGATGATCCTCTTTGTCAACATAGTAAGACTAACAAGTGCTCCTCTGAACAAGAAGAGGGAGATCATCCACAGCTGGAATCTTCTGCGTCATCGTTCTACATGACAGAGAAGCATGCTGAGCTTGTGCTATCGCGGTTGCGCCGCGGTTTGAAGATTCCAGGAGGACGGTGGTCGTGCAAAAATGCCGTGGTGCGCGAAGGCTCGGGGTGGAGAACAAGTTTTTCGCCTGTCAGTGTTTCTTGTGCTGGTCCTCGTCCTCGCGCTACACCACTGGTCGTGTCGCCACAAGGGCTGAGTAATATCGCTTGGGCACTGGCATACTTGACAAGAGCTGCGACGGGGTGGCATGCCGACGATTTTGGCGGAAAGTTTTCCGTGGAAGTGCCGCCGCCACCCCGGGTGAACAAGCGAAAGTCTGCCTTACTGACGAAGAAACAGGACGCCTGCAGTTCTGCGGTCGAGGAACTATTTGTACCGCCCGTTTTGATTGGTAGCCTGGTGCAGACTCTCTGTGATCTGGCGGGGCAACAAGCGCAACAAATAAACTCGCGGCAACAAGAACAGGCTTCGGCTGCACCGTCAAATAAAGAGGTCCTTTGGCAGACGCAGGAGCTGAGTATTTTCGTTTGGGCCATTGGAAAAATGGCCGTGCGCGCAGCTGTTTCGCCCTCGTCGCAGGTACTTGCTACTAGGGTCGATAGAAACTACTGTCCCGATGGAGAACGAACAAGTTCAAGTGTTGTCCGGGACGCGGGATCCTTGGCTAGAAGTATCCGCTTTGCTTTAACTGCCCTGTTGTGTGGTTCTACAGCGATTGCAAGTACTTCCACTTCGAGAGTGACAAATGCGGCTGGCCCGGACAACCCAGCCTTGTTCTGGTCTGCGCAGAGCCAGGCAAATTTGCTTTCTGGTTGCACAGCGCTGTCCTTTCGCCACAGCTGTTTCCTTCGTCGTTTTCTCCGAGAGGTGGTGTTGCCTTTTTCGTCCCCTGGAAGCAGTACTAGTTGTGCAGAACGAAGTCTCCGGGTCTACTGCACAGGAGATCATGAAGAACGGAATGCACACACGACTACTGGTCGTCCTGCTATGGAAGGAGGTCTACTGTGTAATTCCCCACCGACGCAAACCGCAGCGCCAGCCCGAGTTGTGAGCTCGCTGTACACTGCCAAGGAGCTTGTCGTCATATTGCACGCCTACGCTCTCTGGATGGCTGAACAAGGTTACTTTCTTTGTGACGACGAGAAGATGTTTACTACAGCTCCATGTAAGCAAAACGCAAGAGGAGCCCGCTCACGTTCCTAATTACCAAATGCGTCCTTTGGCTGGCAGCTGCTTGTTATTCGATGCTTTATCATTTGTTGTGTTGTATTTGTAGGTCATGGCTCGGCAAAGCTACTTGATCTGGGGGAAGAACAAATGATGAGGATTGGACGATCAGAGTCAGAGCCCCGAAAAAACTTTGATTCCACGCCCAGGCGCAGGAAGAAAGAAAGAAATAAAGACGATCACAGTCGCTGACTTTCCTTACAACTGATCCAAATGCAGCTAATGCTCAAGCCCATATGTAGGCTTAGTGTATGAAGAGACAAAACCCAGAGCGCTCTTCGATGTTGATCTGGGAAAATGTTGATCTGCTGGGAAAAATACCCCTGTCGAGTAGAAACCCGATGATCATGATAGATTCAGCCAAATCAACGAGCTGGTATACTATATACGACATCTGAGGGCAGAAGGTGAAGATCATGATCTTGATCATACATGACGTGTTGTTGTGGACAGCGATGATGATCAGAGCAGTGCCACAGGATCATTTCCCTCCATCATAATCATTCAGTTCAGGTCATTCCCTAGGGATAAGTTCCTGGAACTTTGTTTACAGCCCCGGTGGTCTTGTGAAGATAGAACCACCATTCATTTACGTAAAGGAAGAAAGCGCTTTATTGAATTCATCTTGATCTAGATCTTCTCGCATTTTTTTACAACAAAGCAAGACTAATAACGAGCACTGAAACTTCTTTGACCACAGAGCCACTTGCTGTTGATTACACTAGTATCCGACGAAACATTTTTTATCTGAAAAAACCAGAATGACAACCAGCGAAGTCCCAGTAGCAGCCACGGCCGCGGCGCCATATGTGTCGCCAATTGCGCAGCCATTGGTGAGCGGCAAACTGGAATCGAAGTGTCTGAAGATGTTGCGGAAAGCCTTCGGGGCCAAGGCAGTCAAGCGAGGTATCCCGGAAGTGACGAAGCTGGTGCGCAAAAACAAAAAAGGTATTTACCACCAGTGCCTTTTTTTTTTGTTTATTATTTCGGAATTTCAACATCGGAATTGTGGGCACGGCCGAGTTTATCGTTTGTTCAATTTTTTGACACCAATTATTTGAGTAAGAATCGTGGTGCTCTTCATCTTCATGCCGGGGAAGATATACTTTTACAGAAACTGATACTGAGGCAAGAAGTTGTCAGACCAGCGGCATTTTCTTCAATGACGTCTTTTATATCGCAGGTGTGGTGATTTTTGCAGCTGATGTTTTTCCCGTTGATTTGGTGGCGCACATGCCTCTCCTGTGCGAGGAGAAGGACGTGATGTATGCCTACTTGTCTTCCCGAAAAGCCTTGGGCGAAGCGATCAATAGCAAGCGCGGGGTCAGTGCCGTGTTCGTGCCAGAACCGACCAGCGACTCGCCGCACGAGAGCGCCTATTCGCAGCTGATGGCTGCGTTGAAGATCGTCCACCCCTACATGGGAGAGGGAAAGCCGATGGAAGCGGAGGAAAGCAACAAGCGGGCTGCAACAACGGAAGTAGAGGGAGCAGCGGCAGATGAGTCGGGGGCAGCGGACGAGCCGGCCAAGAAAAAGAAGAAGAAGGAAAAGAAGGAAAAGGCGGAGTAAAAGGAGATCACCAAAGAACCCCACAAATAGTCCACGGAACAAGCCGAGGACAGTGTGCGTGATCAACAAGATACTAGCGATTATATCACGAAAAAATGCAACTAGAATCATTGGATATCACACGGTACTATACTACATCATGAAGAAGGAAAGGTCAGAAGTCAATCATGAGAAGAGACGATGAAGATGACGCAGATGTTTATGTTTTGCTTTTGCGCACGACATGCCTGTTGGAGTCAGCGATAAGGGTTGCACCAGCAGGGTCTGCAGGGATTTGAAAAAATAAAAGATAGAGTGCAACACGTGAATCCTATTTACCGCAGCGCAGCATAACAATTATTCCGACGAGGAACCAGCACAGGCCCACGGGTATTTCTGAGCCGCGATTCTTCCTGTTTCCGTGTTCACTTTCCTTTATGGTTGCCGTCGTCTTTTCGTTCGTAGAAAGTATCAGAAACTTCTGATGATCTTCGACGCGCCGCTACGCTTGCGCCACCTTCGGTCTGTGCGTCTTTGTCGTCTAGGCTTCGTCACAATGCGTCCCTAGTTGACGTACGGTTACTGCTGTGTCAGACACCGAAGTCGTCAGTCGGGAGGATTTTGATGATTGCTTTGTACACGTCCTGCGTCGTGGTTTTGTATAACCGCCACGAATGCCGTCACGAACAGTACTCTCGTCCTTCACTGGTGGGCACAAGCTCAATATTACATTCGTGCAACTACAATCTTGTCGTTCCCGCATCGTCCAACTTTCGTGCGTTCTTTTCTGTAAACCCGTCAGTTGGGTAAATCATTCACTCATTCGTTTCTTGTTGGAGTTACGCCGACGTGGAATAAAAGATATACGGTATCTCTTCCTTTTTCATTTTCGTCGACAAAACAGGCTCAGTTTTCCCAAGGTAATACCCGAAACAAGGGTCATGATATATTCGTTTCTTATTTAGTAGATGAATTTTAGTAGCCAGCAGGAGTTTAGTAAATCTATCAATTTTCGGAATCGAGCCACTTGTTGCGGTCTTTCATCTTCAGGGGGGCCCGTTGTGGAGAAGTACAAGTGAATAGAAGAAAAATAGTCTTAATTGAAAATGAAAACTTCAGTTACCAGCAGGCGAAGGAACGGGCTTCACTTATTATGTGAAAGCGCTTTTGTGATTTGTGATATGTCAATTGATCGTCTCCGTGCCGACTTACCTCGTCGGGCAGCACCAGCACTCGATACGCAGCAGGCGGTGCGAAAATACACCTAGACCACCAGCGCGGTCATGTCTATTGCAGACATTGAAGGGTTTCTGGCCCACTGGGAGGAGATCCGAGAAGTTCGCTGGGAACTTCCGGTCGCGGAGCGTGGGCGTTTGCTCCGGTATTTTCCGCATGGCTACCACGCTACGGCAGATGACTTTCGATCGGTCCTGAAAAATCCAGGTGGAGCAGCCCGGTCCGCCGCATTCCAGCGCGAGCTGAGTACCCGAAGTAGTGCAGCGGAAGATCGAGCTCGGCAAGAACAAGATGAATCCTCGGGCGGCGGTGCGCGAATAACACATGCGGAGCTGGGAGAGGCCGAGCGACAGGAACGCAAATTGCGGCGCGAGGCGAGGGACGCGGGTACAGAAAGGCTGGCGAGTCTGAGCAGCGAAAGAGACACGACGAGGGCGAGCGTCAACAGCAATTTTAAGTACACCAGCAGCGATCTGGAACTGCTTGATGAAGAGAGGGACTCTGAAAGCGACCCTGATTTAGATGAAGACAGCGCAGAAGTTCTCCCGCCGCTGCCGGGCGCAAGAACGGAGGAGGCAGATCGGCTCCGTCAGCAGCGGCACCAGCGCGCGCTGCTGGCGCGACACCAAGCCCTGCGAAATCGGAGCGCGGCGCCGTGGAGCCCGCTCGTGGTGGCGTTTCTGGAGGACGGGGTCCAGTACCTGGATCGGCATGCCGAGTGGCTCCCGAAGAACGCGGACGGCGAGGCTACGGTGCGGTGGCGGACCTACCTCCACTACCAGTCGCGGGAGCGGCAGGGCTTCTTTGAGCGGCATGAGTGGGTGGCTCACGTGATGGTGATCATGCTCCTGTTCGCCCTCGCGCCGGTAGTGTTCTGCGTGGAGAGCATTGCTGACTACGTGGGGGAGGAAAGCCTCTGCAGCAGAGATGAGGCGATTGCCCTCGCGGGTGGAAGCGAGAAGATGACCCCCATTGGAGGGGTGGCCGGGGTGAGGCGAGTCATGTACTGGGCCTCGGTCACCTTGGCGGCGGTGGGCTTCGGAGACGTAACGCCGAAGTCCCAGTTTGGGAAGTGGTTCACGGTCTTCTTCATCCTGATTGGCATCAACCTGCTCGCCAACGCCATCCTGCGCATGATGGCAGACCTCCTGGAGAAGACGGCCAAGACGGACGAGGACAACCGGCGAGCGCAACGCTCGAATCGCCAGGTCGCGGCGAATATGCATTGCAAAATATGACTTGGTCTGCTGGAAACATTAACATCCCAACTTGATGTGATGCCGAGTCTGGAGTCGACGTCGAAAATGTGTGTTGCTTAGTCGGCTAGCAAAAAGTGTGCGCTTCTTGTCTCCACCTGCAGACGGCATTTTTCATGCAGGCTGGCATGCAGATCGACATCGATATCATGCAGAAGCCCCTGCGGATCTTGTCATGCTCTGTGTGCATTTCGATTTCGGACGACCTTTTTTTGTTTGTCCACACATCAATGTAAATTCTGCATTCTTCCAGACCTAGACATATTTGCAGTTGATAGCAAAGCGGATCCAGGAGGCTCTGCAGGGGGGGCGGAGCACCGCGGTGGCCGGTGTTTGGCTCGAGCACACGGGTTCCCCCAGGGACATTTTGGAGCAGCGCGATTTGCTCGGTATTCCGGGCGCGGAAGTCTTTGTGGACGCCGACGACGGATCAGGATCTTCATCCGCGAACGATAATATCCTCGCCACCAGTGCGGGGGAACAACAACAAGGGGGGCCAAGGGAGACCCCAATCAATATAAACGGTTCATCTCCACCTTCTCCACCCACCTCGCTGCAGTCGTTTGATCAGCAGCACGCGACGTCGGAGCCACATAGTACGCAGCACTCACACGACGATCATCAACCGCACAGCAAGATGAACTCTGCCTCCACCAGTGCTGGAACAAGGAGCATGATCTTCAGCACGATTCATGATCGCGTGGATCGTGCACAACAGCACATACTGCACGTGCAGCACGAACATTTGCAACAGCATCATCAAAGTGGTGCCCATAATTCAACATCTGCCTCGACGTCGCCCTCGCCGGGTACCAGTGCGCACGAAAGCGATCTTATCGCAAGAAAAAAGCGTTACAGTTACACATTGTGTTGCACGCCAAGCAAGACAGACCAGCTCTGTTATGCCGGATACGCATAGAAGCCTCGTTTCATAGGTGTTTTCCCGTAGGATTTCTGCATTACAAGTTTTCTCTCTCATGCAGAGAAATTTGTGTTGCTGAATTGGCTACAAATGTGTAACTGTAACACTTTTTTCCTTGGATAGATCTCGATGCGTGGTTTCATCATAGGAGTCACACAAGGAGCGACTCCGCGTCCGCCCGGTTCACCAACCCGACCGCGCGGTCTGGATTTATTTTCGGGGGAACGTCGCGCTTTCTCGCGGGAGAGCGAGACGAGACTACTTCTGCTGCCGCTCCGACCCCTCCGGCGGGGAACAGCGGACTAGTGTCCCTTCTCAAAACTGAGACGGATAATTCTTCCGAAGCGAAGTCGGTGAATTTTGCGAAGTCGGTGAATTTTGCGGCGGCGTTGGAAGAGTCGCAAATGATCGATGCAACTTCTGCAGATTTGCTACAACCTTCGGATCCGCAGCTGCGTCAGGACGAGCAGGACCGCGGGGAGCGAGAGCAAGGCGCAACTACAGATGTTGACCATTCTGTGCAAGAGGGCGGGGTTCCTCGGGTTCGGAAAAAGGGGCTGCAGGTGCGAAGAGCGCCACGGCCTCCGGTAGGCGATCTGGTTCTGACTCGCATCAGCCGATTCTTGACCAGTACTGACAAAGTGCCTGCTCCCAAGTGGTTGGATGCATCCGATGATGAGGACGACGGGATGGAAAAGCGGCACAACCACGACCCAGAGGTGCGGCATGCTGAAGAGGAGACCCAGATGAGAATATCGGCGGGGGCATCAACTTCAACGGCAAGTGTGACGATCAGGACCACCGTGATGAACTTCGTTTCGAGAAGTGTGATTCCTCTTCTTGGAAGATTTTCCTCGAACAGGACGGAAGCCGATCAACATCCCGAAGACGATGCGGGGGCTCCCTTCTCGTCTACTACACCGGATGAAGAGGAGGTAGTAGGACCACGTGCAAGAACAAGACCCGAAGCTTCTGCCGTTTCCACAACATACAGCAATTTAGATTTTTTGGTAGGCCGCCCCTCGGAGGGCTTGGACAGTATGCCAGACTCCGTGTCGTCGACGCGCTCCTCTAGTGTGAGAACACGAGCCACGGCAACACGGACGACCACCCCGCACGATCATCTATCGCGGGAGACCACAAAGAGGATAACTGGCGGGTCCTCTCGCGTAGAACCGAGTAGACCACAACTTCGAACCGGAATGTCAACCGTTCGGACGCTTCGGACCACTAACACGGTCCACCGAGCGTCAACTACAGGTGTGGATCCCCGTGGCGATTCATCTTCAATGCAGCGCCATAGCTCGTCGGACGGTGGAGCAGCCACGGCATCTTCTACAACCACTGGGACGTCCTATGTATATCATGAGCTGCAGGACCAGTTGGCGGGGACGTCGATGAAAAATGGTTCGGATCTGGATAAGATAAACATTAACATCATGTCCCCGCGCGGGCTCCACCTCCAAGAACGTTCGCCGGTCGAAATGCAATTACTGCCACCAGCAGTGCGTCTTGTGCCAGGCAGCACACGACCCGGTGCTGCAGGTGGTGCACTTGCTCTAGAAGGCACGACGACCTCCAGCGCTGGTGCCCAGTTGTACCCTCGAAGTACTGTCGAGGGCCAGTCATCGGGACCCGGAGCAGCGGGAGCAGGAGCACCAGCATCATCTTCAGGAGCAGGTCAGGCGAGGAGCAAGAAGAAGATTGTGAACAGGACCGCGCGGAAGAACGTGGCCATACGCCGGCTGGAATTGCTCTCAACTCGGTTGTTGCGGTTGGTTCGCAATTTTGTGCTGGGCGACACCCCTTATCGGCGGCGCATGTCTTGGATCAAGATTACCAAGATCTCCCAGACCGCCGTGCTTCTACTTCTGCCCATCGTGCTGGGTGCCGTGTTGGTACACTACATCGAAAGCTTCGACTTCACGGATAGTGTGTATTGGTCTGTGGTGGCGCTTTCCACCGTGGGCTACGGGGAACAGGAGCTGCGGAACGAGGGGGGCCACTGGGTGTGGATGCTGTTCCTCCCCTTCGGCTGCCTCATGTTTGCCTTCGGGTACACGAACCTCATCCTGCTCCACCGGGTACTGCGGCGGGAGCAGAAGCGGCACCTGGCGCTCGGGAACGACCACATCCGGCAGTCTGTCGCGATGCTCGACCGCGGGTCCGGGATCGACCTCTTCGAGTACATGATCGCCAGTTTGCTCGTGTCCGAGTTGGTGCACCCGTCCGACCTTTCCGACATCATGGACGCCTTCTCACAACTCGACGTTTATGCAAACCAAATCAATAAAACACACCCACTCAATCAAAATCTTCAAATAAAAAGGTTTCTACTAAGTTATGTTGCGATGTTGGTGGACTACAATGATGTGAGCATAAGAGCATCAACATATCAACAGTAGAGGCGTGAGCCGCGTGACGATATGGACACCCTACCTTGCTGCTTGGTGTCAAGAGGTCAAATGTGGCGTCCGACACGCCAGCGAAAGGCCAGGCATGCCTGGCCACCCATTTTTAAAGGGGGAGCATTCCCAGATCTCAGAATTGCGCTGATGAAGATGATGATAATGAAGATGATCATGATACTAGGCATCTTCACTGAGAAGAAAAGACACTTAATTTATTTTCGGGCTGCTACCGGAAAAGCAAAAGGTTGCGGCGCCCTTAAGGTGGCGTGTAGAACGAACTCGTTGTTGGCATGACAAACCGAAACCTTGGATTTTGTTTTTCCTTGAATAAAGAGTTTGGGTTTTTCTTTGTGATACGTGTGACGGTACGGGGCTGGTCACCCGGGAAGACGTCGATGCGATGCACCACCGCGACGACCCGCATCTCAGTCTACCCCGCAAGGGCGCTCCGAGCCTCCCCGCACTATCTTCACAGCCGCGCGCCATCGTGTCATCTTCCCCTGTGATAACATCAACGACTAGTCAAGGCGCAGGGTCGGATCCATTGTTCTCGAGCGTGCAAGCTGATCATGCAACAACACGAACGCAGCCTGGCGCAGGCCAGGTGCCGGTCGGCGGGGAGGTGGAGCATCAAGCACTTGGTACTAGTAGCAACTACAGCACTGAACAAGGAGCGGGCACTGCGCTCCGTGATGAAGTCCGAGATCCTCCCCCGCCCCTGCACGAGCATTCAACTAGTACCACGTCATTCTCCTTTCCCGCCTCCGTTAGTGGACCAAAACCGGTCGTTATCCAAGAAAAAAACGCTGTTAGTGTAAATTTGTGATGCGGAACATGCAAGATGATTGCGTCTGTCATGCTTGGCATGCATTGTAGGGTCCACTAGCGGGCGTTTTCACTTAGTATCTGCGCATGACAGGTTTTTGCTGTCATGCCAGACAGATTTGTAATGCTGGTCCTCCAAAAAAGTTACATCTACATTGTTTTTTTCGTGGATAGTCGTGCCGTCGACAAGAAGCCGGGCGCAAAACTTTCGCAAAGCGCCATCGCTGACCGTGGAGGACATCGAAGCTCGTCGCAGGGAGGCGCGGAGCGCAGCTGCGGAAAGGCGCGCACTGGAGCTGCAATTGCATCAGAACAAGAGCCACGTAAATGTGTTCAAGAACGTGGTCGTGAACACGACCCATAGCAATGCCACCGGGGGCGATCTACTTCTCAGGGGGCCTCCGTCCGTAGGTAGCAACGCGACGACAGGTGGAGGACAAGCAGTGCATGGTGGAGGTGCTCAAACAAGCATGCAGCAGCAACTTCTACATCTAGCACCTCCTTCGGGACCGAGCGTTACCAAGTACCCCGCATCATCGCTTGCTAGGATATTCTTCAAGCCCGCCGACTCCAAATGAAAAGGCAAGATGTACTTACTATCAAGAACTACACCGGTCTTGTTTTCGCATGGGGCGCTCACACCCGGTGTGTGTGTATGCTGGAGAAGCAGGGCAAGAATTCATTACAACCAGAGAACAGATGAGAACTCGACTTCTATCCTTAATCGATTTTTCTGGAACCTAGATCCCATTTCAAATTTATTTTGTAATCGGCGCAAGTTTAAGTTGTGCACGTCCACGTTGCTGACGGTCGCCGGTACGATAGATGTTGATTTGCGTGGGGTGGCAAAGGGTATTGAGTTTAGATCTATTTCTCTGTCTTAGTCTTTCGATTTGTACAAGCGCATACAAGGGCATTGGTGTATCTAGACAGTAACAGAATTTCATCAGCATGCATTGATTTGTTCTTCATTCGACACCATGATGAGCGCCAATTTTGGGCTTCGAAAGGTTGTTGCATGAGCATCCGCCTGGTGTCAGGGTATCAACTTGGAAAGACAGAAGTTGGTGTTGTTCTGAAAATGTCGGTCTTTGGTGTGACTTATTTTTTGCAGTCGAGGACGAGGGAGGGTTGTACAGTCAAGCTCAAGTTGTAGTGCTAGCTGGTGATGGAGAATGCGGCCGGAGTCTTACAAGCCCGAAAGCGGAGCCGGGAGCTATCGTTAATGCTGATTAAAACTTCCGGAGGGGAACATATAATTTCTTTGTAATGGAAGAGAAAGAAAGGTCATTCTTGATACAGCCGACAGGTGATTTGAGTCACACTTGGTGAACGAAGATCAAAATTGATAGATCATAGAGATTCCGATCGGATTCTTTTCACACAGGCGTTCGTTGAGAATAGATAATTGCGTCATCCATAGTATCGTCTCCTGACTACTGCGCTATCTATATAAGTAAATATCAAATGACGCAATGCACGATTGATGGCGTGCTCTTGTCCGCCTCATAACTTTCAGCAAGATCGCAGTAGTAGATAAGAATTCATTTTTTTTTGTTCTTCCAAAGAAAAGAATAGAGAGTTAAAGTCAGTAAAGGAGCTGAAGGTGAAAAGAACTTACTTAGACTTGGACTCGGGCCACAATTACTCCTCCAAAAGAGCTAAACCGTTTGGACTTTTCGCCGTCGTTCATAAGGCACTCGCGTGCGTTGCAATATGGGGTGGAGTATTCGTTTTGATCACGTATACGTTCTCTGTCTGCTTTGCTTGCACTCCTTCGCATGGTACAACAGCACTTTCAACAGTGGAGGTTTCTCTGCTGGTTTCTGCCCTGCTACTTTTGTTGCGCGTGCAGCGTCGGTTCAGCAGCCCGAGAGACGCGATGGTGAGTCGCAGCGCCCGTTCAGACGAAGCAGCAATGTTAGAAGCACGACTCGAGATGACAGAGAGGGACCGGGTGCTGCTGACGGAACGGCGGAAGAGCAGCAGGTTGAGGATCGATGGCTAGCTGAGCACCTGCAGCAGCTGGAAATAAACGACGAGGCTGTGCTGGCGCATAGAGCAGGCAGAGCCTACGCAGCGGATCATGTCAGCGGTCGCTCATCATCTTACGCTCCTGTTGAGATGTATGAAGACGATCAGCTAGATTCGCTCGTTAGGGGCAATGGCACCTCCGACCCCGTGATCGTCCCGGGAGGGAGTCTTCTGACTGAGTTTCAGGATGCTTTGTTCCAGTACTTTTTTCGAGATATCGAGGACATTCTCCAGCAACCGGAGGGAGGCGCCGGGACAGGAGCAGGAGGTGGAGACAGCAGAATCACGAACGAATCCTCGGTGCAAGACTTGGAAGACCGAGCTCCACTTGCCTTCCATGTGGGCGATTGCACACAGTGTGTGATCTATCGTTCGAAAAAAATGTTCGACTGGTGTAAGAGTTTTGCACGATTTGCATCCGACGTTTGTTTTACATGACACCAAAGGTTGTTCCGGAGGAAAGACACGGCCCAAAAAGGCTCATATTTAAGTTTAACGACATTTTTTTCTTTCGATATGATCTGTATCGGAGAGTTCCCGGAGCCCAAGGAGTTCCAGAGTTCATCATGCAGTTCGGCGAACGGCAAAAATGGTTCGACTTCGAGTTCGACACGAATCCTGGCCGACTTGGAGGAAGACGAATGCTGTCGGTCCGAGGCTGCCGCCCCTGAGGGCGGCGATACAGCCAGTGAAGCAGCTGCAAAAGGTGTGTCCGGCTCTGGCAAGAAGACATGCTCCTCCTGCCGAGTACTAGGAACGACTCCGGGAAACACAAATAAAGGGCTACAAGTAGAAAAAGAGGACCACCCGCCGCCCAAATCGCTTAGTGCCGCAAAAAATGTGAGTAGCCTACGAGATGACCACGTCGATGCAGCGGGCAGAACCAGAAGCTCCTGCTCCAGCAAGGCAGCGATAAATTTCTACCAAGATGTCACGTCAGGACGGCCTGAACCGCCGGTCGCGAGGAGTCCGAAGGGCATCAGTAGTACAGATGGAGTTCTTGCTTGTCCACTTGCAGCGACGTCCGGATTTTCAGAGGTGGACGAAGAAGACGCGGCTTCGTCGCCGGGAGCTGGGCCCTCCAGCAGTACAGCGGCGAACCCAGATAAGTTCAAAAAAATGATTGACCTGCGCTGCATGCCGGGTCGCCCCGGTCACCTCTTCCATTCGGAATGCCTGTACACGTGGCTCCACAAGTGCATCGAAGAAGAGATGAGCCGATACAATGCACAGGCCGACGAACGGCGAGGGTTCTTGGAAACGACCACCGCACGTTGCCCGGTATGCCGGCAGCAGATTTCCCGGGAAGCGACCGTGGACCTGCTGGACCTGGCCCATGCAGAGGGCCGCCAGAAAAAGGAGTTTCGCGAGGTGGAAAACTCTTTCCTGGAGGAATTTTGTCTGAAAGAAGCGGAGGGTCAGCTGGCAGCCGTTGCGCAGATTGACGCGCAGCTGACGGCACTAGCAGCGGACCACCAGAGCACCTCCGGCTCGTTGCTACTAGGAGGTGCAGCTGGGTCCACAGGGGCCTCTTTCGCGAGCTCACGCTGCAGTGGCAGCGGCCGTGGCGGGTCATCTTTTTCCGCGGCGACGCTTCCATTGCCCTACAGCTTTTGTGGCACAAACTACACGACTTCGGTGGACGGTGCGGCTGCACCCATGATATCCAGTCGACAGCAGCATTTAGGGCGGAAAAATCGGCAAATAGCATCATTTTTGTGAGCGCGCATTTTGGGGGGGCAAAAAAATTATGGCTGTTGGGGGTGTCGCTACTGCTTTTTTTCCTGTTGGCCATTTAGATGCTGGCGCCACTCTTCGTTGCCACGGTCCGCCATCCGGCCCCCCCCTTTTTGAAATAAAACCACAGCACTTTGTTGCAGTTGCACAGGCCTGCGGCCCTCTGGCGCCGGAAGCCGCGCCCCCTCTCCCACATCCAGTTCCGGACGCGCCCAGATATCTTCTCATCTTCCCTCTCCGGCCGGATATTGAGAAGGCGGACGCGCCAGCAGTCAAGTGCTTCCGGGGGGGGGTGCCGAAGGGGGGGGGTAAGGGGGTCCGCTTGGGCTGCCTCTGGGCTACCATTTTGGGGCACGCAAAATCGGCAGTTTCCAATGGGGATTAGGGGGTCGGCATAGGCTACCGAAAGGGTACCCGGAAGGGGTACCCGGAAGGGGTGTCCGGGAGGGGCAAAAATGCACCCCCCTGACCACCCCCCCTGGCCGGGCCTCCTTTTCTGGGCGAAGGGCCTCGTCGAGCCCCGGTCACGGAGGCGGCCCGGCCACTTTTCGAAGAGCGGGCCCAAGACAAAGCGTCCGGCCATCTGAACGACAAGGCACAGAACGAAGGCGCTGTGGCCTGCTTCTGGTCCTGGTGTTGCGGCATTTCCAAAGCTCAGCCATCATGTTTCCTGTGGAAAAGATGAAGTGACACGCGAGGCGTGTCGGCTTCCAAGATGTTGCGCCCCCAACAAAAAAAAAGTTTTTACCCCCCCAAAAAGTGCGCTGGCAAAAATGATGCTATTTGCCGATTTTTCCGCCCTAAAGCATGCTGCTGGTCTCGCGCAACAGCAGCGGATGAGAAAAACGGTTCTCCCGAAGTACCGGAACGCGCTGCAGTTCTTCAAGACGAGCCTGAAGTACAAGAGCGGTGGCCGCACGCGGCGGCGGATTTGCGAGGTTGTCTTGGATGCCACACTGTGGGCCTGTCGCAACGGGCAGGAACGCGACGGGATGGAGCTTCTCGACGACCATTTACTAATGGCGAAAGAGGTGGACGCCGAGGCTCTGCGGTGGCAGTCCTTTCTGCGGAACTCAGTCGCCTACGCAGATCGGTTCGAGGATGCGCGGGAACGGTGTGAGGCCGCCGTGGAGTTGCGCACCAAGAAAAAACTATCGACGGGGAAGTGAGTGGTCCTCTTTCCGGCTGCTGCTAGTCCTAACAGAAAAGCCAGGCAGCTCTCTTGTGGATTTCCCTGAAGATGTGCTGTTCTTTCTGTGATGCAAAACGCCCGACCAGCAAAAATCACTCCAGACTGCATGGAGTTGCGTGATCTTCGGTGTGCTTTTTGCATGACAAAACAGCAACAGTGGATCAACGCAAATCTGCACGGCAGGCTTTGACTTTTTCTTGCTAGAAGCAGCAGTGCCTCGTCCAGTCGCTCGCTTTCCCTCTATAAAAGCACCTCGACCAGCTCGTCGAAAATGCAGAATATCAAGATGAAAAATCTCCTTCCCCATATTCAAAATGGGAAAGTCTCTAAATTTGTGATGCAGGTTTGTGCACACGAGTCGTTTTGCAGCGAAGCATGTTTGATCTTGTACGGATGCGAAGCCTGCGTAGCTAGTACAGTTCCTTCTAGCTGCTCTTCGCCATGCCAGATGCCTCCGCTGTACATTTAGCCGAGCGCATGACCTCGCTTTCCCTTTGTGCACTGCAAGTTGGCTTGCCTACGCGAAGGCAAATACAGCAGCAGAGCTTTATTCCTTCTGAGTAGGTTGGGGAGAAGGATTTTTTCTCCCGATGCCGAGGCTATTTTCGCAAAATACGCCGCGAGGGACGTGCGGGCGGCTATGTTGACGCTGCGGCTAGCACACTTTCTTACCCCGGACGAGGCTGCTGAAGGGCCGCAGCAGGCGCGCGGGTCGGTAACCTCCCGCCGACCTCCTGCACAGGACTCCGGAGTGGGACCTCGAGGCAGTGGCGTAAACCTTTCTCTTGCCGATCATGATAATCTTCATGGCGTACTACAGCACCCATGGCACCATCAGCAAGACGAAGACAGCTTGCCAGCAGAGGACGCCGGCGACACAATCTTTGCCCAGGAGGAAACATTCGTCACAGAAGCGCAGCAAATGGCAACGACGCTAGATGCAGTGGCTTCTACCGAAGTCGAGCTTGATCCCCGGACGAGGGGGATCGACCTGCCATCCTCTTTTGCTCGATCCACCTATGGTCCTTCGTGGGAGGGTTCCGATAGCAGCTCCGCAGAGCTGCTACAGGATGTTGCTGGAGGAGGGGCACCAGCTGCAGCGGCAACAGCATCGGTCTACTCTGCAGCAGACCGTAGGTCAACACAAAAGGAAAACAGAGTTCCGATCTTTACGATTGGTGTTGACGACAGGGAGGACCACGCGGAGGACGAAAGCTTTGATGACCAGGCGGGAGCGCAAGCCGTCGCGGATGCGTTTGTTGCTGATGTTGCTTCCAACTTTCCCCACGCGATCCGCCATAGTATGGTCGAGGAGACTACAGCTACACCAGATGAAGAAGTGCGAGCGAGCATCGTGAGCAATCTGATGAGTCACGAAACCGTGCCTGCATCGTCGTACCTTCCTCCAGGAGCAGTGAAAAATAGTAGTTCCACTCTTTTTACTGGTCGTGATGGGCTTGTTGGCCTTGACCATGCGCTTCCTTTTACGCGGAGCGTCAGTGCGGAAACTTCGAACCCAGGCGGGGAGCCCGGTGCCATCACAAAAAAAGGAAACTTGCAGCAGGTGCATCGGGTGTTTTCGGCGCTTCTACTGGCCTTGGAAGCCCCCAGTTCAACGGAGATCCCCAGCATTCTGACCGTGCAACTGGCCGCCAGGGTACGGCTCGCGCTTCTAGAACACACCGACGCGGTCCGCTTCGAGGCCGAGGGACCGCGGTCCGCCAGTAATATGAAAGCGAAGTGGGCCAGAGAGACGGAGATCAATCAGCAGTCGTTGGCAAATTTTCGCGATGCCAATAATTGCACGGCGAGTGGTGCTGGCGCTACTTGTTGGGCGGAGAGCGCCCGTTGTGATGCCTGCGATGGATCCGCAGATAGTCTCGCTCGAGGGGTAAGGCCCTCAGAAAAGGACGCATGGTTACGAAGTCACACGACCAGGCGCATGTATGGCGGAAACAGCGTCGTGGCGTCTGCAGCTGAAGAATTCCAAGAATGGTCCTCTGCTGCGGACCGTATCGAGGCAGACTTGTGCGGAAGAAGTTCGGAATCCCTGTCGCCAGCCGGAGCCAGATGTAGTCGGGCGGCTGGTGCCCCCGCTGCGGCACCAGCAGCAACCACGCAGTCCTCCGCATTGCGTCTTGATCACCGTCGACGAGGGAGCACAGATGAAGAAAGCGTAATGCACGAGTCTGCTCCGCGTCCGCTTGGGAGCACCAAAGACAAAGAAGGACGCAAAGACGGTGGGGCCGCGGAAATGCCGAGCGGGCGAGTGGTATGGCAGTGTCAGGTGGGAATAAGTCGTCAAATTTTTACAAGAATCGTGAAAAATAAAAAATGTGGTGTGCAATCATGATGCCTGTCGGCTCCATAATTTCTATACCGGCACATGACCAATTTTGATTGTTGACACTCGGAGCGAGTCTGCCGCCATGGTTCTTCTGTGTGGAGCAATAAAAGGGGCTTCTCCACCATCTAGGATGGTCTTTCGAGACCCCATCCTGGCCCGTAGTCGGGGTTGCAATCGGCCTCCTTGCTTTGCCTGCTGTGCTTTCCAATATTACAAACATTTTGTGAGCATTTCCTCGCGATCTTCTTGTGGCATGACCAATGAATCGCAGAAAGATGCTGTGCGGGTTGCGTTTGTTGTGGCGGTCGGTTTAGCATGGCGGCTTCTATGTGTTGTTCGATGATTTTCCGCCTGGCGCTTTCATAAACCGCGAGCAAGAATGCCTGGGTGTCGGAGAAGGCGGCCTCTCAGAGCCCGGATAGTTACCAGGATCGTCAGACTTTCTTTCTCGAAGCCAGGGCCAAGTACGAAAAGCTCATTGCGAGGTATAAGGAGCTTCTGCACGGAATTGAGTCGTCCCCACAGGCTGCCAGGCCGCTTTTCAATTACGATCCGGAAGACGACCGACCCGGTCGCAGCCTCATCCATCAAGTTGGAAACTTTGTAAAGGGCGCAGCTGCGGCCGCGGATGGACAGGGCGCATTCTTTCTCGGCCGCACCGAAAGCCGATCGTCCGCATGTCGGGGCTTCGCTAGTACGCCCACTACAACATAGATAAAATCATGCTCCTTTCACTTTCTAAGATGCCTGTAGAACTTGCTGTGTGAGCGTTCCTTCGGTGGGCAAGTGTCGTTGGACAGATTCTGTTCACTTTGATTGGTTTTTGGAAAAAGATCATGTCATCGTCATCTGTATCACCCACAACTTGAAGAAATCTATGGCTATGCAAACAGGGGGATCTCCTCCAGCAGGTGCAGGAGCCAGTGCGGCGGGTGGATTCTCTCTGAGTTGCAGCGGTGCAAGCGGAAACCGAAGTGGTGTGTCATCGACAAATTGGTCACGACAAATTACGCCCGATGATCGATTGCCGCTGGCACGAAATGCCGACGGTTTGCCCAGCTGGTTCGGTTTTTCGGCTGGCAAATTGCGCCTCGCGCTAGAGCACGCCGAGTTTGAGCTTGAGCGGCTGATTATCAGCCGCGTGGCCGACACTATGGAATATTCGCAAATGCTTTTCGAAAAGGCCGCTGACCTGCTAGCGCAACTTCCACGGGTGCCACAATTGGAGAAGGTTCTGATTGGTGCTGCCCTGATACATGATTTTTACTGCTTTGAAGTCTTCTTCATACATGAACACGCTCTATACAACAACGCTTGTTAGCCGGTGATGTGAATTACAATCACCTACTTAGTTACATACATGTGTAAATGTAATAAAAATAATGTCGTGGATGCCGATGCGAAATGTAATAATGACGTGTGTCTGTCCTACGTCCGTGTCCTGACACACACCAGACGTTGACATACTGTGTCAGTCACAGTCCTCCTTGACCAACAAGAAAGGAAAAAATGAACCTCACCAGATGCCCTCGCAAGAGATGCATTTGATCATCGAGGAGGAGCCTGTCCCGCTATGTGGCGGCACCAGCGCGCTGACATCGCGGGGGAGCAGAGAGTTGCAGATCCGGGATCCGGAGGACGGTGCAGTGCTTCATCGGATGCCCTTCTCGACCTCCGAGTCGAGCGCGAAGACGCACGCACGGTTCGCGCTCTCTTTCAACGTGGACCAGATGCGAGAATCTTATGAAGAGCAGCAAGGGCGGGGGGGGCACGAGGACACTGGATCTAGTCCGTCGTTTCTGCCTCCGACAAGAAATAGTACTGTGCATGAAGTAGGTGCTGTAGTCGTGTCGGGGGTGTCGACAGGAAATCTTGCGGGCGGTGTACCAAATGACGCGGAGGCAGCCGGAGCAAGACCAGCGACGGGTAGTACGTTGTCGATACTAGGTGGAGCGAGGAATCTTGACTCGCAGGGGGCGGGAAGTACTAAGTACCCGTCATCAAGTCGTAATATGGCAGCCGCCGGTGTGATGGCATTTATTGAAGGAGAAGACGAGCAGCTTGAAGGTAACCACACGCTAAGAACAGCCACAGCAGCAGCACCAACGCGTAGGGCAGTAGGTAGCGACAACCGGCGCAACTCGAATGCGACTAGTGATAACTCTGCTTATTACACGGACATCGACATTGACCTGGACGACAACGATCGCACAGCGGGTCAGCACTCGGTGTCTGTTGCGGACCACGCAGAACTAGATCGCCGGTCGGGGGCGCTGCCATCACACCAGACAGCCGCGTTACGACATCACCGGGAGGAAATGCGTGAGCTAACTGTGTACGAGGCGGCAAATGCGCTGGCACAGAGCCTGTATGCGGAAACGTACAGGACTCTTAGCGATATTCGGTTTGACGAAGTGGAGCAAATAGCGGTGGCTCGAGCCAAGCGCGCCAAGCAGAACCGGAACCGGGCCGCAAAGCTGCGCACCCCGACGTCAAGCTGCCGCACGCCGCAGTCCTGCGCTGGCAGGACCCCCGGCGCGAGAAGCGGCCGCTCCTCCGGGGCGCAGACGCCGCGCGGTTCTTTCTCCTCGCGTTCAGAGATGTACCAGAGTCAGGCTTTCGCACAGAGCCGTGGCGCGGTGGATGGTGGAAGTGTTGTACAACAGCACCTGGGCGGCGGCGCACCTAGTACATCGACCCTGCTTGTTTCACCCCCGTGGGACGGGGAATCTTCGTCACGGTCTCCAATCCTAGTCGCTGCGGAGCATGACGAAGCATCTGCCGGGAGTTCCGGGAACGTGATGAAAGCGGATAGTGTTGAGCTGCAGGAGGAGCAGGTGACTACAAAACCGTGCTATAATAATCTGGCGGAGGAGGTTCTTGCCGACGAGGAAGAGTCCGTGGAGCTATCCCTAGTCGGATTGAACAGTCCGGGCGGCACCTCGACCTCGGGTTTTTCATCCGCGAAGCAGAGCCCCGCGTTGGAATCAACTGACGAGCAGCTCCCTCATCTACCACAACCCGCTCGCCGCGCGGCGTTACTAGGGGACCGCAGAGGGACCGGTCTATCAAGCTCGAGCGCCATTAATATGCCCGAGCTAGTTTTGCCGGCACCACTCTTGTCGAGCTCCCCGCCGCCCACTATAGATCGCAGAATCAGAAGTGCAGCCGCAGAGAAGGAGAGTCAGGAGGAGCGAGGCATCAACATCATCTCCACCAAGCCCAAGGCGGGAAGTTTGCGTGGCCCTTCTTCATCTACTTCCAAAGACCACTTTTTTGGCGGGGTGCTGCTGAATTTCGACGAAATCAAAATGCAGATGACCTTTCGGGTCGTCGTACAATTCGAGGCCTGCGTGGGTGCGGGAAAAGCGGCTTTCGCCGCCAGCATGTACGCAGAAAGTGTGGAGTGGTGGACCCGCGCGGAAACGATCGTGTCGCAGACGTACCGTATGAGCATGAGGGGCGCGACGCGCGGCCCGGTGCTCTACCCCCCTTATTCCCTGCAGGCAGTGTCCGAGAAACTGCACGACGCCACCTCCTTGCGGCGCGTGCTTGTCGAGCAGGACCGTTTGAATCGCTTGGAGGCGGAGCGCGCAGAGCGACACAAACAGGAAGGATCCTCCCCCGCCTTGCTGCAAGCAGAGACATCACCTTCAGAGAGCGAGGACGTAGATGCCGGTAACTGCACGCCCGAAGGCAGTGGCAAAGGTCTCCTTCTAGAGGGTCGTCCACCCCGGGAGCAGGACCATATGAATACCGACGATGGAAGCTACTCCTACCAGCGCCAGCTATCGACGACTCGCCAGACAGGCTCTCTTCTTCCCGTTTCAGATGCAAATACAAATAGTGCTGCAACTTCATCGTCTCCTGGCGCCCGTGGAGGGGGAGGACCGCAACGGCTCAGCCATGAAGTGGATGATCAAGTACAAGACGACTCCACCGTTCACTTCCCCCAGCAGCTGTTGCACAATGTTCGGCAAGCGGAACAGTTTTACCTTGATGTGGATGACGATTATGATAATGCGCGGAGGGCCCCCCTACGCCTCCATTTTTCCAAAGGGTGATTAAGTATCAGTATGTAACTAAGTAAGTACGTAGCACCAGAAGCCACGATGGGAGGTATCATGTACCTGCATGATCTCTTGTACAACTTGTTGCGCGTCAACTTCAACAAGACATCTGCGGCCGCGGTGCACGATGACATATGGCACTGCTTCCGGGCGGCAGGTTGTTACTTACAACATGACTCACTGGCTCATGGTGCTATTGAATAAAAACAGCAGCATCTGCATGATCTGGTGGAAGGGTGCTTGCACTTTTGCATCGAGGATGGGGGAGCTGATGTGCACTTTGATAACGATGACCTTTCTTCGATGGCCTCGTCACCGGGTTGCCTATCCTGCGCAAAAGTATCGTACTCCTCGTATAATGATGTTCAACAGATATTTTTGAAATCTACAGGGTCGCTAAGGTTGTGTGTCACGACCATGCAGATCCAGACAGATGCATGTTCATTCTTCATCGTGGTTGACTTTTCGTCCGTGTGTGGGTGGTACACTTTTGCATTGTACACCGTGTGACTCCCAGCGACTTCGGGGCCTGGTCCCGACAGATTTCACCGGGCCTGCAACCAGAGCTGCAGCTGTCTGCTGGTCATTTATTTCTCGGTGCTTCCCCGAGTGCGGGCCGCGGAACAGCACGGGTAGGAGGTAGCGGACGATCCTTCCCTGAAGAAACTGGTACCCATTTTTTGCCATCCCCCCCTTCAGTAGAGGTGTCTTCATCTGCATCTCCCGCAGATATTGATGCTCGGAGTACTACATCACCGCAAGAGGCCCCCGTCTCCTCAGCAGAAGTACAGCACCGAGCGCCCCCGCGGACTGCCTTGTCGTGGTTCGGAGCACTGCTCGGCCGCGGACGGCAGGAACCACTGCCTGCGAGTTCCCCATCTTTAGAAGGAAGAGCAGCCGCGGATCGAGTGGAAAATAGTACGCAGCAGTCTGTTGATGTACAACCGGCCACGAATCCAGCAACGGGGACTTCTGCATCGAACAACGCTGGTGTTTGTCGAAGCGGTCTACTTTTTGGGCGTGGCACGCTGGGTCGGGGGCCTCGTGGTGCAACTACATCCACGGCCGAAGGGACGACGAGCGCGGCCACCGCCACCAACTTGCGGAGAACTACAAAAAAGGAGCGGTTTTTGCGGCGCGAAGCGGAGCGGCGGTCCCAGAGCAAGTATTTGGTGCGGCAGCTGCTCGAGCAGATTGGCAAGCGCGTGGTCGAAGCCAAAGATATGCAGTATTTGCGAGCCGGCCTCAACTTGTTCGAGCATGCGATGGCCGCCAAGCCCTTCTCGAACTTCCAAGAGGACGAAGACTACCCGAAGCTGCTGCCCCTCATACGCGAGCGACTGCGGGCAAACGGCGGTAATGTGGACGAGTGCATGGTCTGGCTGGGCGAGGTTGACAGCCTAATCGAGGACACAAAAGCGCCCTTTGACGTTGTACTGTCGGTCCTCGAACGCTTTGGGGGGAACTTCGAGCAAGCAGAGCAGTGGCTAAATAACGCACCGGAATTTTGACCTCGGCTTCTATGTGCGTGGTAGATGAAGACTCGAAGCCGAATCAATAGTACGAATCATTATTGTAGATAGACGAGATCGCGAGTGCCATTCTCATCGTAGAATCGTAGACATTGACATAGTGATGCTTGACGGTCGGGGTCCTTTTAGCACCAGCACTTCGGAGTAAGTAATTAGCTATCTGTTAGGCAAGATATGAAATCCACCAGGATCATAAGCCAAGCAAATTCCCTACGACCTAAGTTGAATGCTCATTGAAATCAGGCTCTAAGTTTGTCGTTCAAATTTGGATCCAATGTGAAATCAGCATGTTCATACAAATGAACAAGAATGAACTTCATTTTTGTTCATTTGTATGAACATGCTGATTTCACATTGGATCCAAATTTGAACGACAAACTTAGAGCCTGATTTCAATGAACATTCAATTTAGGTCGTAGGGAATTTGCTTGGCTTATGATCCTGGTGGATTTCATATCTTGCCTAACACTATCCTTATTGTACTAGAGAAGATGTTGGTTGCAAAAAGAACTCCCATGAATCTTGATCGTGGGAAGCCTTTAATTTTTTCTGCGGGCTGGAAAACTGCTGCGAGGTTCATTGATTCACAAAGGAAATTGGGCGTGGGCTTCACTCACGACGGTTTCAGCCTGATACAATTTTCTAGAGACTACAGACAAAGTACATCAAAACTACATCGAATTTTTTCAGATATCATGCAATAGGTATTAAGAAGTCAACATCAAGAATATCCATATCGGAGAAAGTGTTTCACCGTAACGACTAGCCTTATCCCGCTTCCCGTGTCCAGTAGCCTGCAGACTTAATAGTATTCCGCTAGATGAATAATAGCCCTCAGCGTTTCTCTGTGGAAAATCGTCGTCGGTGCTTCAGCACAGGCAGGCCCATCTGCCTGCTATTTTCAAAGCGCCAGAACGGCATGGCCACGATCCGGCACCGGCGCGGCTGGCAGGTTGGCCCTTGCCGCCATCTTGCATGCTGGTACTGGCGGGGCCGCGATCTGGCGGCGGGGGGCGGGCATGATCGGGCACCGGCTTGGCCAGGGTCTGGCACCGGCTTAGCCAGGGCCTGACACCGGCGTGGCCAGGGTCCGGCACCGGCTTGTTGGCTGGCCTGGCCATGATCTGGCACCGGAAGGCCGGCAGGCTTGGCCGTGTATGATCTGGCACCGGCTCGGCTACAACCTGGCACCGGCTTGGCCATGATCTGGCGCCGGCTTGTCCACGACCTGGCACTGGCTTGGCCACGACCCGGGGCCGGCTTCGCTTGGGCGTGATCTGGCGCCGGCTTGGCCATGATCTGCCTGGCACCGCCTTGGCCGCGACCCGGCACCGGCTTGCCTGGCAACGACCTGGCACCGGCGTGGCCATGATTTGGCACCGGCTTGGCCATGATCTGGCACCGGCTCGCTTGGTCGCGACCTGTCTGGCACCGGTTCGGCGATGATATGGCGCCGGCTTGGTAACGACCCACCTGGCACCGGCATGGCCATGATCTGGCAACGGCCTTGCCGCTACCTGGCACCGGCTTGGGCGTGATCTGCCTGGCAACGGGTTGGCCATGATCCGGCACCGGCGGGCCTGGCCACCAGAATCACTCGGAACCGGCCTGGCCATGATCTGGCACCGGCGGGCAGGGTGGCAGACGGTGGCAGGCGAGGGCATGATCTGGCACCGGTTTGGCCACGGCCTGGCGCCGGCAGGCTTGTTTGGCCTGGCGGTTCGGACCGCGTCCCGGCGCCAGCGACCCGGGCCATGATCTGGCACGCACCGGCAGGCTTGGACACGGACGACCTGGCGTCGGCTTGGCCACGCCATGATCTGGGTGGCACAGGCTCGCCCATGATCTGGCACCGGCTTTGTCATGATCTGCCGGGCACCGGCCGGGGGGGGGGGCTTTGCCCCGATCTGGCACCGGCCGGCTAGGCTTGGCCGTGTATGATCTGGCATCCATCGGCAGGCTTGGTTTGGCCATGATCTGCCACCGACCGGCCTGGCCACGACCGGGCACCGGCAGGCTTCGTCAGGAAGGATCTGGCACCGGCTTGGCCGCGGCCTGGCATTGGCTTGGCCAAGATCTGGCACCGGCTCGGCAATTATGATGTGGCGTTGGCTGGCAGGCTTGGCTGGCAGGCTTGGCTGGCAGGCTTGGCTGGCAGGCTTGGCTGGCAGGCTTGGCTGGCAGGCTTGGCTGGCAGGCTTGGCTGGCAGGCTTGGCTGGCAGGCTTGGCTGGCAGGCTTGGCTGGCAGGCTTGGCTGGCAGGCTTGGCTGGCAGGCTTGGCTGGCAGGCAGGCTTGGCTGGCAGGCCATGGCCCGGCACCGGCGGGCTTGGCCATGACCTGGCACCGGCAGGCTTCGCCACGACCTGGAACCGGCCCGACCCTGATCTGGCACCGGCGCGGCCACGACCTGGCTCCGCTGCGGCTTCGCTGCGGCGTTGTTACTTCGAGGCCGCGCTGCTTCGAGGTTTTATTTGTTGCGGCTTCGAGCGGCCTGCGCTGCGGCTTCGAGGCTTCGCTGCGTCTTCGGGGCTTCGCTGCGGCTTCTAGGCTTCGCTGCGGCTTCGAGCCGTCGCTGAGGCTTCGGGGCTTTGCTGCGGCTTCGGGGCGTCGCTGCGGCTTCGAGGCTTCGCCGCGGCTTCGAGACTTCGCTGCGGCTTCGAGGCTTCTATCTTCGCTTCTATCCTCGATTCGGGGCTTCTTTGCTTTAGGGCGCCTCTCTTCGCTTCGGGGCATCTCTCTTCGCTTCGCGGCTTCTTTGCTTCGGGGCTTTTATCTTCGCTTCGGGTCTTGGCCATGGTTCGGCTTGGCCATGCTGAATGGCCCGGCACCGGGTCGCCTCGGCCATGGTCCGGCACCGGCTCGGCTTGGCCATGCATGCTCCGGCACCGGCTCGGCTTGGCCATGCATCGTCCGGCACCCACCGGCTCGGCTTGGCCATGCATCGTCCGGCACCCACCGGCTCGGCTTGGCCATGCATGGTCCGGCACCGGCTCGGCTTGGCCATGCATAGTCCGGCACCGGCTCGGCTCGGCCATGGTCCGGCACCGGCTTGGCCTTGCCAGGGTCCGGCACGCACCGGCCCGGCCTTGCCATCCATGGTCCGGCATGCACCGTCTCGGTCTGCTCATGGCCCGGCACCGGCTCGCCTTGCTTGGCCATGGTCCGGCAGGCACGCACCGGCTCGGCTTGGCCATGGTCCGGCACCGGCCGGCGCGGCTTCGTCGAGGCTTTACTGCTTCGGGGCCCCGCGGCTTCGGGGCTTCGCGCGTTGTTTCGTACGTTGTTGCGCCGTGGCTTCGTGCGTTCGTTGCTGCTTCGAGGCTTCGTATGTTGCTGCCTCGAGGTTTCGTACGTTGCTGCCTCGAGGCGTCGCGCGCTGCTGCTTCGGGGCCTCGCACGCTGCTGCCTCGAGGTTTCTCACGCTGCTGCCTCGAGG